AGGTGATGGTGGAGAGAGAGGTGATAATGGAGAGATAGAGAGGTGATGGTGGAGATAGAGGTGATGGTGGAGAGAGAGGTGATGGTGGAGAGGGAGGTGATGGTGGAGAGAGAGGTGATGGGGGAGAGAGAGGTGATGGTGGAGATAGAGGTGATGGTGGAGAGAGAGGTGATGGGGGAGAGAGAGGTGATGGTGGAGAGAGAGGTGATGGGGGAGAGAGAGGTGATGGTGGAGAGAGAGGTGATGGTGGAGAGAGAGGTGATGGGGGAGAGAGAGGTGATGGGGGAGAGAGAGGTGATGGTGGAGAGAGAGGTGATTGTGGAGAGAGAGGTGATGGGGGAGAGAGAGGTGATGGGGGAGAGAGAGGTGATGGTGGAGAGATAGAGAGGTGATGGGGGAGAGAGAGGTGATGGGGGAGAGAGAGGTGATCATTGAGAGATAGAGAGGTGATGGGTGAGAGAGAGGTGATGGGGGAGAGAGGTGATGGTGGAGAGAGAGGTGATGGTGGAGAGAGAAGTGATGATGGAGAGATAGAGAGGTGATGGTGGAGAGAGAGGTGATGGTGGAGAGAGAGGTGATGGGGGAGAGAGAGGTGATGGGGGAGAGAGAGGTGATGGGGGAGAGAGGGAGGTGATGGTGGAGAGAGAGGTGATGGTGGAGAGATAGAGAGGTGATGGTGGAGAGATAGAGAGGTGATGGTGGAGAGAGAGGTGATGGTGGAGAGAGAGGTGATGGTGGAGAGATAGAGGTGATGGTGGAGAGAGAGGTGATGGGGGAGAGAGAGGTGATGGTGGAGAGATAGAGGTGATGGTGGAGAGAGAGGTGATGGTGGAGAGAGAGGTGATGGTGGAGAGAGAGGTGATGGTGGAGAGAGAGGTGATGATGGAGAGAGAGGTGATGGTGGAGAGAGAGGTGATGGTGGAGAGAGAGGTGATGATGGAGAGAGAGGTGATGGTGGAGAGAGAGGTGATGGGGGAGAGAGAGGTGATGGGGGAGAGAGAGGTGATGGTGGAGAGATAGAGAGGTGATGGGGGAGAGAGAGGTGATGGGGGAGAGAGAGGTGATCATTGAGAGATAGAGAGGTGATGGGGGAGAGAGAGGTGATGGGGGAGAGAGGTGATGGTGGGGAGAGAAGTGATGATGGAGAGATAGAGAGGTGATGGTGGAGAGAGAGGTGATGGGGGAGAGAGGGAGGTGATGGTGGAGAGAGAGGTGATGGTGGAGAGAGAGGTGATGATGGAGAGATAGAGAGGTGATGGTGGAGAGAGGTGATGGTGGAGAGAGAGGTGATGGGGGAGAGAGAGGTGATGGTGGAGAGAGAGGTGATGGTGGAGAGATAGAGGTGATGGTGGAGAGAGAGGTGATGATGGAGAGAGAGGTGATGGTGGAGAGATAGAGAGGTGATGGTGGAGAGAGAGGTGATGGTGGAGAGAGAGGTGATGATGGAGAGAGAGGTGATGGTGGAGAGATAGAGGTGATGGTGGAGAGAGAGGTGATGGTGGAGAGAGAGGTGATGATGGAGAGAGAGGTGATGGGGGAGAGAGAGGTGATGGGGGAGAGAGAGGTGATGGTGGAGAGAGAGGTGATGATGGAGAGAGAGGTGATGGTGGAGAGAGAGGTGATGGGGGAGAGAGAGGTGATGGTGGAGAGAGAGGTGATGGTGGAGAGAGAGGTGATGGTGGAGAGAGAGGTGATGGTGGAGAGAGAGGTGATGGGGGGAGAGAGAGGTGATGGGGGAGAGAGAGGTGATGGTGGAGAGATAGAGAGGTGATGGGGGAGAGAGAGGTGATGGGGGAGAGGTGATCATTGAGAGATAGAGAGGTGATGGGGGAGAGAGAGGTGATGGGGGAGAGAGGTGATGGTGGAGAGAGAAGTGATGATGGAGAGATAGAGAGGTGATGGTGGAGAGAGAGGTGATGGGGGAGAGAGAGGTGATGGGGGAGAGAGAGGTGATGGGGGAGAGAGGGAGGTGATGGTGGAGAGAGAGGTGATGGTGGAGAGATAGAGAGGTGATGGTGGAGAGATAGAGAGGTGATGGTGGAGAGAGAGGTGATGGTGGAGAGAGAGGTGATGATGGAGAGATAGAGGTGATGGTGGAGAGAGGGAGGTGATGGTTGAGAGAGAGGTGATGGTGGAGAGAGAGGTGATGATGAAGAGATAGAGAGGTGATGGTGGAGAGAGGTGATGGTGGAGAGAGAGGTGATGGGGGAGAGAGAGGTGATGGTGGAGAGAGAGGTGATGGTGGAGAGATAGAGGTGATGGTGGAGAGAGAGGTGATGATGGAGAGAGAGGTGATGGTGGAGAGAGAGGTGATGGGGGAGAGAGAGGTGATGGGGGAGAGAGAGGTGATGGTGGAGAGATAGAGAGGTGATGGTGGAGAGAGAGGTGATGGTGGAGAGAGAGGTGATGATGGAGAGAGAGGTGATGGTGGAGAGAGAGGTGATGGTGGAGAGAGAGGTGATGATGGAGAGAGAGGTGATGGTGGAGAGAGAGGTGATGGTGGAGAGAGGTGATGGTGGAGAGGTGATGATGGAGAGATAGAGAGGTGATGGTGGAGATAGAGGTGATGGTGGAGAGAGAGGTGATGGTGAAGAGAGAGGTGATGGTGGAGAGAGAGGTGATGGTGGAGAGAGAGGTGATGGTGGAGAGAGAGGTGATGGGGGAGAGAGAGGTGATGGGGGAGAGAGAGGTGATGGTGGAGAGAGAGGTGATGGTGGAGAGATAGAGGTGATGGTGGAGAGAGAGGTGATGGTAGAGAGACAGCGAGGTGATGGTGGAGAGAGGGAGGTGATGATGGAGAGAGAGGTGATGGTTGAGAGAGAGGTGATGGTGGAGACAGGTGATGGTAGAGAGACAGAGAGGTGATGGTGGAGAGAGAGGTGATGGGGGAGAGAGAGGTGATGGGGGAGAGAGAGGTGATGGTGGAGAGAGAGGTGATGATGGAGAGAGAGGTGATGGGGGAGAGAGAGGTGATGGTGGAGAGAGATGTGATGGTGGAGAGATAGAGGTGATGGTGGAGAGAGAGGTGATGGTGGAGAGAGAGGTGATGGTAGAGAGACAGCGAGGTGATGGTGGAGAGAGGTAGGTGATGATGGAGAGAGAGGTGATGGTTGAGAGAGAGGTGATGGTGGAGAGAGGTGATGGTAGAGAGACAGAGAGGTGATGGTGGAGAGAGGGAGGTGATGATGATGAGAAGGGACTGGAGGTGTGGAGTCAGCAGTCGAGGGTACAGTGTACAGTACAGGTGAGATGACATCCCGGGCAAGAGCGAGCCCCATTCCCAGAGGTGTGGCCCGGGGAGGGGGGGAGAAGCGAGGGGTGGGGGGGATCGAGGGGGAGGGGGGTTCGAGGGGTGGGGGGATCGAGGGGTGGGTGGGATCGAGGGGGAGGGGGGATCGAGGGGGAGGGGGGATCGCGTGCGACGCAGCTGGGTGCGGGAGGTCCCCCGGGCACGCGGAGTCTCTGCCTGGCGCTCCATCCTCCATCACGTGACGCCGCCTGCTCTTGTCTGGGCAGAGGGATTGAACCACAAACCGGTTTCTCTGCCCCTGGCTACGCAATCCCGAGCCACGTGCCACCCAGCCTCATCGGGAACACATTTACAGTTTGAGTTTAAGGCGTTCCCATGGTGATTGCCAGAATTGTCAGGAAGTCTTCCTAATTCCCGTCTCAAACAAAGTGAGGCAATGTCCATCACCTTGCTGTGGCACCCACAGTACAACCCCTGTTTATACTCCCCGCAGGGTAGTAGCTATTTTACCACCCCATAGGGAGGCATGATGGGCTGCGTCACCCCCCGCACTCAGGATTTCAACTCGTGAACCTTCCGATCGTCGCCAGCCGCTCGCTCCACCGCTGAGCCACCTGAGGCGGCGTCGAGGCCGTGACACCAGCGCTGGCAGCTGGAGTTGCTGCGTGTTTCTGAATTGCCACCTTTCCCAACGCAGAAACACCATCCATAATAGAGGTTTTGGGTTAGATCGCGTAAACATATAAATGTGTCGTTAAAACCCGCCACCACCCGACACAGACAACTAGTAAGGGTTGTCACGTAAACAGAACTTGCCAATTCGTTACAGCACTAACCGGTGTGTTGGAGAGCCCAGCCACAACATTTACAATCTGAGTACGACGTTTCGCCAGTAATTACAGCTAGCTTCATCAGGCGACAGCCAGCTGCACTAGTGACAAATTGGCACGTTCTGTAACGTGACAACCCTTCCTAGTTGTCTGTGTCGGGTGGTGGCGGGTTTAACCACACATTTATATATTTACGCGATCTAACCCAAAACCTCTATTATGGATGGTATTGGTCGCGAAAGCCTCCTACGTGTTCAACAAAAACGCCAGCCCATACTTCTCGGTGAGCTGAGGCCGATCGTCAGAAGGTTGTCGCAGTTCAACACAACACGGCCAGGGGCCAGATGCCAGGAAAAGGCATCACCTGCCGACCACACACAGACGCCAATCCCTGGACTGGAGGCAACCGGAGTGAGTGAGTGGGTGAGTTGGTGAGTTTACCGAGTGCCAAGGCGAATGCATGAACGGATGTGTTGGTTCATGAATTCATTAATGGGCGAGTGAATGAATGGGCGAGTGGATCAGTCGACGAGTGGTGGTCGGGTTCGTCATGTGTTCCACCGTGGAGTGAATTGGCGGGTTACTGAGTGCCTTGGCGAATGCATTAATTAATTAGTGGGTTGATGAATAATAAACAGGAGTGCGTTAATGAATGTATTAATTGATGGGTGAGTGAAGAAATGGGTGAGTGGATCAATCGGTGAGTGGTCGGCTCGCCATCTGTTCCATTGTGGACTCTGTGAGCCGGGGGTTCCGTTCTCAACACTGCAGTGTCACGGCTCAGCGCAGCGACACCGGCGACAGATCCCAGGACGAGGCACCTCCAGCGTACGAACTCAGACGCCGATTGCCAGGCTGGTGGCCACCCTGGCTGTGTGGACGAGCGCGTCCGCCAGGTATATTTTGTGGACGAGTGCGCGTTTAGAAAAGCGAGTTTAATGTACACATTTACACGCGAGTCCGAGATGACTCGTGCAGATACGAAAACATCAACATCACCATCATCCATCTACTGCATTTAACATCAAGCAGCGCCACTGAACAGCATTCATGACCATTATGATTCATCCACCATCACGAGTCCTCCATCTGCAGCGTCCAAACACCATCACCACGGTCTTCAACAACAGCGGTCACCAGAGCCAACGAGTAGGAGGGCGCTCCTGCTGCTACTCACATGAGCATCGGGGCATTGGTGCTCATCTCCTATTTACAGCCCTGGAAATTCCACATTCCTCTGACGCGGGTAGGTCTATCCATAGGACAACCGCTGTTGATCTCCCCCACAAAGTAGTTTTATCTACCCCGGAGGTCAGGATGATGGGCTGAGTCAACCCCCACCCAGCCAGGATTCCCACTTTGCGAGCCGCTCGCCTTAACAATTGCCGCCGTTAGCACATGGTATGCAGAATGCACCATAATCGTCATCACCATTTACTGCACCGTTCATCATCACCACCATCTCTTCCTGCACCATTCATATGATCATCACTCATAACGAGTCCTCATCACCGTCTGTGTCACTCATCAGCGGTGGTGATGATGATGATGGTGACGATTCTCGTTTTAAGAGTATCTCCTCTTCCGCTTGCAGCAATCACCACCACCACAGTCATTATCAGCTTCCTGTAGCATTCAGCCACCATCATTGCGCAACCATCGCGCTTTGCATAGTCATCGTCCATTCGGAGCATTCCCAGGTCGAGGCCGAGTCCATCCCTGGGATGGAGCGAGGGGGGTGGTGTAGCGTGCGCCCTTCCAATCTTTCCATTCAGGGGCTCCTCTGCTAATTCCCCCGTGCTCCTCCGTCTCCTCCTCCCATCCACTCCCTCCTCGCCCAGCTTCACGGGAGACCTCGAGGGAGCGCCGTCGCCCGTGGTCGCGGTCGCTATAGGAGCCGTGACGCGAGCAGTGCGGCGGCGGCGGCGCCGGCGAGGCCCAACGCCGGCCCCCCTCCCCGGGGCGCCGCGGCCCCCGCGGCCCCCGTGCCGACGGCGGCAGCCACCCTCGGCTCGTCTGTGCGGAAGGCGGCGGAGGGACGGGGCAGAGTGAGACGCGGGGGTAGCAGTGGAGCTTACCGAACATCTACCGCGCGTCTTCTCGACGCGTTGTGAAAGGGCACCCCCGGTGGCAGTTGTCCCTGTGCGGTGTGAAGCGTGTCTCGGCACCCGGGATTCCTCCACCGGTAGGGGGCGATGAATCCTACGTGGTCTAGCCTAGGGAACCCCCAGTGGCAGCTGTCCCTGTGCGGCGTGAGGTTTCTCGGCACCTGGCCTGCAAAGCTGGCATGTAGTCTGCCAGTACAAGGCGGAAATGATTGCTGCTGCTGTTGCGTGTGATCCCATTCAACTAATATGACGATCGTTTTCGAATTTGGCGAATATAGGCCGTGAGTCTGGCACACAACGGCCTAACTCTTGCGAACGGTGTCAGGGAATCTTTAACGTCCACTGTGAGTGAAGCAGACGGCGTGTAGTAGCATTACTATTGCGGTTGATATGTACAGCTACAAAGTTAACCAGGGCAGCCTGCCGGAATCAAACCGCAAACCTCTGTAACACACTCCCGCTGGGGCCCCTATGACACAAAAAGTGGCACATGGGAGAGACACCTGTGTGTGAGTGAGTCTTTGTGTCCGTGAGTCTCTGTGTGTCCGTGTGTGTAAGTATTGTGCGTGTGTGTTGTAGCTTACCTCAGCCTTAATAGAGTACTTGGTGAAGTGTGAAAAATGTATGTTTAAATTATTTTGCACCGTATGTAGCCAACTGCGCTAATTGGAGGTGCGCAAGGGGAGACAAAGGCGGCCGGGTGTGGTTCTGGTCATCCACCCCCTCGTGTGAACAAGCAGATCTTCATAGGTGCTCACTAACAGCACTTTCTCTGACATTGTTGAGGCTAATGGGGGATCTTTGTGTGTGTCTGTGTGTGCATGTATCGACTAAGCCTCAAATGAGTACCTAGTGCGGTGTGCAAACATCGGCACTTGGGAGACAAAGGCGGCCAGGCGTGGTGCTGGCCACCCCACCCCCTCGTGTGCCATTCCAGCCTTCGTCGGTGTTCACTAACAGCACTTGCCCCTACAAATCGATGAAGGCTATTCGGGCGGATCTTTGTCAAGTGTCCATAGTTAGTACCGTATATAAATGTAGAGATATAAATACACTGTATACGCAAACAGGTGTCTTCAATCGCAAAGCATAACAGGAATCTCGGGCACGCTTCGCATGTCCAGATGATACAGCCATCTGTGATGGTACCCGCTCACGAAAGCGGATGGAGACTGGCATTTAAAATTTAGCCAGCGAGGAAGGCAGCGATACATCTGCAGGCCGGTTTCACCCTTGTTAGGACTCGTCAGCACAGTGCTGCCTACTGCTGTTTGTGCCCCAGGAGGGTCGGATTGAGTCCCCTGCCTCCCACGCTGTGGGGATGATGAGTTCGGCAGAGCCCCCCGGGGCGACATTTAAATCAGGCTCCGGCACTTTCTCCACCTCAACAGTCGGCTTGACAGTCCCATAACATATAGCTGTGTGTACGTGTGTGTGTGTACGTGTGTGTGTACGTGTGTGTGTACGTGTGTGTGTACGTGTGTGTGTGTGTACACGTGTGTGTACGTGTGTGTGTATGTACGAGCGGAGCGCCGGGTGGCTAAAGCACAGCAGGTTGGCACAGTAGGGGGCACAGGTGGTGCATCAGCCAGTCATCTCAGTCAGTCGACCCGTGGCACCTGGGTCTGCCCCGTGACCTCCTGCCAGCGGGCGTTCGACACTTCACGTGGCCTCAAGGTGCACATGGCCTGGCATAAGCGTCGTGGTGACGTCACTGCCACTTAGTGGCGAATGGCGGTTGTTGTTGTTGTGTCTGTGTGTTCTGTAGTGGGGAGCGGTAGTGTAGTGGTTAGCGCGCTGCGCTATGAACCCGGCTACCCAAGTTCAATTCCCGCTCTCGGCCAACACCGGGTGACGATTATTTGAACTGGTCCTGGGCCTCCCCTAGGTGGACTCAGCCTCACATGAGTGCCTGGTGTGGTGTATAAACATCGCCACTAGAGAGACAAAGGTGGCCGGGCGTGGTGCTCACAGCACTTGCTCCTACAGTCTGTTATGGTTATATGGGGGATCTTTGTCTTTTTGTGAGCGTGCGAACGTGTGTGTGTACACGTGTGAGTGTGTGAGTGTGTGCGTGCGTTGCCCACCTGCTTGTGCGGGACCTTCGCTCGCCGTGCGATGCGAGCGTGTGGGATTAGCCGTAGTATCGCCTGGGTTAAGGGTAGGGGTTAGGGTTGGGGGTTAGGGTTGGGGGTTAGGGGTTAGAGCACGCGATGGACTAAGCTCAGCCAAGCAACTCCATGCTGTTAATCGCCGCATTCACAACAATACCAATTGTTAGATTAACAGTATTCACTTACACAAGAATCATATTCGTGAATATTATAACGACGACGACGATGATGATGATGTTAATACGGGGTCATGCATTTACCCAAGAAAGTCCTCAACCACCGACTCTCAGGACTCCTTTTCACCAATTCCATATTACATTAGACTCGTCTGGTGACTGCTGCTGCTGCTGCTACTACTGCTTCTCTGGTGACTGCTGCTGCTGCTACTGCTGCTTGTCTAGTGACTGCTGCTCCTGCTACTACTGCTGCTTGTCTGGTGACTGCTGCTGCTACTACTGCTGCTTGTCTAGTGACTGCTGCTGCTGCTACTACTGCTGCTTGTCTGGTGACTGCTGCTGCTGCTTGTCTGGTGACTGCTGCTGCTGCAACTACTGCTGCTTGTCTGGTGACTGCTGCTGCTGCTACTACTGCTGCTTGTCTGGTGACTGCTGCTGCTACTACTACTGCTGCTTGTCTGGTGACTGCTGCTGCTGCTTGTCTGGTGACTGCTGCTGCTACTACTACTGCTGCTTGTCTGGTGACTGCTGCTGCTGCTACTACTGCTGCTACTGCTGCGTTGGCAGTGGTGCACAAGCACAGTGAACTAAAGAACTCTTTAACTCTCCCACGTTCGTCAATAACTCCGCTCCACACACCGCGTGCTTTTCGTATCTCCCTGGCAGTAATTCTCCTGGCCACCACCTCGCCGCTCCCCCGAGGGGATTTGAGGGTTTCACAGATCTCCGTGTGACCCACCAACCCCTCACCCCGGATCACGAAACCTGTCGCCGCCGCCACTGGCAGCGCACCCATCTCGCCGAGCGATGTTAGCGAGTTGGCGCTTGTGGTGTGGCGCTGTTGGTCGCGATCGTGGTGGTGATGTGGGGAGCGGTGGCGCAGCGGTTAGCGGACCGCGTTACGAATCCAGCGAACTGAGGTTGATTCTCCGGCCACGACCCACTGCAGTGGCAAGTTATATTTATTTACTTCTTTGTTTGTTTAGTACAGGACCAAAGGCCCAAGACGTCTAGTGGTCAGCTACAAACGGCACCCCCATCAAAGTTGTACTGGATAAGTGTAACGCGTTTGTTGAAGTGAATGAGGTTATTGTTGTTTAAAGAACTTGGAGGGGTGGGGGGACAATGATGATGATAGGAGGGAGATCCACAGTCCAGCAGTGTGAGGGAAGAAGCAGCGAGAGAGAAGCGAGTATGAGTGTGGTGAGTGGGTGGGTGAGTGAGCGTGTGAGTGGGTAAGAGTTGGGTGAGAGTTGCGCGAGTGTGAGCGGGTGAGTGTGTAAAAGTTGGGTGAGAGTTGCACGAGTGTGAGTGGGTGAGTGTGTAAGAGTTGGGTGAGAGTTGCGCGAGTGTGAGCAGGTGAGTGTGTAAGAGTTGGGTTAGAGTTGCGCGAGTGTGAGCGGGTGAGTGTGTGGAGGTTGAGTTGGTGGCTGACAGCACGGGCGACTCACCTGGACCACAGCAAACGTGGACTTTGAGGCGATAGCAGCGGGAGTCACCCTTGAGCAGTGGAGTGGCTGTGAATGAGACATGCTAGTTAGCATGTGTGTGTCCACCCTAGTGTGTGTGTCCACCCTAGTGTGTGTGTGCCCACCCTAGCGTGTGCCCACCCTAGCGTGTGTCCACCCTAGCGTGTGTCCACCCTAGCGTGTGCCCACCCTAGCGTGTGTGTGCCCACCCTAGCGTGTGTCCACCCTAGTGTGTGTGTGTGTCTACCCTAATATGTCGACGTGTTTCCATATAGCCACAATCATACCTGGGTACCCACATGTCTCTTGCCTGTGTCCACCCCCGTGTGTGTAGGTGTCGACGAGGATTCGAAACGTGCTCGTATCGGCAATCTAACACCACACAACTACCTGTGTTGCTTCATATTCTCAACAACGTCGCCAATGGTGATAATTTTGTGTTTTTCATTGCAGCGTTTAGCGTCGAGCTAGGACCAACATCTCACAGAGAGGGTCCGTGCCAATAAACATCTTGGTAATTCACCGGGGTTAGCACCAGCCAAACCTGACTCTGATGAAGAGATGCTGAATGTCGAAACCGGTCCAGAGTTTTGCCTATGTTGAACCAGTGCTGCTGAGATTAAGCACTCCCAGATGGAAGGCCGTGTGTGGCTGACGGGGTGTGTAAAACAATTTATATTTTTGTATTGCTGGACAAATGTGTCAATGAGGCCAATTGTCTGCTTGTTAATTTTGTTCACCACATAACAGGCGGGTGAAGGCAGTGGTGGATCTAGGGGTGGGGTTCACTTCCTCCTTGAGACCCCACGTTGGACTGATGCTGTATTTACCAAAGGAAATACATCAATTTTGTTATTTTTTGTATTAACTTTGGCTCCTATTTATAACGCTTGACATTTTGGGGCCACCCCCTTCCCCACCTCCGTTGGGAATTTTCTCGATCTGTCCTGGTTGGGGGGTTGACCCAGCCCATCATCCCTTCCTGCTGGGGTCCATAACATTGAGCACCGTACCACTTTGTGCAGAACATCAACTGTGGTTCCCCCCCTCACCTGCCATAGGAATGTGGAGGTGCATTCATTGCCTATTAATTTTGTTAGCCGTACAGTGTAATAACCGGTGTTTTGGCCCAACGTTTGGGCGTGCAACGTTAGCCCAACGTTAACATGTTTACTAGGAAGGACCTGGGTTCGATTCCCGACTTGGACGCCTTGCGGTGCGGCGTGTACATGTGAGTGAGAGTGCAGTCTGTATGTTCCCTTTCCGCCATGGTAAACAATCAGAATAATTCATCATTTATATTGACGCTTGTTTACTCAAACGTTGGGCCAACGTCGGGTGTAAAACGTTGGCCCGATGTTGGCATGTCTACTAGGAATGACCTAGGTTTGATTACTGACCCAGGCGCCTTGCTGTGTGAATGTGTGTGTTTAATGAGAATGATGAATAATTTATCTTGACGCTTGTTTACCCAAAGTATATAAATATACAAAAACAACCGTAAACCGCACACTGACGGCAAGCGGAGGGAACTCACAGATGTAGTAGTAATCCTGCCCGGGCGCGAACTCAAACCCCAGCGAGAACGGCGTGAACCGCTGGAACTTCTCGGCGAACCTCAGGGGCGCCCCGTGGTCCCTGTGGTGGGGGGGCCGCTGGAGAGGCCTCCCGCAGCGCCACCGCACGGCCCCCCTCGAGTGCTCGCAGCGCGCAAACCCCACGGCGTCCACCATGTGCAGCACGGGCCGCTCGGCCGGGGGGGGCGGCGGTGGCGTGGGGCCCCCCGCTAAAGAGCCCCCCGATTCGGGGCCCTCCAGTTCGGGGGCTGTAGAATGCGGGCAGTAGACGTCCATGTAGTCGTCAATGTGCACGGTGAGGGTGTAATCCCCCGTAAGTAACCTGGCCGGGAGGGAGGAGGAGATCGCTGATATTACAAGCAGAGACTCGAATAATGAGTTTTAAAGGGAGAACCAACGTTGCTTAAAAAAACCTGACAATAAAAACAATCGGGTACGTTTTATGTGGGCACTATCGTTCTCATGGCGCAGGCTGATCATCACGCGCAGGAAGCCGTCGCTGTGTTTGACATCCTGCGATAGTTTCGCGGTAGTTCAACAATGTTGCTGTGTGAACTGGCCTAGGGCACCCCCGGTGGTAGCTGCCCCTGTGTGGCACAAGGCCATCATCGCCAAAGAAGGCATGCTGCTGTTGCACAGTCTCCAGGAGTGCCACGGTAGGAGGCGATGTTGCTCTAATACAGCGAGTAATTTAGCGGCGTGTGGCATGTGCCCAACTTGGCCCGTGATTTGTTTAGAATGACGTCGCGGGGTCAAGGTCTGAATTTAACGTCCACTCTGAGTGGGGCCGACGGCGCGTCGTTGTTCGGTCGTGCTGCACGATGTCCGACGTTTCGCCGCGTGCGCCGAGAAGCCTCGTTCGGAAACTAAAGACGCTATCCAGGCTCAAACCTGCCGAGCTTCAGAAGTCAGGGCCCGACCTCGCTGCCCTACCGCAGGAGACGGCGCAGAGTGGAGAACAAACCGCCGCCCTCACGGAGAAATGTTTGTGGATTTGGGTCCACAACGGAACAGAGACCTATCACTCACCGACTGATGCACTCACTCATTCCTTCACTCGCCCAGTAATTAATTCATTAATCCACTCATGTTAATTTATCGACCCACTAATTCATTCATGCATTCGACAAGGCTCTCGGTAACTCACCGATTCACATCCACAGTGAGACAGGTGGCAACCTTAACCGTGCATCTCTCTTCATCCCAAGGTCCCCGTTCGCTTCGTCTCCCCATACTCTTCCCGTACTCCCCATGTGGCTCCTATCCACTCAGTTTCACACTGTGTATGTGAATCGTACGTAGCCAACCGTGATAATCGGAGGTGCGGAGGAAGGAAAACAAACTAAACACAAGCAGTTCTAAAGAATTTAGTTTTCAGTCTAGATTATTTTCAAATGCACAGCTCCAGTGGCTTCCTAACATCGGACGGAAGAGCGTTCCAGACGGCCGCAGAAGCGCATCTGAAAGCGCGCGATGCTTTGGCCGTCTTTGTTCGATGGTCAGCAGCCAAAAGCCGCGGGGAAGATGACCACCGGAGTTAGCGCGATGGTTCACACTCCCTTGACGAGATCACCAAGGTGGTATTGTTGTGCATTTGTGGCAAGCACTTTGCGTGCGTGACGAGTGCGACCTTCCTCACAATGTATTCGTTCGGCAACCGAAAGGCGATGGAGCTCGGCGAGCACCGGACGGACGCGGCCGGAGCTTGCGGTGTCCGCCACGAGACGCGCCAGAGAATTGCGTGCGCGCTGCTCATGGGGGGTTTATTTGGTTTGCCAGACGTCCCGTAGAGGAGGTGAGTTGCTATAATCGGGTCTTGTCGACATGACTTACCCGACGCGTCTCCCCCACCGCTAACACTCCCCCTGACCACCCTGGCAGGGTCGCCGGGGGGCTCCCACGGTAGGCAGCTGTCCCCTTCCCCGGCGACTCCTGCAAACATCCTGAGCCGGGAGCCAAACAGCGCCTCCTCACGCCAGTGGCGGCGGCGGCGGCGCACGCGAGCCACATCGCCTCCCCCCTCGCGTGAGGGGAAGGCGGGAGGACGACGGGGGAGGTTAAAAGCACCATTCTCTGAGAGCCGGGGTGTTGTTTACGATTTGGCCGTGGCTACGGCTCTTAATTATTAATTGCCCGCGGTTATCTCTCCCTCCCTCTCTCTTTCCCCGAGTGGCGGCGTTGTTGTTTTCGCGCCAAACTCCGCGGCGGCGGCGGCGCCATTGTGCGCGCGCCTCCTCAGGATGTGAACGCTCCGCGCGCCGCTTCCTTCGCTTCCGAGTTCCCACAGCACCCACCAACACCACCACCAACAACAACACCACCACCAGCAGCAGCAGCGAGTGTGCGGGACCCTCTCCTGGTCCTCCCTCAGCACCCAACAACACCACCAGCAGCAGCGAGTGTGCGGGACCCTCTCCTGGTCCTCCCTCAGCACCCAACAACAACAACACCACCACCAACACCACCACCACCCATCGCCAACAACAATGACCCCCACACCCCGCTGGCCACTGGCTAGGTGCACTGTCACGCGTTCGTGTCTCGCAGTGTCTCACAAGCCACGCGGTTTAGAACCCCACCGCGTTCTTGTGCAGGGAAATTTAGTTTTCAGGTCCATACGGCGTACAGCCGTTTCAATACGGGCAAAAAAAAAAGATGTTTTATCTATCTGTTTGTGTTTCTCCCTTGTGATGGGACTTTGTAGGATGGACGTTGAGATTTATAAGGTTACGGGGTGACCAATAAGGTCTGAGTTGGTCTCTAATAAGGTAGGGCACTGATAGGGGTTGACGGCGATGTGACTGTCACGGGACAGACCTCGCAGGTGCCGTGGGTTGACCGACTGACTGCGATGACTGACTGGCCGTTCACCCAGCCGTGTCCCCTGCTGTGACAAACGACAGTGATTTTTGTTATTTTATTTTTTACCTACGTGACTTTACCCAATAGAACCAAAGAGTATGGACACCACAGCCACCAGCGCCACAAGCAGCAACAGCAGCAGCAGCACACCTCGGAGAATGCCGTGATGCAGTCGTGAGCAGGGTGGCGGCGCAATGGTTATAACTCCCGTGCCTCGCCACAGCAAGAAGCCAGCAGACATGCCAACCCTGGGACAACTTGGGTGTCTAAAATTTGCCCTAGTTTTTGGAAGGGCCTGGGTTGGACTCCCGACTCGGCCGCCTTGCCGTGCGGAATGTACGTGTCTCTGCAGGAGTGTGTGAGTGCGCGTTGGAGTCGTCTCTACGCTCTCTCTACTCCAACTCTGTATGGGGTTTCCTCCCTCCCATAGCCAGAATAAAACCCACAACACACAGTGTTAGCCGGTATCGGGCTGGAAAACATCCCACATCTGACATCACCTGCACATTACTCAACAGGGATCACACAGCAGGAGCAGTAACATCGCCCCCTACTGCGGGAACTTGGCAGGAACCTCTCCTGAGAGAGAGAGAATCTTGAGACACGGTGAGGCTTTCCTGGGTAAAACTAGCAGAATATAAGCAAAAAAACATCATACCATTCGACTCCTTCCTACCTTTTTTCACATCCCATCAGCCACAAGGATTTTCCTTGAGTGCGTTTGTTCGGCAGCCTTAGTTCAACACGAGCAAAACTCTGCACCAGTTTCGACATTCATCGCCTCATCAGCAGGGCCAGACTTGCTGGTGAACTGCCAAATGCTTATAGGCAAGTATCCCCCTCTTAGGCTTCGATGCTAGATGCCGTGACACCTATCCGAATCTTTATTTTTCCTGGGGAAATCTGATGAGCTATGAAGCTCTTTTTCACATGGGATCCCGCAGTGACTGAAGCCGTGTTGGCTGATGGGATGTGTGAAAAAGACACGTGTGTATTTTATGTGGAGGGACAGATGTGGGAAGGAGGCACGTGTGCTTATTTATTTCGTTAAATGATGACCAGGGTGCTGACAATGGTGTATAATTGTTGTTGTGGCACGTGTCTATTGATGTCAGGAAGGTTCTGCCTACATTTCCAAAATGGCCATTTCCATTTTTACAGTGTATATAGAGTGTATTTAAAATCACAGTCCAAGACTCAGTGTGGCGAGTGGGTGAGTGAGAGTGAGTGAGTGAGCGAGTGGGTGAGTGTGTTGTTGTCACCTGTAGTGTGGTGAGTGGGTGAGTGAGAGGGTGGGTGAGTGGGTGAATGTGTTGTCACCTGTAGTGTGGTGAGAGGGTGGGTGAGCGAGTGGGTGAGTGTGTTGTTGTCACCTGTAGTGTGGTGAGTGAGAGGGTGGGTGAGCGAGTAGGTGAGTGTGTTGTTGTCACCTGTAGTGTGGTCAGTGGGTGAGAGGGTGGGTGAGCGAGTGGGTGAATGTGTTGTCACCTGTAGTGTGGTGAGTGGGTGAGTGAGAGGGTGGGTGAGCGAGTGGGTGAGTGTGTTGTTGTCACCTGTAGTGTGGTGAGTGGGTGAATGAGAGGGTGGGTGAGTGTGTTGTTGTCACCTGTAGTGTGGTGAGTGAGTGAGTGAGAGGGTGGGTGAGCGAGTGTGTGAGTGTGTTGTTGTCACCTGTAGTGTGGTGAGTGAGTGAGAGGGTTGGTGAGCGAGTGGGTGAATGTGTTGTCACCTGTAGTGTGGTGAGTGGGTGAGTGAGAGGGTGAGTGAGAGGGTGAGTGTGTTGTTATCACCTTTAGTGTGGTGAGTGGGTGAGTGAGAGGGTGGGTGAGTGTGTTGTTGTCACCTGTAGTGTGGTAAGTGGGTGAGTGAGAGGGTGAGTGAGAGGGTGAGTGTGTTGTTGTCACCTGTAGTGTGGTGAATGGTTGAGTGAGAGGGTGGGTGAGCGAGTGGGTGAGTGTGTTGTCACCTGTAGTGTGGTGAGTGGGTGAGTGAGAGGGTGGGTGAGTGTGTTGTCACCTGTAGTGTGGTGAGTGAGTGAGTGAGAGGGTGGGTGAGCGAGTGTGTGAGTGTGTTGTTGTCACCTGTAGTGTGGTGAGTGAGTGAGAGGGTGGGTGAGCGAGTGAATGTGTTGTCACCTGTAGTGTGGTGAGTGGGTGAGTGAGAGGGTGAGTGAGAGGGTGAGTGTGTTGTTATCACCTTTAGTGTGGTGAGTGGGTGAGTGAGAGGGTGGGTGAGCAAGTGGGTGAATGTGTTGTCACCTGTAGTGTGGTCAGTGGGTGAGTGAGAGGGTGGGTGAGTGTGTTGTTGTCACCTGTAGTGTGGTAAGTGGGTGAGTGAGAGGGTGAGTGAGAAGGTGAGTGTGTTGTTGTCACCTGTAGTGTGGTGAGTGGGTGAGTGAGAGAGTGAGTGAGCAAGTGGGTGAGTGTGTTGTTATCACCTTTAGTGTGGTGAGTGGGTGAGTGAGAGGGTGGGTGAGCAAGTGGGTGAATGTGTTGTCACCTGTAGTGTGGTGAGTGGGTGAGTGTGTTGTTGTCACCTGTAGTGTGGTGAGTGGGTGAGTGAGAGGGTGAGAGGGTGTGTTGTTGTCACCTGTAGTGTGGTGAGTGGGTGAGGAGAGGGTGGGTGAGCGAGTGTGTTTTTGTCACCTGTAGTGTGGTGAGTGGGTGAGTGAGAGGGTGGGTGAGCAAGTGGGTGAATGTGTTGTCACCTGTAGTGTGGTGAGTGGGTGAGTGAGAGGGTGGGTGAGCGAGTGGGTGAGTGTGTTGTTGTCACCTGTAGTGTGGTAAGTGGGCGAGTGAAAGGGTGAGTGAGAGGGTGAGTGAGTGTGTTGTTGTCACCTGTAGTGTGGTGAGTGGGTGAGTGAGAGGGTGAGTGAGAGGGTGAGTGTGTTGTCACCTGTAGTGTGGTGAGTGGGTGAGGAGAGGGTGGGTGAGCGAGTGTGTTTTTGTCACCTGTAGTGTGGTGAGTGGGCGAGTGAGAGGGTGAGTGAGAGGGTGAGTGTGTTTTTGTCACCTGTAGTGTGGCGAGTGGGTTAATGAGTGTGTTGTTGTTGTGAGCTGCAGCGTGGTAGTTGAACACAGTGTGGTGAACTAGACAAAGGAGTCAGCCTCCTATCCAGGATGGCCTCACTCTGAGTCTCAAGACTCCTTTTCCGGAGGCTCCTGCTACAATGGGATGTTTGGCCAAATACCCTTTTAACTCGGGAGTTGTTTTGCTTCCTGATTGAGGGGGGAGGGCAGGAAATCGAAGCAGCCAGAGAGAAAAAAAAATATCATCTCTCATGCGAGCCGGCCACGTTCGCAAGCCTGCCCCCCCCACTCCTCACAGGCGGATTCACCAGCCCACTTGCTGTGTTACCACATCCGCACCGCCACTTCCCGAGCTCAGCAGATTTTGGAAGAGTTTCGCAGATCTCTCGCGTGGTCCGCAAACCCTTGCCTCTCCAAAGCCCACTGCCGGTGGGTGCCCTGCGAGCTGGGTCATCGAAGTTCACCCCCCAACATTATCGCGAATAAGAGACGTTGTACTGCACTGTGATGGAAGCTATGCCACCGAGCGGGCCGTCTGTGTGCTGCTGTACTGCGCCCAGAACGAAGGAGATTATAAATGACAAAGTAAATAAGTAGGCATTTCGTCTCCTTCCTTTCCTTACTTGTCTCTGCACACACAACATGTAAATACATATGTTTTAACATGTCACATAAGCCTCACGGGCCTTCGTGATTATCTTGTGTTTTGTATTACAGGGACTCTATTTACGAACATTCGACTTACGAACTTTCAGAGATACGAACAACCTGTCGAGCTAAGAATATGAATTACTGCAGTCACGAAAGCTTTAAATCAAAATTTAACCTGTCCGCATGTTGAGTTTCCTGTTCGGACTGAGAGTCGTAAGTTCAACCACCGCACAATCGATGGCGATGGTGGCATCTGCAGAACATGCAGAACCAGTGGCATCTACAGGAGATTATATAACTTTTAAAGCCATTCCCCGTGTTTACTGTACATGCCGTACAACACGTTTGGAGTAGACGGGAGTAAGGTTGGACTTATGAACAAATCGCCTTACGAACAGACCTGGAACCTAACTCGTTCGTAAGTAGAGGAGTCCCTGTTTCCAGTGTTGTGTCGAGCTACAGAGAGGGACCTCGCCAATTCACATCTGGCGGTGCACCAGCGTTGGTACCAAGCAAGTCTCACATTGCTGCAGATGAGACGCTCAATGTCGAAACCGGTATAGAAATGCTGCCTGCGTTGAACCGATGCTGTTGAAATGATGGCACTCTCAGAAAAACGGCTGTGTGGCTGATGGAATGTGTAAATAAATATATACGGATTGTATTTTTTTATGGAGGGAGTCGGATATTAGGAGGCAGCCTCCTTATTTATTTATTAACTTATATTCTGCACAACGGAGAGAATGACGATTGTCTATGTGTGTGACCAGCGTCTGAGTCACTGCGTTTAAGGATTTTGTCCAACACCTATTGTGGGTGTCTCTTACTCACCCCTCGCCACCACGAGGTATCCCGACTTACACATCACCCCGGGATTACCTCACCTACTCACCTGTTACCTCACCCACTCTCTCACAAAAACATTACCTCATCTACGACCTACCTGTTGACTCACCTACCTGTCACCTCACCTACTCACCTGTTATCTCACCTACTCACTCACCTATTAACTCACCCACCTGTTAACTCACCTACTCACTCGCCTGCTACCTCGCCTACTCACCTGTTACCTCACCGACTCACTCACCTGTTACCTCACCTACTCCCTCACCTGTTAACCCACCTAAAAACTCACCACCCGTTAACTCACCTACTCACTCACCTTTTGCTTCACCTACTCACTCACCCACCTTTTAACTCACCTACTCACTCATCCACCTGTTAACCCACCTAATAACTCACTACCCGTTAACCCACCTACTCACCTGTTGCCTCACCTACTCGCTCACCCACCTGTTAACTCACCTAATCACTCACCACCCGTTAACCCACCTACTCACTCACCTGTTACCTCACTTATTCACTCACCCACCTGTTAACCCACCTAATAACTCACCCACCTGTTTCCTCACCTAGCGTTTAACTCTTCCCATGTCACTCTCCCTCCCTCACCTCCTCGTGCCCCCTCCATCATAACAATAATATAATTTACATTTGTAACGCGCGTATCATCCGTAGATCCCAGTGTACCGCCGTGTATGGAAAGCAGGGAGTAAAATAAACCTGCAGGGCACACGGCCAGAACTAGGGGCTAAAGGCCAGTTTAGAGAGGTGAGTTTTCAAGACAGACCTAAACATCTCTAGCGACGCCGAAACATCTCGAACGACGCCTAAACATCTCAAACGACGCCTAAACATCTCGAACGACGCCTAAACATCTCTAGCGACGCCTAAACATCTCAAACGACACCTAAAACGACGCCTAAACATCTCAAACGACGCCGAAACATCTCAAACGACGTCTAAAACGACGCCTAAACATCTCGAACGACGCCTAAACATCTCAAACGACGCCTAAAACGACGCCTAAACATCTCAAACGACGCCTAAACATCTCAAACGACGCCTAAAACGACGCCTAAACATCTCGAACGACGCCTAAACATCTCGAACGACGCCTAAACATCTCGAACGACGCCTAAACATCTCGAACGAGGCCTAAACATCTCGAACGACGCTGTCTTATTCGCAAAGGAAAAGCGTCTCGGAGTCTGGGAGCTGTACGGTACCAAGAGCCCGATTCACCGCATCGCGCACTTTCAGATGCGCTATCTGCGGCTGTCTGGAACGCTCTTCCGATATCAGGAAGCCACTGGAGCCATGCACTTTTAAGTCTACATTGAAAACGCATTTATTTAGAACTGCTTGTTGTGTTGTTTGTTGTCCTTCCCCCGCATCTCCGATTATAACGGGTGGCTACGTATGGTACGAAGTAACTTCAACATAAATTTTGATTTAAAGCTTTCGTGACTGCAGGGATTCATATTCTTGGTTCTTTCGGTAAAGTCACGTAGAAGGGAAACAATGAAATAATAAAAATATAAAACAATAAAATTCTCACGACGTTTCGACTGCAACACAAGCAATCGTCATCAGGTGTGAAAACCATAAGAAAATTTGAAAGATGGATTCTGGCTTAGCAATCATTGGAAGAATTTGATAAACCATTTCGGGTCTTAATTGATTGATCACTCTTAAGGTGGCTTTCAGACCGCATCCATTATTTTTCGTCTCCCCCCTCCTCTTTTCCGAACATAGATGGACTCGTCCATCTGAGCAAACTGTCAAATCGCTATCCGTGGTGCTAACGTTAAAAAAAACGCCACTTTTTTCAAATTTACTTGTTGTGGTTTTCACACCTGATGATGATTGCTTGTGTTGCAATCGAAATGTCGTGAGAATTTCATTGTTTTATATTTTTATTATTTTATTGTTTCCCTTCTACGTGACTTTACCGAAAGAACCAAGAATATAACTTCAACATACACACATTCCCCCAGCAACAAAAGCCTTGCGCTCGGAGTCCTTAGCAGAAGGCGAACCGAAGATCTCAGGGATCTTGTTGGGGAGTCAACAGGGAATGAGTTCGCCGTGCTGTCTTCCTCACCCCCCTCACCCCCCCTCACCCCCCTCACCCCCCTCACCTGTGGTTGCTGCTGTTCCAGTAGACGGCGAAGCGCGCGCTAGAGCCGCGTCCGACCCCGCAGAGAAGCAGCAGCAGCAGCGGCGGCAGCGGCGGCGGCAGCGGCATGACCGGACCGCGACTCCCTCCCTCCTCCTCCGCTCCCCTCTCCGCCTCTTCTCCCTGTGGCCGGCTGCTCACCCGCTCTGCCCCGAGCCGATCCCGCTCGGCCGCGTCAGTGTCAAGATCCGATTCCGGTGCTGATCACGACGAGCTCATCATGGGACTTGGGCCAGTCTCTGCGTGATGCCGGTTGTGGTGACCAGCTGATGCCGGTCCCGGTGGCTGAGTGACCCGGGTGATGGTCACGAGATGAGCCTGGCTTGGTCAAGACCTTGATCCCGGGGCTGGTCCCGTGTGGCCCGTCTGTACCGTGAACCGAGTTGACCTCTAGCCCATCCGAGGCTGGTCGTGATGGACGTCAGCTGTGCACGGCGCCACCTCCACCCTCCCTGGCTCCTGATGGAGCGTGAAGGGCAGGCACCAGGAGATTGCTGAGCCGCAGGGCCCAAATGTCCACTACGACAAGCGGCCAGAGACAAGCAGCACGGTCAAAGTTGTGACAGATACGAGTGTGTAACACGCTTATTTACTCGAGCAGGGATATTATATAAAGAGCTTGGGGGGAGGAAGGCGACGATGGGAGGGAATGTGCCTTGCAGTGTGGCGAGTATGTGGGTGAGTGAGAGGGTGAGTGTGTTGTTGAGTGAGTGAGTTGTTGAGTGTTGGCGAGTGTGTTGTTGTGACATGTAGTGTGTTGGTGAGTGTGTTGTTGTGACATGTAGTGTGTTGGTGAGTGTGTTGTTGTGACATGTAGTGTGTTGGTGAGTGTGTTGTTGTGACATGTAGTGTGTTGGTGAGTGTGTTGTTGTGACATGTAGTGTGTTGGTGAGTGTGTTGTTGTGACATGTAGTGTGTTGGTGAGTGTGTTGTTGTGACATGTAGTGTGTTGGTGAGTGTGTTGTTGTGACATGTAGTGTGTTGGTGAGTGTGTTGTTGTGACATGTAGTGTGTGGTGAGTGTGTTGTTGTGACATGTAGTGTGTTGGTGAGTGTGTGTTGTGACATGTAGTGTGTTGGTGAGTGTGTTGTTGTGACATGTAGTGTGTTGGTGAGTGTGTTGTTGTGACATGTAGTGTGTTGGTGAGTGTGTTGTTGTGACATGTAGTGTGTTGATAAGTGTGTTGTTGTGACATGTAGTGTGTTGGTGAGTTCGTGAGTGAGTTGTAGAGATACCTGCAGTGTGGTGGCTGGGCACAGCCGTGGGTGGACGAGACGACACGGACGGCGCCTGGTAGGCTGCAGCAGGCACGAGGAGAGCGAAGTGAGGCGAGGTGAGCCGTGGTGTGAGCTAAGCTCTTCTGACCCCGCACAGAGCTCGACTGCGAGTATGATGATGATGAAGCTGGGAGGAGGAGCCACACGCATGGGTGGGTGGCTGGGAGGGGGGCAGACCGCAAAGAGACACGGACAAGTCAATATTTACACGCGCGGCAGGCGTGTGGCTGCGTGCGAGGGCGTGCTAGAGATGAGTGTGTGAGTGTTGTTGTTGTTGTGTGTATTAGGTGAGAGTCTATGTTGGGAGAGAGTGTTGATGGTGAGCGCGCTGCGCTACGAACCCGGCCGGCCCGAGTTCGATTCCCGCTCACGGCCACCAACACCGAGTGACGGTGATCCGAACCGGTCCTGGGTCTTCGCAAGGTCAACTCAGCTTCAAATGAGGACCCGGTGCGGTGTGTAAACATTGCCGCTCGGGATACAAAGGCGGGCGAGCGTGGTGCTGGCCACCCACCCCCTCGTGTGTTGTACCGGCCTTCACAGATGCTGCTTATTAATAGCCCTTGCCCTAACAGTGTGTTACAGTCTGTTACAGGCTATACGGGGGGGTAATCTTTATCTTTGCCATGTCTTTGTGTGTCGTAGGTGTTCCGTAACAGCCAGCACTTGCCCCGTCAGTATGTGAAGACTATAGGCTGTGGGGTTTGGTTCTTTGCGTCTCTGCGTCGAGGGGCGCCGCGGTGGCGTGGAGATACCATCTCGTCCGAGTGGCGAGCCCACACGAGACGGTGTGATGGCGAGATGGTGTGATGGTGAAATGGTGTGATGGGGAAATGGTGTGATGGTGTGATGGCGAGATGGTGTGATAGTGAGATGGTGTGATGGCGAGATGGTGAGATGGTGAGATGGTGTGATGGTGAGATGGTGTGATGGCGAGATGGTGTGATGGCGAGATGGTGTGATGGCGAGATGGTGAGATGGTGTGATGGTGAGATGGTGTGATGGTGAAATGGTGTGATGGTGAAATGGTGTGATGGTGTGATGGTGTGATGGCGAGATGGTGTGATAGTGAGATGGTGTGATGGCGAGATGGTGAGATGGTGAGATGGTGTGATGGTGAGATGGTGTGATGGCGAGATGGTGTGATGGCGAGATGGTGTGATGGCGAGATGGTGAGATGGTGTGATGGTGAGATGGTGTGATGGCGAGATGGTGTGATGGTGAGATGGTGAGATGGTGTGATGGTGAGATGGTGTGATGGTGAGATGGTGTGATGGCGAGATGGTGTGATGGCGAGATGGTGTGATGGTGAGATGGTGTGATGGTGAGATGGTGTGATGGCGAGATGGTGTGCCGCCTGTCTGCGTGGAGTCCGCGTGGATTGTTCGTCGGGTCTCTTTGGGTTTTGCTCGTTTAGAAAAAAAAACACTCGCGTTTACCTCATGTGGCTGCTACAATACATTTTTGAGTGGTGATGCTATCAGCCACTTCGGTGATGAATTGTCATCGTGTGTAGCCAGGTCGCCTCTGAAAGCGAGCGAAAAGCTTAGTGCGCTTTACCTGGTGAATGCAATGGCTTAGTTGGTGTGTATTTCTCGCCACACCACCCCCTCGTGTCCCGAGTCGGCCTTCAAAGGTGTCGCCAACAGCACTTTTCCCACCAGTCTTTTAAGGCTACATGGGGTATCTGTCTTTGTAGGCAGCGCCATTCCCTGTTCACCTTGGGGTGCGACAGAGATGTCCTCTGGACCCAACACTACTTTTACATACTTGATTTGAAGCTTTCGTGACTGCAGGAATTACTCTTTGTTTTTTTCGGTAAAGTCACGTATAAATAAGAAATAATAAAATCACATAATAGCGTACGACGTTTCGGTTGCAACACAAGCAGCCATCATCAGGTACAGAAGAGCTAAATTTAGGAGAGAGGGGAAACATAACCTCATATGTATATACAGACACCCAAGTAGGGGGAACTGACACATACAACAGGGGACACAGAGAGAGAAGCATACCAGACAAACAGGGTTTAGCAAAATTTTTGGGACCATGTAAAGCAACACAGACGGTCGGTCAAAACACAATTAACGCATAGTCCGGTTGATCACGTTATTTCAAAGATTGCTAAATTGCAAGTTAAGTATGAAACTCAAAATACAGACCGCACACACACACACAGACATCCAAGAAGAGCGAACCAGCACAGAGACAAGCACACAGTAAAGTCGCCTTAAATTTTGCTAAACCCTGTTTGTCTGGTATGCTTCTCTCTCTGTGTCCCCTGTTGTATGTGTCAGTTCCCCCTACTTGGGTGTCTGTATATACATCTGAGGTTATGTGTTTCCCCTCTCTCCTAAATTTAGCTCTTCTGTACCTGATGATGGCTGCTTGTGTTGCAACCGAAACGTCGTACGCTATTATGTTATTTTATTATTTTTTATTTATACGTGACTTTACCGAAAAAAATAAAGAGACTACTTTTACATCTTCCTCAACCACGTAATTCAAGAAGCCTCCCATGGCTGTACCGGAGGAATTTCCATTTGGTACAGATACAAGAGGAGGCTGATTGATGACCGGGTGCGGTCAAGGGATAGCTCCCTATCGGTGAGCCATGTAATCTCTGCTGATGATCGTAATTGCTGCTCACTCTGAGGAGTTGGAGACCGCTGCCAAACCTGGAGCATGCGACTAAGAATTGGGGACTTGCCAGCAGCCCAATCAATACAAAGCAACTTTGCTGGGTATTTGATGTAATCAAATTCTCCACCTTGTCCACTCTCCCCACGAGTGATGGGGGCCAGGTGTGGAGAGTCACCACACCTGGGCAGTTTGGCAGCGGAGGTCTTACTGCGAATCAGTCGATCGCCATTATCTTTTCATCAGCTGCGTGCCACTGTGTGGAAGATACCTCCCTTGTCTATCACTCCACGCGAAGCCCACATGCCCAGCCACAGCATGCCCAAACAGCTTCTGTTCGGCCGAATAGAGGGGGCTAAACGGGCTAAGCACAGGCTAAAAAGTAGATAGACTGGTACACGAGTGGGTGGGTGACTGAGTGAGCGGATGGTACGGGCTGTATGGTTTTATTACTTTTTTTCCCACCGTACGTAGCCAATCGTGATAATGGGAGGTGCGCGGGTAGGACAACACATTAAATACAAAAAGTAGCTGTAAAAAAATCAGTTTTCAATCAAGATTTTAAAGCGCATAGCTCCGGTGGCTTCCTAATATCGTAAAGGAGAGCGTTCCAGACGGCCGCAGAATCACATCTAAAAGTGCGATGCAGTGACCGTATTTGTTCGACGGCTATCCAAAAGCCGCTGCGTTCGCGTGATGGTTCATGCTCTTTGACGGGATCAGCAAGATATTGTGGTTCATTTGTGGCAAGCACTTTGTGTGTGTACTGAGTATTCGGCTGATGTGATGCCAAAGGATCTAAAGTTAAGTGGATTTTCCGATGACCGGTACCAGTGGTGTCAAGATCGGCCTCTATGGAGGAGACTCGTGAAGGACGCTGCTAGGCAGATGGAGGCAGTCGCCTTCAAAGGACAACGAAGGGCAGAAGAGCGATGCTCACAATAATAAGCGGAGCGCCGGGCGGCTAAACGCAGTGAGGTGGCACAGTGGGGAGCACAGGTGATGCATCTGTCAGTCATCTCAATCAATTGGGTCTGTCCCGTGACCTGCCATCGAGCCTTCGACACTTAATGTGGCCTCAAAGTGCACCTCGCCTGGCACAAGCGCCGTGGTGATGTCACCGCCAATTAGGGGCGAGCGGCCTCTGCTGTGTTTGTGTCTAGAGGGGAGCGGTGGCGCAGTGGTTAGCGCACCAATTCCCGCTCACGACCAATATCAGTGGCGAATATTTGGACCGGTCTTGGGCCTCCCTTAGGTCGATTCAGCCTTAAATGAGTACCTGGTGCGGTGTGTAAACATCAGCAATGGTGCTCGCTAACAGCACTTGCCCCAAAAGTCTTTTGAAGGCTACACGAGAGATCTTTGTCTTTTTGTATCGGTGTATGTTGTTGGCATGTGGGTGTATTGTGTGTCTGTGAAAGCCTAAACTGTACAGGTATGGTGGGAATCTTTGTTTGAATGTGTGTGTATTGTGTATACAGTGCGTATCTTGTGATATATACACACAGTGCATATATTGCGTGTGTGTGTGTGGGTGAGTGTTGGGGAGCGGTGGTGTAGTGGCTCGCGTGTTGCACTCAGAACCCGGCGACCTAAGTTCGATTCCCGCTCACGAGAAAATTAATAGTGGGGAATATTTGAACCGATCCTGGGTCCTCCCCTAAGTATATTCAGCCTCAAATTAGTACCTGGTGCGATGTGTGAACATTTCCACTAGGGAGACAAAGGCGGCCGGGCGTGGTGCTAGCCACCCACCCACTCCCTGAGTGTGCCGTACCAGCCTTCATCGGCGCTCGCGAACGACACTTGCCCAAATGACCTGTTCAGGCTATACTGGGGATTTTTGTCTTTGTTTCAATGTGTATGATCGTTGAGATTGTTGTGACGAGTACTGTTAGCGAGCACCTATTAAGGCCGGCACTGCACATGGCATGAGGGGTGATGTGGTCAGAACCACGCCCCACAGCCTGTGAAATGCTGCATGGGGGCAATTATATGAATGCGAGTGAAAGTCTATATGGGGGACCTTTATCTTTGCTTTGTATGCGTCTGTGTGTATTATGTATGTGTATTGCACGGGCGTGGTGCTAAGCACCCCACCCCTCATAGGCGCGGCCTTAATAGATGCTCGCTAACACCACCTGCACCAACAGTCTGTGTAGATAGGTGAGCGTGGTGAGTGTGTGGCAGTGTGTACAGCGGTAGTGGAGTGGTTAGCGCTCAACATTACGAACCCGGCGGACCGAGTTCGATGCCCCTCTCACGGCCAACACGAAGCAGTGACTATTATCTGAACCGGTTCTGGGCTTCCTTGGGTCGACTTAGCTTCAAATGATTACCTAGTGCGGTGTGTAAACATCGCTACTAGGGAGACAGGCGGGCGAGCGGGCGTGGGTGGCCACACCCTCGCGAAGAGCATTTGTCTCTCCAATCTGTGATACGGGGCTCTTTGTCTCTGTGCGTGGTGTGTATTGGGTGTGCACTGTGCGTGGTGTGTATTGGGTGGTCACAGGCACCGTGTAAGCCAGAAAACTAACCAGACAATCAGCCTCCTCCACGCACAAATATCGGTGTTATTTTTTTACACATCCCATCATTTGGAATTGGTTATCAAGCGAGCCCAACTCTGCTGATGAGACACTAAACGTCTAAACCGGCCTAGAGTGCCGCTTGTGTTGAACCCATGCTGCCGAGACCATGCTCTACGGGAAGGCAGTGTGGCTGATTGGATGTGTAAAACAGACTTTAGATTGTATAAGTGGAGGGACACGTCCCGGAGGGAGACACATTGTATCTGATTCATCGTGTTATTCAGGGATATGCGTTGTTTTTTTTCCTGTGCGGGTGTCTCTGTGCGCGTGTCACGGCTAGCATCAGTGGCGAGTGATACTCCGAGGCGGGTTTTTTTTGGTCCTCCTGCTAGGTCGACTCGGCCATTAAAACGAATCCCCCGCACTTTGTAAGCATCGGTCTCGGCGTCTTGGCGAGACACGGATGGGAGCGAGACGCGGGGGGTTTTCTGGTGGTGAGACACGGCGGACGGGATGAGCGAGACGCGGGGGGCGGGATGAGTGAGACACAGATGATGGGGGGATGCCCGCTCACTGCACAGCACCCCCCACCCTCGGGGGGGCGGGGCTGCCTCCCCCGCTGTTGACCCCCCCCAACCCCAACCCGTGCCCAGGCCACGCCACCCGGCGCCCTGCCTCGCCCTGCGGCGAGCGCGGCGCGGCTGCAGCGTCTCGCCCGCCCGCCCGCTGCAGCCGCTGAATCACTTCGGCCAGACGCTCCTCGCTGCGCCGTCTGCAGCGAGCCGACCAACTTCGCCCTCGATTCCGCGCAGCAATTGTACACACATTTTTAATTCGCATAGTAAAGCAATTGTATGTTTTCATTTGCTATACAGCCAGATAACACGACAAATCGCTAACCTTAAACACCCAGTCGTTCATAAAAGTTAAAGGCAGTATAGTACTATAGTAATAGAGCAAGTGCAGAATCACTGAACCGGAATTGAGATTTCGATTTAAAGCTTTCGTGACTGCAAGGATTCATCTTCTTTGGTTCTTTCGGTAAAGTCACGTAGAATGAGAATAAAATAATAAATTGATAAAAGAAAATAACACAATAAAATTCTCACGACGTTTCGGCCGCTTGTGTTGTGGCCAAAACGTCGTGAGAATTTTATTGTGTTATTTTATTTTATCAATTTATTATTTTATTCTCATTTTACGGAATTGAGATATTTAAAGCATTTAGCGCGGGGCCCTTGAAAGTGCGAGGCCCGTAGCTACTACTACACATGTAGCTACTTGTGCTACTAGGATAATCCGGCACTGACGTGTTTATTATTTTTGTTACACAAAGATCCCCTGTGTAGCCCTGACTTGGGCGGCAGGCGCTGTTAGCCAGCACCCGATGGATGTCGGCATGGCACACGCTAGAAGGTGTGCCAGAACCGCTCGCCAAATCGCGATGTTTAAACGCCGCACAAATGACTACAAGATACTCATTTGTGTACGAGGCACTCATTCGAGGCTGGTACTTATTGGAGGCTGAGTCGACCTAGGTGAGGCTCAGAGATTCGTGTTTGCCGTGAGCGGGAATCGAACTCGGGTCGCCGGGTTCGTTGTGCAGCACAATAACCAACTACACCACCGCTCCACACACATCCCATCTGCAGCACTGCGTTTCTTTCGGGAGTGGCGCATTTTAGTAGCGTTTTGCAACTCGTAGTGATATACCTTGCAAATGGTTTTAATATTCAGTGCCTCATAAGGAGTCGGCCTTGCTTGAATCAACGTTGGGTCTTCGTTCAACACGACACTCCATAGTGCACAACGCAACATAATCACGTGCGTCGCTCTGGAGGATATAAAATTAATAAGTAAATTGCTTCCTTAAGATGTCTCTCCACATCAAACTTTTATTTTATACATCCCATCAGCCACAGGATCTTCTGGGACACACCTGTTTTAATAGACACTGTAGACCACTCCAGACAGGCGACATCCACTCATCACGCCAAACCTTCACGGGCGCCTCTTGTGGCTGAACGCAAAACCACGTGGAGTTTGCGCGACATCCAACGTACACCACTTCCCCGCCCGGGGCGACTTTACAAACCTGGGCCCACAACACTCGACGCAACTTTTATTTCATACAGGTAGCATTGTTCATGTATAGTATACCACTACTTCCAATATGCCACCACCATCTCCATCACGCTGCTGTCACCTTTGTAATAATTATTATATGGGCCGCAGAGTAAACGCCACTGCAGCCGGCGCTTCTTTAACGGAGGAGGAACAGCGACACGTCGCGAACTCTTGTCTCTCTGTTGAAGCCCTCTCGTTGTGACCAGCAGCAGCAGCAGGACCTCCACATTGGCATCGAGCTCCTGAACATCAACACCACATTGCTACTGACATCGTAAGAGTCGAACGATTCCATTCGCACGCTCAGCAGACTTGAGGCTCCCGTGACGCTTTTTTGCAGTGGGGGTTATTGCGATGTTCTTTTCCCCCAATTAAGCAATTTGCGGTAATGATTCAGATATGACAGACTGTGTTGTTGTCTTGGTGTGCTCCGAGGCTGTTGTTGTATTGCTGTGGTCTGGGACTCTTGTTCTTTTGCTGCCTTGCCCCAAGGTTGCATTTGCTGTTGAAAAATCGGCAGGAATTGATGTACTTTTTCAATTTGCACGCCTATAAATTTTGATTTAAAGCTTTCGTGACTGCAGAAATTAATATTCTTGGTTCTTTCGGTAAAGTCACGTAGAAGGGAAACAATAAAATAATCAAAATTATTAAAAAATAAAATAAAAAATATTAAATTTTGATTTTAAGCTTTCGTGACTGCAGTAATTCATATTCTTAGCTCTTTCGGTAAAGTCACGTTGAACTTTACCGAAAGAGCTAAGAATATAAAAATTATTATTTTATTGTTTCCCTTCTACGTGACTTTACCGAAAGAACCAAGAATATTGTACTTCTATACTTTATATTTGTTTGCAACTTGCTTTCATATCGTCTTTGTATTGTTTGGTGATGTAACTCGCTGACCCTCGTGCCGCCCCTGGACATCTGTGAAAAGGAGCTCCATTGGATTCCTCCTCCTAAATAAATTTTAGATTCTGAGATATGGACCTTGCTGCTGGCACGCAATGGCCTCCTGCTCTTGCAAGTGGCGTCACGGGACCTTTAACGTCAATTGTGGGCAAAGCAGACGGCGCCGCGTAGTAGTATTGTAAGATACACGCTGCAGTATTTACCAGGGCAGCCTGCAAGTTTTGAAATGCGAATCTCTGCGAACACGCTACCTTAGCGCCATGTTACCACGATCATTCCCGTCGCCAATCTCGCTGATGCCTGTTTCAGTGTCTCCATCACGCTGGTGTCCGTCATGGGGGTGTCCGTCACGGGGTGTACGTGACGGGGTGTCCGTCACGGGGTGTCCGTCACGGGGTGTACGTCACACGGGGTGTACGTGACGGGGTGTCCATCATGGGGGTGTCCGTCACGGGGGTGTACGTCACACGGGGTGTCCGTCACGGGGTGTACGTCACACGGGGTGTCCGTCACGCGGGGTGTACATGACGGGGGTGTCCGTCACGGGGTGTACGTCACACGGGGTGTACGTGACGGGGTGTACGTCACACGGGGTGTCCGTCACACGGGGTGTCCGTCATGGAGTGTACGTCACGGGGTGTCCGTCACACGGGGTGTCCGTCACACGGGGTGTACGTGACGGGGGTGTCCGTCACACGGGGTGTCCGTCACACGGGGTGTACGTGACGGGGGTGTCCGTCACGGGGTGTACGTCACACGAGGTGTACGTGACGGGGTGTACGTCACACGGGGTGTCCGTCACACGGGGTGTCCGTCACACGGGGTGTACGTCACGGGGTGTCCGTCACACGGGGTGTCCGTCACACGGGGTGTACGTGACGGGGGTGTCCGTCACGGGGTGTACATGACAGGGGTGTATGTGACGGGGGTGTCCATCATGGGGGTGTACGTCACACGGGGTGTACGTGACGGGGTGTCCGTCACACGGGGTGTACATGACGGGGGGTCCGTCACACGGGGTGTCCGTCACACGGGGTGTACATGACGGGGTGTACATGACAGGGGTGTACGTGATGGGGATGTGCGTGACGGGGGTGTCCGTCATGGGGGTGTCTGTCATGGGGGTGTCCGTCACGGGGGTGTCTGTCATGGGGGTGTCCGTCACGGGGGTGTACGTGACGGGGTGTACGACACGGAGTGTACGTGACGGGGTGTACGTCACGGAGTGTACGTCACGGGGTGTCCGTCACGGGGTGTCCGTCACGGGGTGTCCGTCACGGGGTGTATGTGACGGGGGTGTCCATCATGGGGGTGTACGTCACACGGGGTGTACGTCACACGGGGTGTACGTCACACGGGGTGTCCGTCACACGGGGTGTCCGTCACACGGGGTGTCCGTCACACGGGGTGTCCGTCACACGGGGTGTCCGTCACGGGGTGTACGTGACGGGGTGTATGTGACGGGGTGTCCGTGACACGGAGTGTACGTCACACGGGGTGTCCGTCACGGGGTGTACGTGACGGGGGTGTACGTCACGGTGTACGTGACGGGGGTGTCCGTATTCCACCGGTCTGTTACTCTACTGGTGTATTACCCTGAATCCACTTTAATATCTGTAACTTAATATCTCTGAATAATTTGTCCAAGCAAACAGTTTTTGCAAGTTTATTTTATTCAATACCGGTTGATGTTTGTGCACCGTGTCCAATTTTACTTCAATGCGGTCATCTCTGCTCTGCTATTTGCTTATTTTGATCTGATTCCTATTTGCTTAATAGTTGTACAGCACTTAAGTTTACGTTTTTACTTTTCTTATTGGTGACCCAGGTCACTCTTGCAAATGAGACTCACCGTGGTCTCTTGGGGTATATTTTGGTTCAAAAAATACACTTGGAAATTTACACTAGCATCTCTTACACCAATGTCTCTCGTACACCAGTACCTCCAGCGACAGGTTTCTTTTTCATCATTCACGTAAAGAGTCAATATTCCAGACAGCGTCCGCTACCCGCGCCATCCGACATCGAACACCGCGGCCCGGCGGGCTCTCGCAAAGACGTAGTGGGTTATGGGTGGCCTCCTCCCTCCGCCTCCCCCCACCACTCCACTAGAAGGAGAAGCCCTTGGAGGCGAGGTCCCGGCGTGCCTCCCCGATCTGCGTCGCCAGCTCCTTGGCCGCATCGGGGCAGTCGCCGAACGTTGCCAAGCCGATCCCCACGGACGCCAGCGAGTAGCAGCCGAGCAGCACCAGGGCGTAGGCCGGCAGGGGCACCAGGGCGGCCCGCACGGGCGCCGGCAGCGCCGGTCCCGCCACCAGCAGAGCCGCCCAAAGGCCGAGTAGGGAGGCCGCGCGCAGCGCAAAGCGGGACAGGCGGGTCATGGCGGCCTGCGAGAGGGCGTGCGGGAGGGCACGGCGGGAGGGCACGGCGGGAGGGCACGGGGGACAGCGGAGGTGGCGTGGACAGCAGCATCGGCGAGAGTGAGCAGAACGGGCAGCATCGTCAGCACGCTGAGCGTGAGAATGATCACCATCATCAACAAAAGCATTACCATCAATCAACATGATCCAACAAATTCAAAATGCTTCCGCGCGGGTTATTTCCAATCTCTCCTTTAATTATCACACTTTGCCTCTCAACACTGCACCATAGACTCAGCACTGCACCATAGACTCAGCACTGCCCCATAGACTCAGCACTGCCCCATAGACTCAGCACTGCCCCTGTACATGAAGCAGTCCCCCTCCTTAGCCTCACCTCTTCTCTATAGCCCATTCCCTCCCCTCCGTCCCCCCCCGACAGCCCTTCCGTGACCCCACGTGCCCTTTTGTTAGGTCACTCCTTTCTCGGCCCTTGCACTGCCCTTGCCATCTAAATCATTCGATGTTTGTAACCTATGTCATAGAGCGCCTTGAACTATAGCCCTCATTAAATGTAAAAATAAGTTAAATCAGCACCATCTTTATCATCCACATTATGAGCAACGCTATCAACGTCAGCATCGTCAATCATGATGGGATGTGTCAAATCTCGTTTGTTTTTTGAAGGGACAGATGTGGCTGCTTTGGCATCATGGAAACTCAACCCCAGGAATTTTGAGTTCTTAAAACCCCAATCCCGACGATACCCTGGAACCTGAATCCATCAAACTTGCATCCCGAGAATGTGAATCCCTGGAACATGGATCTCCGAGCCCTGGATTCCAGGAACCTGGCTCTTTGGATTCTTGGATCTCAATCCCTGAACACAGTCCCTCGATTCCTACAACCTCAGCACATGGGGGGACCCGGAGCCCTGAAACCTGAATCCCTAAAACCTGGAACCAGGAGGCTGAATCCTTACAACTTGATGTCCTGGAAGCTGGATTCCTCCAAGCTGAGTCCATGCAATCTGCATTCCTAAAATCTGGAAAGGAATCCCCGAGCCCTGAAACGCGAATACCTGGCACCCTGAATACAAAGAGACCTGGAACCCTGAATACAAAGAGACCTGGAACCCTGAATACCAAGAGACCTGGAACCTGGAGCCATGGTTCCTGAATACCTGGACCCTGGACCCTGGATCCTGACTACGTGGAGCCCTAGAATGTTGATTACGTGGAGCCCGGAGCCCTGCAGCGTGGTTTACCTGGAGCCCTGAGCCCTGGAGCCTGAATATGAAGAGACCGAAGCCCTTGGAGCGTGGATTGCGTGGAGCCGCCGCCTCCGTCTCCCGCTTCCGCAGTCGCGGCGGACGAAACGAGGCCCCGGGCTGACGTCACGCGGCGCGCTCCGTTATGACGATGACGTCATCGCCTCCGCTCGCCAAACCCTGGCTCGCGATGACGTCACCAGGGCAGCGCGTTGTTTGACGGGCTTTCTTTTTACGACGGCGTCATCGCGATCATCATCAACCATAGTTAGTTCCATAGTTCCATTTATTTGGTATAGCCCTGTGAGCCATTCGGCTCTTGAATCGGGTGCAACCGCAACAAACAAAAAAAACATGAACAAGAAAACATCTTAAAGTGATTATGTGACTGTGCAAACAGAAAATCCAGGAAAAAAAACATCAAAATATTCCTGAAATAGTACCATACACCTCCCCACCTCTCCACCAACCGAACGTTCGAGACGTCATCGCGTCGTGTTTACATCTCTGTTGACGTTGCACGATCGCGTGACGTCACGCCGCAGATTTCCCCGCGCGTGTTCGGTTAACGTCACGCGTGACGTCATCGACCGTTTATGAAAACCGCGTGGGCGACGTCATCCGTCGAGGCCAAAAACATATTTGTTACGTCACGTCTCGGCCGCTTCTGCTCACTGGCGGCGTCCACGTTACGGCGCCGGGTCCCGCGTGAACCGGGGAGCCCCGCGTGAACCGGGGAGCCCCGCGTCCCTTTGCGTCGGGTGGCAGCGATTCCACGGATCGAGGTACCCCCCCGGGGGTGCGGGCACTGCTGCGCGAGTCCCCGTCAACTTGGGTCCCCCCCTGTGTGTGAGCGGGGTCCGCGCAGAGTGGGGGGGGGGGGTCTCTGTGTGAAGGAGTTTGGGTTGCCTGCACAGAGGGGTCATCTTGCACAGGGGGCCTCCGGGGCAGCGGTGACGTGTGGTTATCTCGCGGCCCATATCAGTGGCGAACATCTGAACCGGTCCTGGGCCTCCCCTAGGTCGACTCGGCCTTAATTTAGAACCTCGTGCGGTGTTTAAACATTAGCACTGGAGATACAAAGGCGGCCGGGCGTGGTTGCTGGCCACCCACCCACCGAGTGCGGCCTTCATAGGTGCTACACGCGACCAGCATGCCCAAAAAGTCTGTTAAAGCTATACGGGGGATATTTGTCTATGTGTGTGTCTGTGTCACTGTGTGTCTGTGTGTCTCTGTGTCACTGTGCTGAGGGAGGGTGGCGTTTGTGCACAGGCTGCCCTATATGACACCATAACAACAGTCTGGACCACTGGACGGGTTCCGCAGGATTGGAAGGATGCCCTGGTGGTCTCCCTCTTTAAGAAGGGGGACCGCACAGACTGTAACAACTACAGGGGCATCTCACTCAGTGTGAGGCCGGGAAAGGTCCTGGCAAGGATTATTCAACATCGCCTTGCCACGCACGCTGAGGAGAGGCTTGCGGAGCCCCAATGCGGTTTCAGGAAAGGGCGGTCCTGCACATATGCCATATTTTCTGTCCGTCTGCTACAGCAGAGGTGTAGGGAATTCCAGCAAGACCTACATCTCTCCTTTATTGACCTGGTCAAGGCCTATTATACCATCAGTAGGCCTAGGCTCTGGGTTGTTCTTAGTGCTTTTGGAGTCCCTGACCCTCTGCTCACGATCATTGAGGACCTTCATGATTTTTCAATTTAAAGCTTTCGTGACTGCAAGGATTCATCTTCTTTGGTTCTTTCGTTAAAGTCACGTAGAATGAGAATAAAATAATAAATTAATAAAATATCCGTGGTGCTAAAGTTGAGGGTAAGAATCCACCCATTTTTTCACCATATAGCATTGTGATATACTGTATAACGACTTATTGTTGGTAGCTTAGCTGATTGGAGAATATATAGAGTTTATTGATAACATTGAGGTAGTTTATATTTTAGTTTTTTATTGGTTTACTATATGGTATTCATTATATAGTGTAGTGTATACCCAGCTACTGTGAATAGCTCAGCTTATTGAAGAATATATTGAGTACATTTATATTGATGTAATTTAGACTTAGGTTTTTTCACATCGGTTTACTATATGATAGTCGAGTGGTTGCAGCCCCTTTGGCGTCCATGTACTAGGTGCCTCTGTGGATGTGTAGGCTTTGACTTTAACATAGCTATTTCTATGACCAGTCACAAGTTAATCACTCAGCTATTTCAATGCTAAATTCTCCTGTTTGATTTATACTAGGTGCCTCTGTGGATATGTAGGCTTTGACTTTAACATAGCCATTTCTGTGACCAGTCACAAGCTAATCACTCAGCTATTTCAATGCTAAATTCTCCTGTTTGATTTGTACTAGGTGCCTCTGTGGATGTGTAGGCTTTGACTTTAACATAGCTATTTCTATGACCAGTCACAAGCTAATCACTCAGCTATTTCAATGCTAAATTCTCCTGTTTGATTTGTACTAGGTGCCTCTGTGGATGTGTAGGCCTTGACTTTAACATAGCTATTTCTATGACCAGTCACAAGCTAATCACGCAGCTATTTCAATGCTAAATTATCCGAACCAAACATTAAACTAATTTTCAATGGTACAGTATATTTTTTCAAGTAGTGGTATCCCAAACTTTCGCAGCAGCTTAAATTCCCTTTTCACACCATCAATATGTAAACTCCCCCTCCCCCCCTCGCCGGTCTGCACATGTTCACCCCCTCTACACCGTTCATCATGCTAAGTCCGCCAATTAAATGCTAATTTTTATGCTAATTCCTTTGTCAAGGCGCTCTGTTTCTTCTCACACAGCTAAAAGGTCGCGGTCTGAGCTTGGCTGTGTTCGCTCCAGCGCTGTTCTCCAGACAGTCTCGTCCCTTCACCTGATGAAGGCCACTTGTGTTGTGGCCGAAACGTCGTGAGAATTTTATTGTGTTATTTTATTTTATTAATTTATTATTTTATTCTCATTCTACGTGACTTTACCGAAAGAACCAAAGAAGACCTTCATGATGGTGAGCGGGCCCGGGTAAAACTACGTGGCCGGGAGTCGGAGCCATTCCCTGTTCACCTTGGGGTGCGACAGGGATGTCCTCTGGCTCCAACATTATTTAACATCTATTTTGACCACCTAGTTCGTGAAGCCTTCAGTAGCTGTACCGGAGGAATTTCCATCTGGTACAGATACAATGGGAGGCTAATCGATGCCCGGGTGCGGTCAAGGGTTGGCTCCCTATTGGTCAACCACGTTATGTGTTCCGATAACCTGGTAATTACGGCGCTGCTGCTGAACCTGTAGTGTGCCATGAAGAGATGGGGCCTTACCATCAGCCCCACCAAAACGACGCACTTGCCTGGGTATTTTGTACCATCAGGCACTCCACCCCCACAACTCCCAATCTGTGATGGGGCAGTTGTGGAGAGAGTGGAGAGTTTCCCATACCTGGGCAGTGTGTTCATGACCGGCTCCGGTTTAACAGCAGAGGTCTCACTACGAATCAGTCAAGCGGCATTATCTTTTCATCGGTTGCATAACGCTGTGTGGAAGCTACCTGGTCTATCACTCCGTACGAAGCTTCAGGTTTTCTCGGCCACGGTCATTCCCTCCCTTCTCTACACTTGCGAAACGTGGACACCCCTAATGGAACATCTTCGCCGGTTAAAAACATTTATGCTGGCCTGCCTACAATCCATCCTGGGTTTAACCAGGCTGGATTGTGTGAGGAGCTCACAAATCCTTGAAAGATGTGGACAAAGTGCCATCGGTGAGCTCCTCCGGCAGGCAAGGCTTCGTTGGCTGGGTCATGTCGCCTGCATGCCCAGCCACCGCATGCCTAAACAGCTTTTGTTCGGCCGGATTGAGGGGGCTAAACGGGCGCTGCACGGGCTAGAGAAGAGATGGAGTGATGTGGTACAGGAGGACGTGGAACTGAGTGGACTTGCCGATGACTGGTACCAGCGGTGTCAAGATCGGCCTTTGTGGAGGAGGCTCGTGAAGGACGCTACTGGGCAGTTGGAGGCAGTCGCCCTCCAACAACAACGGAGGGCGAAGGAGCGACGCTCACAACAACGAGCGGAGTGCCGGGTGGCTCAAGCACCTCAAGTTGGCACAGTAGGGGGCACAGGCGGTGCATCAGCCAGTCATCTCAGTCAGTCGACCTGTGGCATCTGGGTCTGCCAGCGGGGGTTCGACACTTCACGTGGCCTCAAGGTGCACATAGCCTGGCACAAGCGTCGTGGTGACGTCACTGCTACTTAGTGGCGAATGGCGGTTGTTGTGTGTCTTTGTCTCTGTGTGTCTTTATGTCTGTGTGTCTGTATCAGTGGCAGCCGTGAGGCCGAGTTAGGTCTGGGTCCAGGTCGAGCGATGTGACGGGAGGCTTGGGGCTGACGCCGCAATCCGATCCTGCAACGGGGATGGTGACAGTGACAGCCTTAGAGTGACACAACACAGTCTAGCTCACAACACAGTCTAACAACAGACTAACAACAGTCTAGCTCGCAACACAGTCTAGCTCACAAGACAGTCTAGCTCACAACACAGTATAGCTCACAACACAGTCTAACAACACAGTCTAGCTCACAACACAGTCTAACAACACAGTATAGCTCACAACACAGTCTAACAACAGTCTAGCTCACAACACAGTCTAACAACAGTCTAGCTCACAACACAGTCTAACAACACAGTCTAGCTCACAACACAGTCTAACAACACAGTCTAGCTCACAACACAGTCTAACAACACAGTATAGCTCACAACACAGTCTAACAACAGTCTAGCTCACAACACAGTCTAGCTCACAACACAGTCTAACAACACAGTCTAGCGCACAACACAGTATAGCTCACAACACAATATAGCTCACAACACAGTCTAGTGCACAACACAGTCTAACAAGACAGTCTAACAACACAGTCTAGCTCACAACACAGTCTAACAACACAGTCTAACAACAGTCTCACGCGCGCGCGCGTGTGTATGCCCTTCAGCAGGAAAAAGAAAATAACAAGTACAGGAGGCAACGTTTCAGGCAATGACCCTTCTTCAAAGCAGCACGTGGATATTTCGCAGGATTGTGATAGGTGGCGGTGGTTTGAGGAGGCCTTCATCCAGCAGTGGATTGAACCTGGCAGTATGTTGAACTAGGACCCACGGCATTTTACTGAGGCACGTTTTGAGTTGTTTGGCTGTAAACAGCTGGAGGGGGAGATGTTATCGCCATGGTAACTGGGCACCACGGCTGTGCCACACCTGTACTGTGCCACACCTGTACTGTGCCACACCTGTACTCTGTGTGACAGTACAGGTGTGTGTGTCACACACACTTGTACTGTGTGTTTCACACCTGTACTGTGTCACACCTGTACTGTGTGTTACACCTGTACTGTGTGTGTGTCACACCTGTACTGTGTGTGTGTCACACCTGTACTGTGTGTCACACCTGTACTGTGTCACACTTGTACTGTGTGTGTGTCACACCTGTACTGTGTCACACCTGTACTGTGTGTGTCACACCTGTACTGTGTTACACCTGTACCGTGTCACACCTGTACCGTGTGTGTGTCACACCTGTATTGTGTCACACCTGTACTGTGTGTGTGTCACACTTGTACTGTGTCACACCTGTACTGTGTATGTGTCACATCTGTACTGTGTCACACCTTTACCGTGTGTGTGTCACACCTGTACTGTGTGTGTCACACCTGTACTGTGTCACACCTGTACTGTGTGTCACACCTGTACCGTGTCACACCTGTACTGTGTCACACCTGTTCCGTGTGTGTGTCACACCTGTACCGTGTCACACCTGTACTGTGTGTGTGTCACACTTGTACTGTGTCACACCTGTACTGTGTGTGTCACACTTGTACTGTACTGTGTCACACCTGTACTGTGTGTGTCACACCTGTACCGTGTCACACCTGTACCGTGTCACACCTGTTCCGTGTGTGTGTCACACCTGTACTGTGTCACACCTGTACTGTGTGTGTGTCACACTTGTACTGTGTCACACCTGTACTGTGTGTGTCACACCTGTACTGTGTCACACCTGTACTGTGTGTGTCACACCTGTATTGTGTGTGTGTCACACCTGTACTGTGTCACACCTGTACTGTGTGTCACACTTGTACTGTGTCACACCTGTACTGTGTCACACCTGTACCGTGTGTGTGTCACCTGTACTGTGTGTCACACTTGTACTGTGTGTGTGTGTCACATCTGTACTGTCACACCTGTACTGTGTGTCACACCTTTACTGTGTGTGTCATACCTGTATTGTGTGTGTCACACCTGTACTGTGTCACACCTGTACCGTATCACACCTGTACCTTGTCACACCTGTACTGTGTGTCACACCTGTACTGTGTGTGTCACACCTGTACTGTGTGTCACACCTGTACTGTGTGTGTCACACCTGTACTGTGTGTGTGGCGCTGCTTCGCGCGGCTCGGGTGCACCTCGCGATTAGCATGGTTGGCTATGTACGACGCAACAGAAGTTCAACGTACACACACAGGTGGACGATGTTGGGCTGGCGCGGGGCTCTGGACGAGGGCGGCTTTGACGACGTAGAGGGGCCAATGGGATCGGAGCACTCCTCGTCGGATGATAGCGACAAGGATCACGACGAGGTGAGAGCTACACATGCTGTGGGGCTTCGCTGTTCCTCCTCCTCCCTCCTCCTCCTTCGTTGAAGGAGCGCAGTGGGTAACTGTGTGGTCCAGAGTTTGTGTTCCATGGCCACAAGTTGCACCACTGTGGCCTGTGTCTTTTAATTTTCTATTCATGAAGGGGATGTGTTTTGCATTTGGACTGCTGTTGTTCTGATGCGCTTGACGGGTCCACCGGTGCCTTCGAGGCGGAGGGGGAGGGGAATGTCAAGCCCAGGAGGTGCGATGATGATGATGTTTTGGTCAGGAACTAGATGTTTATTTTTTGTACGTCCGTGTTGTTCCGCTTTGTTTTCCAGCGTTCTCTCGGATCTGGGTGAGATTCTAGAGCGATTGTCGTCGATACGACGTGTGGACGGGAAACTAGAAGGGGGAGCCGTGCGATGGCACGCGTTTTCGTGTTCACGCGCACGTGCATGCGTGTGCACGCACGTGCATGCGTGAGCATGTGCAAGCGCGTGTGTGCATGCGTGCGGTAGTGTACCGGTTATCGCGCTGCGCTACGAACCTGGCAACACGAGTTTGATTCTCGCTTACGGCCACCAAGATCGGTAACAATTATCTGAACCGGTCCTGGGCCTCCTCTAGGTTGACTCGCCACTGGGGAGACAAAGGCAGCTGGGCGTGATGGTGGCCACCCAACCTCTCGTGTACCTTGCCGGCTTTCATAGGGACACGCGAGGAGCACTTGCCCTAGCAGTCTGTCACAGGCTTTACCGGGAGGATCTTTGTGCGTGCGTGCAGCGTGAGGAGCGGCTCATCGTGGTGGGGATCTGCGCGATGGCGAAGAAGTCGCACTCCCGGCCCATGGCCGAGATCCTGGCGCGCCTGCGCATGTTCCCCTACCTGAGCGTGAGCATCTTCCCCGAGGACACGATCCTGCACGCGCGTGTCGCCGAGTGGCCGCCCTGCCACGTGCTCATCTCCTTCCATTCTAAGGGTGCGCACGCACGCACCCACGCACGCACGCACATGCATGCACCAACTCAAAGATCCCCCGTATAGCCTCAGCAGTGTTGTGGCGTGCGCTCTTGGCGAGTAGCACCTGTGAAGGCCGGTACGGCACACGAGTGGTTGCGTGGTCGGCACCGCGCCCGGAACAGGACAGCGCCCTGCGCCGCGTGGAGCTTTGGCCTGGCTGACGCGGAGCGGCCGCGTGTCCCGCAGGCTTCCCGCTGGACAAGGCGGTCGCGTACAGCAAGCTGCGCAGGCCCTTTGTCATCAACGACCTCAACATGCAGTACCACATCCAGGACCGGTGAGCACCCGCATTGCCGGGCCGTCTCCACCCCGTGCCAACATTCACCCATTCAATCACACACCCGCCTATCCTCTCAATCACCTACTCACCAATGTACTCAATCTCACGCCAGCTCACCGAATCGCTATCCAGGTGAAATATCTCACCTGCTCACCCACTCGTTCTGTCACCCGTTCACTCGCTCACCCATTCAATCCTTCACCCACTCACTCGCTCACCTACCTTACCCACTCATTCACCAACTCGCCAATGCACTGAATCGCGCACCAACTCACCCAATCAGTATCCAGGAGGAATAACCCCGCCGGCTGGATAAACGGAGAATGAAGCCGCGTGTGGACACGTGGGCCGCCGTGAGCGTGCGCTGCTGGATGTGTTTGTGGCGGTGGCGTCGGTGGTGCGCCCGTGCGCAGGAGGGAGGTGTACCGGATCTTGCGAGCGGAGGGGATCGAGTTGCCGCGCTACGCCATCCTTAACCGCAATCCGGACCACCCTGACGGTGAGCGTCCCCCGTGAAGCTGCGGCACGGCAGCCTGAGGCCCCACGCCAGAGCAGAACCGCGAAGGGCGGGCCGGGAATGGGACCGATGATTCGGCGGCACACGAAGGCAGGCAGGAGCTCGTGCGGCCTTATCCACACCGCCAGCTCAATGGAACTGAACGTTGTGACCGGGTTGCCGTTTGGAACCACCGACCCAGAAAGTTGAGAGAATGTGGCCGTCCCGGGGGGGGGGCGCGGGGGTGGCGGGGGGGGGGGGCTTGCAACAGCGGTGAACGTTGATGACTGGACTGGACTGATGAGTCCTAATGATGATGAGACCGGTCTCCGCTCGTGTCTTTGTGTCTCTGCTGCTTGGGACGGCCTCGTTTTTTCAACTCCTTCAGGTGGTGATTTGAATGACAAAATGGCCACACAATCAGTTATTTGAGCTGGTGGTTTGGGCAAGGCTAAGTGAGAGCTTTGTACACGCCACGCTGCACACCTGAGTGTGTCGCCCAAATCTACCACTGCCTTGCTATCTAAGCGACAAAATAACAATGCAGATATTTCGCCTCCGTCCCACCTCCGTCCCTCTGCATAAAAAAAAAACAATTTTTTTACACATCCCATCAGCCTTCTAGGAGTGCATACATTCAGCTTCATTGGTTCAACAAGCAAAACTTGGAGCGGTTTCGACATTCATCAGTATAGTCGTGCATCGCTTGGACCATTGCTGGTGACTTTGCCAGATGCTTGCAGTATGGGGTTGGAGCCGTGTGCTCTCTACAACACCGAAGGGCACCGTGCTCGTGTCTTCATGTATTGAGGCTTTCTTCTCCTGGGCAAAGCAACCGCAACTGTCACCAAAACGCACCGAGAGCGCTGATAGCTGCGTACTGACGCGGGGTGAGGGCCGCGTCCCGCGGCTCGCTGAACCTCAACGCCGTCTCTTCCCCCCCGCCCACCGCCGTCCATCCGGCCGGGCCTCCCGGGCTGCAGCCTGCGACCTGGTGGAGGGGGAGGACCACGTGGAGATCAACGGAGACGTCTTCCAGAAGCCCTTTGTGGAGAAGCCGGTGTGCGCCGAGGATCACAACGTCTACATCTACTATCCCACGTCGGCCGGCGGAGGCAGCCAGCGCCTCTTCCGCAAGGCGAGTTCGCCCGGGGACAGTCCTCGCCGAGTCTCAAGACGTCGTGTTTAGGGTCCTGCCAAGTGCGCCTTTGCCATCGAGATCGAGCCAGGAGAAAGTGCGTTGGAACAGAGCGCCGCCGGCGTCACCGTGCCAAATTCTGCACAATTTGGCAAGCGCCACGAGAGCTTCCGGACGCACGCTCCGTGCCGCAACGCCGGCACACGTGTTGGTCACGCGCCTCCTCTCCGGGGTGATTCCAGGACCGGGCAGGCCACCTCCTACCCCTGTGCTATGCGGCAATTGTCTGCATGTGTGCGTGCGTGTGTGCACGACGTGTGTTGAGTGTGGGTAGCGGTAGCGTAGAGGTTAGCGCCGCACTGCACTACGAACCCAGTAACTCGCTCATGGCCAACATCAAATGACGATTAACTGAACCGGTCCTGGGTCTCCCTTAGGTCGACTCGGCCTCAAATTATTACTTGGTGCGGTATGCAAACATCGCCACTTCGGAGACAAAGGCGGCCTGGCGTGGTATTGGCCACCCTTGAAGGCTGGCACAGCGCACCTCGTGCGCTGTGCCAGCCTTCATAGGCGCTCGCTAATGGCACTTCCCAAACAGTCTGCTCATGGCTGTATGGGGGACCTTGTCTTTGTGAGTGTTGTGTGTTGTAGGGAGCTGTGGTACAGTGGTTAGAACCTCACGAGCCGAGTTCCATTCCCACTTGCTGCCAACATAATTTTAGAATGACGACGACCTGCTAGCCTTTATAGGTGCTCGCTAACTGCACTTGCCCCAAACAGCGTGTATGGGATGCACGGGGAGAGCTTTATCTTTGTGCGTGTTGGCAGATTGGCAGCCGGAGCAGCGTGTATTACCCGGAGAGCAACGTGCGCAAGACAGGCTCGTACTTGTACGAGGAGTTTATGCCAACCGATGGCACCGACGTGAAGGTAATCGGCGCTCTTGTATGTGTGTGTGTGTCTATGTGTGTGTCTGTGTGTACTTGTGTGTGTGTGTGTGTGTCTATGTGTCTGTGTATCTATGTGTGTGTCTGTGTGTACTTGTATGTGTGTGTGTGTCTATGTGTCTGTGTATCTATGTGTGTGTCTGTGTGTACTTGTGTGTGAGTGTCTATGTGTCTGTGTATCTATGTGCGTGTCTGTGTGTACTTGTATGTGTGTGTGTGTCTATGTGTCTGTGTATCTATGTGTGTGTCTGTGTGTACTTGTGTGTGAGTGTCTATGTGTCTGTGTATCTATGTGTGTGTCTGTGTGTACTTGTATGTGTGTGTGTGTGTCTATGTGTCTGTGTATCTATGTGCGTGTCTGTGTGTACTTGTGTGTGTGTGTCTATGTGTCTGTGTATCTATGTGCGTGTCTGTGTGTAGATGCGTGTGTGTGAGTGTATCAATGTGTGCGCGTGGGGAGCGGTGGTGCAGTGGTGAGTATCCTATGCTAAGAACACAGTGATCCAAGTTCAATTCCCGCTCACAGCCAACACCAGTGACGAATATCTGAACCGGTGCTGGGCCTCCCCTAGGTAGACTCAGGCTTAAATTAGTACCTGGTGCGGTGTGCAAGCATCAGCACTGAGGAGACAATGGCAGCCGGGACTGGTGCTGACCACACATTTCTTCGCGTGCCGTTTTGGCCTTAAAAGGCGCTCGCTAACAGCACTTGCCCCAACAGTCAGCTAACGGCTACACGGGGGATCTTTGTCTTTGGAGAGGGATATAGCCCACATGTCCAGGCAGCCTCTGTTTGCCGATGATTGGCACCAGTGGTGTCAAGATCGACCTCTGTGAAGGAGGTTCGTGAAGGATGCTACTGTGGAGTGGCAGGCTAGGTACTGGGCAGTCCAGCAACTCTAGGCAGCGTTTTCCCAGAGGAGCCATCCTCACAACAATGGGCAGAGCGCCAGATGGCTAAAACGCAGAAAAGTGGCACAGCTGGGAGCACAGGTGATGCATCTGCCACTCGTCTCAGTCGGTCGACCTGGGTCTTTTCCGCGACCACCTGCCAGCAGGGAGAGCCTCCCACACTTCATTTGATGGCCTCAAAGTGCACCTAGCCTGGCGCAAGGGCCTGTGGAGTGACGTCACGGCCACGTCGTGGCGAACGCCGGTTGCCGTTGTCGATGATGTTGCGAGCGCGTGTGATCGTGCCCCCCTCCGTGCGGGCCTAGGTGTACACGGTGGGGCCGGACTACGCGCACGCGGAGGCGCGCAAGTCGCCGGCGCTCGACGGGAAGGTGGAGCGCGACGCCGAGGGCAAGGAGGTGCGCTACCCGGTGATCCTCAACGCCCGCGAGAAGCTCATCGCCCGCAAAGTGTGCCTCGCCTTCAAGGTACGAGCCCCGACTCGCCCGTCCGCCCGCCTGCCCACTTGTTTGCCCCCTCCCCCCTTGCCCACCTGCCGGGCCCAGCGGTGTCGAGATCGACCTCTGTGGAGGAGGCTCGTGAAGGATGCTGCCGGGCAGTGGCGGGCTCGGAGCACTTTGAGGCAGTTGGATGCCCGAGCAACTTTTATTTTCCCGCTAGGGGCGGCAGTCAGTGCGCACCTGTGGGATTGAGCGGCGAGCACGCCCCCAGCTGGCCGCAGCACCTGGCTTACCCTGGGGGAGCCTCGCCAAGTCTCAGAACACTAAAACGATATTGTTACTATTTTAAGGCCCACTGAGCTATATAGCGCTTTTTCAGAAGCGACCTGGCTATCACAAATGATAGTTCAACAAAGTGGCACCTCTTGTTGACATTTATAGCAGCCAAAAACTCTAAACGCATGTTGATTCTAAAAATCCACGCAAACACGGGGAGAACATGCAAACTCCAAATTTACTGGCATCAGGGTTGGGATCGCACCCACGACCTCCTGTATACCAGGCAAAGTAGTCAACATCTCGGCACCGTGGCGGGTCCTGCCAAATGTTTGCCGTAGCGGGGGAGCGATGTTGCTGGTGCTGCTTTGTGTGATCTCGATGGAGATTTATTTGCAGGTGATTTTTTCACCATTGGGGTGTTTTTGGCTGATACCGGTGTGTGTGGATTTTAGCTGTGGGAGGGAACGGGGGAGAACATACAAACACTACTCACACACACTCTCACACTCACTCTGTAGAACAGGGGGAGAACATACAAACACTACTCGCACAAACTCTCACACTCACTCTGTAGAACAGGGGGAGACATACAAACACTACTCACACACACTCTCACACCCACTCTGTAGAACAGGGGGAGAACATACAAACACTACTCAAACACACTCTCACACCCACTCTGTAGAACAGGGGGAGAACATACAAACACTACTCACACACACTCTCACACTCACTCTGTAGAACAGGCGGAGAACATACAAACCCTACTCACACACACTCTCACACTCACTCTGTAGAACAGGCGGAGAACATACAAACACTACTCACACACACTCTCACACTCACTCTGTAGAACAGGGGGAGAACATACAACCCCTACTCACACACACTGTCACACTCACTCTGTAGAACAGGGGGATAGCATACAAACCCTACTCACACACACTCTCACACTCACTCTGTAGAACAGGGGGAGAACATACAAACCCTACTCACACACACTCTCACACTCACTGTAGAACAGGGGGAGAACATACAACCCCTACTCACACACACTCTCACACTCACTCTGTAGAACAGGGGGAGAACATACAAACACTACTCACACACACTCTCACACCCACTCTGTAGAACAGGGGGAGAACTATGAACTCCACACAGAAAGGCGGTCCCCAAGTTGGGAGTCAAACCCAGGGTCTGCTTCTTGCTGCCAGGCACGAGAGTCACCGCGCCGCTCTCTCGTGATTCCGTGGGATCGTTCTCTCCAGCCTCGTGCGATCGGTGGCGCTGTGCCCGTGTCCCCCCCGTGTCCCCCCCGTGTCTCCCCGTGTCCCGACGTGTGTCCCGTGTCCCCCCGTGACCCCATGTGTGTCCCCACCCCTGTGCGTTCCCACGCGTCCCCCTCCTTTTCTCCGCCGTTTTTCGCGCAGCAAACGGTGTGCGGGTTCGACCTGCTGCGAGCGAACGGACACTCGTACGTGTGCGACGTTAACGGCTTCAGCTTCGTCAAGAATTCCATGAAGTACTACGATGACTGCGCCAAGATCCTGGGGTGAGCACGGCACGGTGCGGCATAGCGTAGTACAACACAGCGGAGTGCAGTACAACGCGTCCTGGTGTAGCGTAGTGTAGTATAACAAAGCGGGGTGCAGTACAACACACCCTGTGCAGCGTAGCATAGTACAACACAGCCTTGTGCAGCATAGCGTAGTACAACACAGCGGAGTGCAGTACAACACAGCCTCGTGCAGTGCAGCGTAGTATAACACAGCGGAGTGCAGTACAACACAGCCTCGTGCAGTGCAGCATAGTACAACACAGGAGAGTTGCAGTACAACACAGCCTCGTGCAGTGCAGCGTAGTACAACACAGGAGAGTTGCAGTACAGCGTTATTGCTTGAGTGTGTGTGCGTGCATGTGTGTGTGTTTTTTTGTTATTGTACGTGTGTGTGTCTCTGTGCGTTATTGTGTTCGTGTGTTGGTGAGCGGTGGCGCAGGGGTTAGCGCGCTGCCCAACGAACCCGGCCACCCGAGTTTGATTCCCACTCAGGGCCAGCACTGGTGATGATTATCTGAACCAGTCCTGGGCCTCCAATAAGGTTGACTCAGTTTTAAATGAATACCTGGTGCGGTGTGTGAACATGCGCCGTGCCGGCCTTCATAGGCACTCCTCGCCAACAGCACCTTCCCCAACAGCCCGTGTTAGCCACACGGAGGGGATCTTTGTCTTTGTCTTTACAGGAACCTCATGATGCGGGAGTTGGCCCCACAATTCCAGATCCCGTGGTCGGTTCCCCTGGAGGCCGAGGACATCCCCATCGTCCCCACCACCGCCGGCACCATGTACGGTGCCTACTCACTCACACAAAGATAGAGAAAAAGGTTCCCCCCCCCCCATAACCTCAACAGGCCGTTGGGGCAAGTGCTGATAGCGAGCAGCACCTATGAAGGCGGGTACGGCACACGAGGAGGTGGGTGGTTAACACTACGCCCTGCTGCCTTTGTCTCCCCAATGTTGATGTTTACACACCTGGTACTCATTTAAAGCTGAGTCGACCTAGGGGAAGCCCAGCACCAGTCCAGGTCGTGAGCGGAACTCTAACTCGGGTTGTTGAGTTCATAGTGCAGTGTACTAACCGCTACACTACCGCTTCCCATACTTACACTTGCACAACAACAACAGGCGCCATCTACCACGAAGTGGCGGTGACGTCACCATGGCGCTTGTGCCAGGCTGCACTTTATGGCTGGCAGGAGGTCACGGAATAGACGGAGGTGCCATGGGTTGACTCATTGAGATGACTGGCAGATGCACCACCTGTGTCCCTTACTGTGCCAGCTTGCTGCGTTTTACCCATCTGGCGCTCCGCTCGTTGTTGTGAGCGCCGCTCCTCTGCCCTCCATTGTTGCTGGATGGCGACTGCCTCCAACTGCCGAGTAGTAGCGTCCTTCACGAGCCTCCTCCACAGAGGCCGATCTTGACACCGCTGGTCCCGGTCATCGGCAAGTCCGTTCAGCTCCATATCCTCCTGTATCGCAGCAACCCCTCTGTTCTTCAACCCGCGCCGTGCCCGTTTAGCCCCCTCTATCCAGCCAAACAGGAGCTGCTTGGGTGAGCGGTATCTGGGCATGTTGGGCTACATGACCTCGCCAATGCAGTCTCTCCTGTGGGAGGAGCTCGCCGATAGGACGGCGTCCAGATATTTCAAAGACACACGCACACGGTCGTTGTGGTTGTTGTTGTTGCACGAACGTATGGCGGTGATGTGCGCAGGATGGAGCTGCGCTGCGTGATTGCGGTGATCCGGCACGGAGACCGCACCCCCAAGCAGAAGATGAAGATGGAAGTGAGACACCAGAGGTGAGAGGATGCGGCCAGCAAACCCACGGGACGTTCATCCATCCCTCCGCACACGCACAAATGCGCAGCAATGTGGCGAGTGTCAGGTATCAATGAATCCGAATTCCTTGGTGGTGATGTCACCACGGTGCTTGTGCCAGGCTGTAATTTTTAAGGAGTCTTCCACGTGACATGTGGAAGGCTCGGACGAGCAACGCTCCCAATAACCAGCGGAGCAACGGGTGGCTAAAATGCAGCAATTTGGCACAGTGGGCAGCACAGATGGTGCCTCTGCCAATCATCTGTCAACCCATGGCACCTGGTTCTGTCCGTAACCTCCTGCCATCGAGCCTTTGAAACTTCACGTCGCCTCAAAGTGCACCTAGCCTGGCACAAGCGCCGTGGTGACGTCACAACCACTTGTTGTGTTTGTGTCCCCACGTGTGCAGGGCCTACACATTCATTGGACTATTTGATATCTTATTTGTGGGGAGCAGTCGTGTGGAGGTTAGCGCACTGCGCTACGAACCGACTTGGATTCCCGCTGATGTTCACCACTCGTGATGATTATCTGAACTGGTCCCGGGCCTCCCCTAGGTCGACTCAGCCTCAAATGAGTAACTGGTACAATGTGTAAACATTGCCAAAAGAGAGAAAAAGATGGCCGGGCATGGTGCTGGCCACCTACTCCCTCGTGTGCCTTGCCAGTCTTCATAGGTGCTCGCTATCAGCAATTGCCCCAAGAATCTGTTAGGCTATAGGGGGATCTTTGTCGTTGTGTATGTTGCAGATATTTTGATCTCTTTGACAAGTACGGGGGCTACACGAGCGGCAAGATCAAGCTCAAGAAGCCCAAGCAGCTCCAGGTTAGCACCTATCTGCCTCCTCCCTCCTCCTACCCGCCACCTACCCGCCACCTACCCGACACCTACCCGCCTCCTATCCCCCACCTACCCGCCTCCTACCTGCCACCTACCTGCCTCCTACACGCCTCCTATCCCCCACCTACCCGCCACCTACCCGCCTCCTTCCTGCCCACTTGCCCACTCGCTCACCCACTCACCCTCTCACCAACTCGCCCACTCACCCACTCACACGCACACTTGTCCACTCAGTCACTCGCCCGCTCGCTCGCTCACCTACTCACTCACCCACTCACTCACCCGCTGACCCACTCATTCACCCACTCGCTTGCCCACTCATCCACTCGCTCACTCACTCGCCCGCTCACTCGCTCACCCACACATTCGCTCACTCGTCCATTCACTCACCCACTCGTTCGCTCACCCACTCGCTTGCAGTGCGCTAATCACTGCGCCACCGCTCTTTCACCTTCTCACCCTTGCACGCACGCGTGTGCACGGCACGCACGCACACGCAGGAGGTGCTGGACATTGCCAGGGAGCTGCTGCAGGAGCTAGGACAGAACCACGACTCGGAGATTGAGGAGAGCAAAGCCAAGCTGGAACAGATGAAGGCCGTGCTCGAGATGTGAGGCCTCGCGTCCCATTGCCGCGAATATAAAGTTCTTGGTCGCCGCTCAGTTCTGGCTCGGCCGTCTTAACGCTCACTGCTAAGTACGTTGAGCGTCTCTGTTCCTTCCAAAGACCGCGTGAGCGAGCGGCTCAGCCGTGGCTTGGCTCGGGCTCGGCTCGAGGAAATCCTGAGCGTGGGCCGGGAACGTGCTCGGAGCTGGCTCAAGTTAAACGTGACTTTGAGCCGGCGGCTCACTTTTGAGCTGGAGCCAGGCCTGAGCCGAGCCGTGACTGGGAACGCGGGCCTTAGCAGAGTGGGTAACGTCCTGATTATGAAGGTCAGTGCATGCTGCGTGCGTGCGTGCGTGTGTGTGTGCGTCTGTACCTAGTGCGGTGTGTAAACATCGCCACTAGAGATACAAAGGCGGCTGGGCGTGGTACTGGCTACTCACCCCCTTGTATGCCGTGCTGGCCTTCATAGGTGCTCACTAACAGCACTTGTCCCAACAGTCTTTTAAGGATCTATGGGGGATCTTTGTCTTTGTAGGTATGGCCACTTCTCGGGAATCAACCGCAAGGTACAGCTCACCTACCTGCCCCAGGGCCGGCATCGCCGCTCAAGCGAGGAGGAGGGTGCGTGCGCACTACAAAGACACAACAACAGCAGCAGCAGCAGCATTTCCCGTTCGTAATTAAGTGGCGGTGAGGTTACCACAGCGCCTGTGCCAGGCCAGGTGCATTTTGAGGCCATCACGTGAAGGCTCACTCCTGACAGGAGGTCACGGGACAGACCCAGGTACGATCGGTTGACTGACTGAGATGACTTGCAGATGCACCAACTGTGCTGCCTGCTGTGCCACCCGGCGATCCGCTCGTTGTTGTGAGCATCGCTCCTCCATCTTCCGTTGTTGTTGGAGCCGCTGGTGCTGAACCTGGAGTGTACCACAAAGAGGTGGAGCCTTACCATCAGCCCCACAAAAACAAAGCACCTGCCTGGGTAGTTTGTGCCAACAAACGCTCTCAACTCTCCAGTCATCTCAGTCGGTCAACCTTTGGCACTTGGGTCTGTCGCGTGACTTGTCAGCGATCCTTGGACACTCCACGTGGCCTCATAGTGCACCTGGCGTGGCACAGGCACTGTGGTGACATCACCGTCACTTCGTGGCGCATGGCGAGTATTGGTATTTGTGCGCATCTGTATTTCTCTCTGTACGTGTGTGCGTCTGTGTGTGCGAATCTGTATCTCTATATGTGTGCATCTGTATGTCTTTCTCTGCGTGCGCGCGAACAGACACACAGACGCAGCCATCCCTGCTACTGGTGCTCAAGTGGGGGGGCGAGCTGACCCCCGCAGGGCGCGTGCAGGCGGAGGAGCTGGGGCGCGCGTTCCGCAGCATGTACCCGGGGGGCCAGGGTACGAGCCAGAGGTCACGGGGACATTGGGGGGGCCAGGGTACAACTCGGAGGTCACTGGGACATTGGGGTCCCAGGGAACGTGGATCCACCGCTCACTGTGACGTTGGCGGGCGGTGGCATGGCCCAGCGGTAGTGAGTTCACCGCTCGTCGCAGAGCTTCGGAATTCGAATCCGGCAGGCCGCCCTGGTTAATACTGTGGGTGTATTAATCGTAATATGCCACATGCCGTCCGCTTCACCCACAGTGGATGATGCAGAGCCCTCCCGTTAGGCCCTCATGTATGCTTGTGCACGTGAGCGGTGTTATAGTAGTCACCCCCTACTGCAAACAACTTGGCAGGACCCTCCTGAAAAAGAGTTTTGAGGTCTTCGGAGCTGAGTCACGTTGCTGATGACCGGTACCAGCGGTGTCAAGATCGGCCTCTGTGGAGGAGGCTCATGAAGGATGTTACAGGGTAATTGGAGGCAGCCACCCTCCAGTATCGCAACAATGAGGGGAGCCCCGAGTGGCTAAAATAATGGAATTTGGCACAGCGCGGAGCATAGAGGGTGCATCTGCCAGTCAACCCATGGCACCTGGGTCTGTCCCGTGACCTCCTGGCAGCGGCAAGCCTTAATCAGAGTGCACATAGCCTGGCACAAGTGGCTGCGGTGACGTCAACGCAGCTTAGAGGTGAACGGTGGCGGCTGCTGCTGTGTACAGGGGACCATGCGGGCTACGCTGGCTGCGGCCTCCTCCGCCTGCACTCCACCTACCGCCACGACCTCAAGATCTACGCGTCGGATGAAGGCCGAGTCCAAATGACAGCCGCCGCCTTTGCCAAGGTGAGAGGTGGCGACGAGCCTGGGGGGGCGGGGGGGGGGGGAGTCCTTCGTACAGCAGTGGATAGATCTTGGTTGGCGATGATGATGGCCAGGAGATGATGAAGTCCCTCCCCAGGCAAATCTGCCCCGGGGCCCCCTACTCTCTGCCGTCCATTTTCTAGCCTTCCCCTGCCACCTAGTGTCTCTGCACCCCCTCACTCACTGCTTATCTCTCCTTCCCTTGAGTGAGTGTGTAAGTGGGTGGGTATGTCGGTGAGTCTGTGCGCTCCTATCGGTTTTTGTGTTGTTGCAACTTTCCCACCCCCTACTGGACATCTGTGAAAAAAAGAGCTTCATAGCTCATCGGATTCTTCCAGGATAAATAAAGATTCTGATTCAGGATGAGTGAGTAGGTGTGTGAGTGGGCGAGTGATTGAGTGATGGATGATGAGTGAGGTTAGTGGACGAGTGAGTAGGTAAGTGGGTGGGTGAGTATGCGGGTGAGTGAGTGAGCAGGTGCATGAACGAGTGAGTTACATCCTCTCCTCCGTGTTGGCGCAGGGGCTGCTGGCGCTGGAGGGGGAGCTGACGCCTATCCTGGTGCAGATGGTGAAGAGCGCCAACACCAACGGGCTGCTCGACTCGGAGGGAGACGCCCTTAGCAGCTCGCAGCAGCGCGTCAAGCAGCGCCTGCACGAGGTGCTGCAGAGAGACACCACCTTCACCCCCGCCGACCTGCGCAAGGTGACCGTGTGTCCGCGTGTGTGTGTCCATGTGTGTGCATGTCAGTGTGTGCGTGTGTCCGTGCGTGTGTCCGTGCGCGTGTCCGTGGGTGTGTGTGCGCGTGTGTGCGTGTCCATGCGTGTCCATGCGTGTGTGCGTGTGTCCGTGTCTGTTTGTCTTCGTGTGTGTTTGTGGCGCGCAGTACAATCGTATATCCCTGCCGATTGGTGCCGTGCCCTCGTTGGTGACGGGTATTGTTGTTGTTGTTGCCGTGGTGGGCGCGATGGTGGGGAGCAGCTGGCTCCCACCGGCAGCGCGTCTGTGCTGCGCTCCATGCGCTCCATCGGGAACCCGGTGCGCACCTGCGACGAGGTCTACGCCCTCATCCAGAGCCTCACCTCGCAGATCCGCACGCGCATGCACGAGCCCAAGTCTGCAGGTGAGCCCCTCCAGGGTGAGTCTGTATAGCCCGGTGAGGACTCCACAGTGCTCGGGTCGAGATCGTCGACACGAGTGACCTGGTCACCCAGATGGCAAAAATCTAAAACGTATATAAAATCAAGTACAGAGATCAGAGTAGAGGCAACCAGATAGAGATCAGAGGAGAGAAAAACGCGACTGGGTTGCAGAGGAAATTATTGACAGTGGACAAGCAGAATCAAATGTTGAATAAAATTCAGAAGTTCGAACGAGAAGGGTGCCAGGCGAGGGTCGTGGGGTCGCGGGGTCGCGGGGTCGCGGGACGAGGGTCACGGGGTCACGGGCCGTGGGGAGAGGGGTGAGGGTTGCGGGTCGAGGGGCAAGGGCCTAGGGGGGAAGGTCGCAGGAACAGGCGCGCACCCGGGCGCCTCCGTCCCTCGTCTGTCGTCTCTCTGCCTTACAGATTGAAAGTGTTTATTTTACACATCCCGTCAGCCGCCACACGGCATGCCTTCCGGCATTGCATTCTTTTCAGCAGCATTGCTTCAACAGATGCAAACTCTGGACCCGTTTCGACATTCGCTGTCTCATCAGCAGAGTCGGGCTTTGCTTGAACCGGTGCTGGTGACCTGCCAGACGTTCGTAGTCATGGACCCTCCTTCTCCGTGTGCTCGACATCGGCCCCAGTCCGACACACAGCTCTACGAGGTGCAACTCGGAACAAAGTCGGAGGCACCGTTGTAGAGAACGGGTGAACCGCAACGGGGGGGGGGGACCGGTGTCTTTTTTGCGCCCGCGCGTGCAGACATCCAGCTGTACCACAGCGAGACGCTCGACCTGATGCTGCAGCGCTGGGCCAAACTGGAGAAGGACTTCAAGGTACGACAGCAGCACCGGCGGTCTCTACGCTCGCTCGCATCCTCTCTGCCCCGGGTTACCCCGGGGCAACCCGGAACCCGAGTTTTCAGGTAGCGAGGGGCTGCTGGAGAATGGGCGGTAAGTTCTCCCGCACGGCACCCACCTGCGTCTGTCTCCCTGTGTCTCCTCTGTATCCTGGGTTTCTGTGTCCACCGGTCTGTCTCCTTATGTCATCCTGAGCCTCTGTCTCCCTGTATCTCCCTCTGTCTCCCTGTATCTCCCTCTGTCTCCCTGTATCTCCCTCTGTCTCCCTGTATCTCTCTCTGTCTCCCTCTGTCTCCCTGTATCTCCCTCTGTCTCCCTGTATCTCCCTGTATCTCCCTCTCTCTCCCTGTATCTCCCTCTCTCTCCCTCTGTCTCCCTATATCTCCCTCTGTCTCCCTGTATCTCCCTCTGTCTCCCTGTATCTCCCTGTATCTCCCTCTGTCTCCCTGTATCTCTGTCTGTCTCCCTGTATCTCCCTCTGTCTCCCTGTATCTCCCTCTGTCTCCCTGTATCTCCCTGTATCTCCCTCTGTCTCCCTGTATCTCCCTCTGTCTCCCTGTATCTCCCTCTGTCTCCCTGTATCTCCCTCTGTCTCCCTGTATCTCCCTCTGTCTCCCTGTATCTCCCTCTGTCTCCCTGTATCTCCCTCTGTCTCCCTGTATCTCCCTCTGTCTCCCTGTATCTCCCTCTGTCTCCCTGTATCTCCCTCTGTCTCCCTGTATCTCCCTGTATCTCCCTCTGTCTCCCTGTATCTCCCTGTATCCCCCTCTGTCTCCCTGTATCTCCCTCTGTCTCCCTGTATCTCCCTCTGTCTCCCTGTATCTCCCTCTGTCTCCCTGTATCTCCCTGTATCTCCCTCTGTCTCCCTGTATCTCCCTGTATCTCCCTCTGTCTCCCTGTATCTTCCTCTGTCTCCCTGTATCTCCCTCTGTCTCCCTGTATCTCCCTCTGTCTCCCTGTATCTCCCTCTGTCTCCCTGTATCTCCCTCTGTCTCCCTGTATCTCCCTGTCTCTCTGTATCTCCCTCTAGTCTCCCTGTATCTCCCTCTGTCTCCCTGTATCTCCCTCTGTCTCCCTGTATCTCCCTCTGTCTCCCTGTATCTCCCTCTGTCTCCCTGTATCTCCCTCTATCTCCCTGTGTCTCCCTCTGTCTCCCTGTATCTCCCTGTCTCCCTGTGTCTCCCTCTGTCTCCCTGTATCTCCCTGTCTCCCTGTATCTCCCTCTGTCTCCCTGTATCTCCCTCTGTCTCCCTGTATCTCCCTCTGTCTCCCTGTATCTCCCTGTATCTCCCTCTGTCTCCCTGTATCTCCCTCTGTCTCATGTGTCTGTGCTCCTGTCGACCTCCGTCTCCCGCTGGCTCCTCTGCTGTGATTGGCATCCAACTCGGAGCACTGCCTCTTCTGTCTTACTCTGTGTCGTTTCTCACCGTGTCTCCCCGTGTCTCACAATCTCCCTGAGTGTCTCCACTGCCTCCCCTTGTCTCCCCATGTCTCCCCGTGTCTCACCGTGTCTCACCGTCTCCCCGTGTCTCGCAGTCTCCCTGAGTGTCTCCACTGCCTCCACTTGTCTCCCCGTGTCTCCCCGTGTCTCACCATGTCTCCCCATGTCTCGCAGTCTCCCTGAGTGTCTCCACTGCCTCCCCTCGTCTCCCCGTTTCTCACCGTGTCTCCCCCTGTCTCGCAGTCTCCCTGAGTGTCTCCACTGCCTCCACTTGTCTCCCTGTGTCTCACCGTGTCTCACCGTGTCTCGCAGTCTCCCTGAGTATCTCCACTGCCTCCCCTTGTCTCCTCGTGTCTCACCGTGTCTCACCGTCTCCCCGTCTCTCGCAGTCTCCCTGAGTGTCTCCACTGCCTCCCACGTCTCCCCTCGCCCCGTGTCTCCTCTCCTGCACCCCCCTCCCAGTCACAGTCTCGCTTCCCGTGAGGCTCATCAGCGATGTTAATAAATCAAAGTCGACAAGCGGACGAGTCGCCTCCTTCCCTCATTCGATACAATACAGACCCAACTCTGGGCCGGTTTTGACACTCACTGTCTCATCAGCAGAGTAGAGCTCGCTTGAGCGACGACGACGGTCTTGTCGTGTGAGCGACTGTCACCGCCCTGCGCTTGTTGGCCGCCGTGCGCAGCTCAAGGGCGGGCGCTACGACATCAGCAAGATCCCCGACATCTACGACTGCATCAAGTACGACACGCAGCACAACGGCGCGCTGGCGCTGCGCCGCACGCACGAGCTGCTCGCGCTCTCCCAGGCGCTGGCCGACATCGTCATCCCGCAGGTGCGTGTCGCGGGGACGCTGCCGCCCTCCCGTACATGCGCGTGTGTGTGTGTGTGTGAGTACGCGTGCGTGTGTGTGTGTGTGAGTACGCGTGCATGTGTGTGTGAGTACGCGTGTGTGTGTGTGTGAGTGCGTGTGTGTGTGTGTGAGTACGCGTGCGTGTGTGTGTGAGTACGCGTGTGTGTGTGTGTGAGTACGCGTGTGTGTGTGTGTGAGTACGCGTGTGTGTGTGTGTGAGTACGCGTGCGTGTGTGTGTGAGTACGCGTGTGTGTGTGTGTGAGTACGCGTGTGTGTGTGTGTGAGTACGCGTGCGTGTGTGTGTGTGAGTACGCGTGCGTGTGTGTGTGTGAGTACGCGTGTGTGTGTGAGTACGCGTGTGTGTGTGTGTGTGAGTACGCGTGTGTGTGTGTGTGAGTACGAGTGTGTGTGTGTGTGAGTACGAGTGTGTGTGTGTGTGAGTACGCGTGTGTGTGTGTGTGAGTACGCGTGTGTGTGTGTGTGTGAGTACGCGTGCGTGTGTGTGTGTGTGAGTACGCATGTGTGTGTGTGTGAGTACGCGTGTGTGTGTGTGTGAGTACGCGTGCGTGTGTGTGTGTGAGTACGCGTGTGTGTGTGTGAGTACGCGTGTGTGTTTGTGAGTACGCGTGTGTGTTTGTGAGTACGCGTGTGTGTGTGAGTACGCGCGTGTGTGTGTGTGTGAGTGTGTGTGAGTGTGTGAGTGTGTGTGTGTACGCGTGCGTGTGTGTGAGTGTGAGTACGCGTACGTGTGTGTGTGTGAGTACGCGTGTGTGTGTGTGTGAGTACGCGTGCGTGTGTGTGAGTACGCGTGCGTGTGTGCGCGTGTGTGTGAGTACGCGTGTGTGTGTGTGCCCGTGTGTGTGTGAGTACGCGTGTGTGCGCGTGTGAGTACGTGCGCGTGTGAGTACGTGCACGTGTGAGTACACGTGAGGTCGACTCGGCCTCAAATGAGTTGCTGGTGCGGTGTGTAAACATCGCCACTGGGTAGACAAAGGTGGTCGGGCGTGGTGCTGGCCACTCACCCCCTCGTGTACCATTCCGGCCTTCATAGGTGCTACTCGCTAACAGCACTTGCCCCTACAGTATGTTAAAGCTATACGGGGGATCTTTGTCTTTGGTGCAACCCGAGTTCGATTCCCGCTCACGGCCACGACCAGCGACGATTGTCTCAAACGGTGCTGAGCCCTCTCCTAGGTCGACTCGGCCTCGAATGAGTACCCGGTGCGAATATGTGAACGTCGCCCCTGGGGAGACGAAGGCAGCCGGGCGTGGTGCTGGGGGGTGGTGGCGTGGCCCGACGCTACTCGCTAACAGCGCTTGCTCTGTTGAAGGCTACACGGGGCGATCTTTGTGTGCAGGAGTACGGCATCAGCAGGGAGGAGAAGCTGGACATCGCGTACGCCTACTGCCTCCCGCTGCTGCGCAAGATCCACACGGACCTGCAGCGCACGCAGGACGACGACACCGTCAACGTGCTCAACCCCCTGTAGGCTATCGCCACACCCCCGCACGCACGCACCCCCACGCACGCGTACGTGGGCACGTGCGCACGCGTGCGTGTTCACGTGGGGAGCTGCAGTGTAGCGCTTGGCACGCTGCGCTACGAACCCGGTGACCCGAGTTCGATTCCCGCTCACGGCCAACACCAGTGATGATTATCTGAAATGGTTCTGGGCCTCCCCTAGGCCGATTTAAACTCAAATGGGTACCTGGTTCAGTGTGTAAACATCGGCACTGGGGAGACAAAGGCGGCCGGGTAACAGCACTTGCCCCAACAGTATAGCTAAGGCTGTCCGGACGATCTTTGTTTGCGTGTGTGTGTGTACGTGTGTGGCAAGTGTCTGTGTGTGCTGTGGGGTGGCGTGCTGGGTACTCTGTGCGTGTGGTAGGCCGCCTTGGCCTGCGTAGGTCCTAATCGCTAACAGCACTTGCCTCAACAGCCTGCGTGAGCTACACGGGGGCCCTTTGTCTCTGTCCCCACGGGGCGCAGGTATTCGCGGGGGGTGAGCTCCCCCGGCCGGCACGTGCGCACACGGCTCTACTTCACCAGCGAGAGCCACGTGCACTCCCTGCTGTCCATCCTGCGCTACGGGGGCCTGCTCAACGTACGCGCACACGTACACACGTACACACGCACACACGCACATGTACACACACACGTACACACACATACACGTACACACACATACACACATCTACACACACGTACAACAACAACCGCCATTCACCACTAAGTGGCGGTGACGTCACCACGACGCTTGTGTCAGGCTATGTGCACGTTAAGGTCACGTGAAGGGTCGAATGCCCGCTGGCAGGAGGTCACGGGATAGACCCAGGTGTCATGGGTCGACTGACTGAGATGACCGAGATGACTGGCCGATGCACCACCTGTGCCCCCTCCTGTGCCAACTTGCTGCGTTTTAGCTGCCCTGCGCTCCGCTCGTTGTTGCGAGCATCGCTCCCCTGCCTTCCGTTGTTGTTGGAGGGCGACTGTTTCCAACTGACCAGTCACGTCTTTCACGAGCCTCCTTGGCACCGCTAGTAACACTCTTCTGCAAGTCAACTCGGCTCCATCCTCCTCTACCGCATCAGCCTTCTCTAGGCCATGCTATGATTGTTTAGTCCCCTCTATCTGTGCATGTGTGCGTGCGTCTGTGTCTTACTGCGCGTGTCTGTGTGTGTGCGCGTGTGCGTGCGAACCCAGGAGGAGCGTGACGAGCAGTGGCGCCGCGCCATGGACTACCTGAGCGAGGTGACGGAACTCAACTACATGACGCAGCTCGTTATCATGCTCTACGAGGACCCGGGCAAGGTATGTCTGGATGTTGAACTTATTTCGCACCGCACGTAGCCAACCGTGCTAATCGGAGGTGCGAAAGGTGCCCACCGCATCCGCCCACGGCCTCCGGGTGGGGGCGGGAGGCGCGAGAGCCCTCAGCCTTGTCCACACCACCGGTTCAACGGGTGCACGCGCGGCCGCGTTGGTGGACACACCAGCGGCACCTGGCGAGTTGAACAGCGTGGCCGTACACCGGGGCCAGCGGCCGGCTTCGTCTTCGTGAGGACTCGTCGTCGGTGCTGCACGGTCATCGGTGTCTGCTGCTGCCCCCCCGTGCCCCTCCAGCCCTTGGGCGTTCTGCTGCTGCTGCGATTGCTCTCCTCTGTTGGGTTTCGCTTCCTGCAGAGGCGCTCCGTGCGAGGCAGGGAAGAGATCATCCGTGTGCGTGCGCCTGCGTGCGTGCAAGTGTACACGGGAGCCGGTGGCGCAGTAGTTAGCGCATTGCACTATGAACCCGGTGGTCCGAGTTGGATTCCCGCTCACGGCCACCAACGCCAGTGACGGATATCAGAACCGGTCCTGCGCCTCCCATAGGTCGACTTAGCCTCAAATGAGTACCTGGTGCGGTGTGTAAACATCATCAACACCGAGATGACGCGGGCGGCCGGACGCGGCGCTGGCCACCCGCCCCCTCGTGCGCCTTGGCAGGCCTCCGTAGGCGCCGCTCGCGAACGGCGCTTGCCCCGACAGGCTGTTGAAGGCGACGCGGGTCTGGCGGGCGGCCTTTGTCTTCGTGTGCCTGCGCCACAGGAACCGACGTCCGAGGAGCGATTCCACGTGGAGCTGCACTTCAGCCCCGGGGTCCGGGGGGGGGTCTCCGGCGGGGACCCCCCGCACCCGTCGGGCTCCGGCTACCGCCCGGCCTCCCGCGAGGTCGGTCTCCCTGCGTGGGGGAGGGGCAGGGCGGTGCCGGTCACACTCGGCTCGCTCCCCACGGCGAGGAGTCCTGGCTTCGATTCCCGATTCGAGCGCCTCTCTCTGTGCGGAGGTTTCATGCTCTTCTCTGTCCCTGTTCTCTATTCATGTTGAACTTCTTTTGCGCCGTACATCACCAGCCGAGCTGATCAGAGTGTCTGTGTGAGAGTGAGGAGTTGGTATTTTCTCCCCCCCCCCTCTCTTCTGCCGAGTGGGAATGTGAGAACGGAGTTTTCCTCCAATCTCCTCCCCCGTAGCTCAATAGAAACCCACACTCCATATGACCGGTATTGCGCCAACACATCCACAATTCTGACAAATGACCCTGCAAAATTACCAAATTGGGATTGCGCAGCAGCAACAACATCAGCAACATCGCCCAACCCTACTGAGAAAACTTGGCAGGATCCTCCTGAACAAGAATCTTGAGACTCGGTGAGGCCTTTCCTGGGTAAACCAGCAGAATAGTAAAAAAAATATAATAACAGCCCCAGAGACCCGTGATGTTGAGCAACCAGCCAAAGACTGAAATAAACACCACCACTCAAATAAACACTCGTAAACACTCACAATAAACACACGTTATTAGATTGTCCTGTGTTTTAACTTAAGCTGTCAACGCGCAGAGGTTAAACGGTCTGGTTGAGTGATGATTCACTCACTCAGACTCTTACTTATCACTCTTCTGTCGCTACGACCATGGTGGTTACTGTTCACGTGATCTTCACTCCTCGATCCTCCCCCCATGTGGAGGAGTCAATCTACCAGACACTGCATGTTTCGTCTCGTCCACAACACTGTTCAACCACCACAATGCAGGTCACAACAACAGCACACTCACCCACTCGGCACACGACAGGTCACAACGACACACTCACCTACTCGCTCACTCACCCACTCACCACACGACAGGTCACAACGACACACTCACCCACTCGCTCGCTCACCCACTCACCACACGACAGGTCACAACGACACACTCACCCACTCGCTCGCTCACCCACTCACCACACGACAGGTCACAACGACACACTCACCCAGTCGCTGACCCACTCTCCGCACTCCAGGTCACGTCACTTCTCTCTCTCTCTCAACAATCTCAAGACACACGCTGCAGCGTCCAACTCTTACAACTGTGGTAGCGCCGCTTGTCGCTGGCCGCTTGACTTTTTTGTGGCCTGGGCTCGGCAACCGCGCGTGCGTGTCGCCGCAGAGCGACGTGGGGCGACAGTCGCAAGAGGAGGAGGTGGGTGGCGGGCAGGAGGAGCGGGGGGGCGGCGTGTTGAGTGGGAGGAGGAGCAGGGGGGCGGGGGCTGGGGTGGCACCGCCACCGCCGGGCTCCCCCACCGCCCGGCCCGGAGCTTCGTCGGCGCCCATCGTCATCGTCAAGCCGCGGCCGCTGCCCCTGCACTGCCGGCCGCGCAAAAACACATCCACGGAGGTGACGGCCCCCGGCTCTGCTCCCCGTGCCGCCCGACTCGCCCACTCGCTCACCCACTCGCTACCCGATCACTCGCTCACTCGCACGCTCGCCCACCCTTCAACACGCCCAATCGACCACACACTCGCCGTCACACCCACACACTCGCTCACCACACTGGTCCGTTCTGGAATTCCCTCTATACAGAATCAACTTTGCTCGCTCCGACAAACACATTACACATACGGCTTCGATAGTGCCGTTTGTTGCCGCCCGTTTGACTTTGGGGACCGTGACTGTGCTGTGACGGAGGAGTATGCGTGACCCTGGCGTGTGCGTGGTGACATTTGCGTGGTGACATTTGCGTGGTGACATTTGCGTGGCGACAAGTGCGTGGTGGCATGTGTGTGACTAGTGTGACAGTGGTGTGTGTGTGTGCAGGTGGCATGTGTGTGGCACGTGCGTGACTGTATCGTGATGGTGGCATGCTGGTGTGCGTGACGGTGGCGTGTGCGTGGCGTGTGCGTGATGTGTGCGTGACGTGTGCGTGGCGTGTGCGTGTCGTGTGTCCCAGGCGTTCCCCCTGAGCGCCTCCAACCCCGAGTCGGGTGGCACCGCGTGCCTCCCCGTGCCCAGCCGGCGGCGCCGCCGCTCCGGCGACGCGAACTCCCTTGGTCCCCCCTCACCCGGCCCCCCACCCCTCTTCTCTACATCCCTGCAGCAGGTTCAACACAGTGCCAGTCTCGTTATCGTCACCGTCATTACGATCGTATCATCATCATCGCCATTTCGTCATTATCATCTTCATCATTATCGTCATCATCATCATTATCGCCATTATCATCGTTATCATCATCGGCGTCGTCATCATCGTCGCCATCACTGCCGCCCCGGGTTGAGGGTGCGGGGTCTCTAGAACCACTTGCCAACCAATCTCTCAGGAGCGGGCGTCGCCCTCTGCATGGCAATCAACGCCGCGTGCGGCACAAGAACCCTTTGGAACGTTTCGATCGGCCAAGCGCTCAACGTGACCTCCCAGAGGGAAGCCTCACCACGAGCGGAGCTTGCCGGGGGGGCGGCCGACGTGTCACGGGGCGCGGGCCCGCCCAAACGTGCCGGCCGGTCAGTCGGTCGGTCAGGCGCTCCGCTCGTTTGGTGGCCTTACGCTCTCCGGCGTTAATTGATCAAAATTACATCGCACCGGTTCGTGGATCGCGTCAGTAAGTCTCCCGTGAGCTCTGTTGAACCACGGTGAGGAACTCGCGAGACCACGATGCATCTCATTGGCAAGCCAAAAGCAAAACGAATCTAACAATGCGCAGCAAATGAAGGTCCGTCTTCCTCGTCACGGCTCGGCCCAGGCTTGGCCGCGCCCTTAGTCAACCGGCTCTGAGCTTGAGCTGAACCTCGGCTTTAGAGGCCGAGCCGCGACCGGGAACGCGGCGCTAACCGCTTGAGCGGTTGACACTGCACGGCCTGGAGAGGCTGTGCCGTGGCCCGCGGGTGAACTGTGACTGCGTCTCCAGCTGTGCAGCTCTGCGGCTGTGGCCGCCCCCCCCCCCCACCTCGTGCTCGCATGGCTTCGCAAACCCCCCGCGTCACCCCCATCCCCGGCCCCTCTCTCCACCCACTAACCCTAACTCGCGAGAACCGCGACGGAACGGGCAAGCGCCAGCATCGAGCCCTCTCGGCAGAAGGCGCCGCTGGGTTTGTCAGACCCCCGCGTCTCCGCTGCGTGTGCCCCCCCGTGCTGGCCGAGTGTTTTCTGAACGTTCTCGTGAAAGTGGTCGGCCTCTCCGAGGGCCCGTTGGCGCGCTCCGTCGATTGGCTGTGGACGACGGCAGCCGGCAGTGGGTCGCGTGGCGAGAGCGACGATGCCGAGCATCCGCTCGGTCGCAACGAGCCCATCGCCTTGTGACATCAAGCTCCCACCACGAGTTCGATACGGGCGGCAGCACAGTGGTCTCAATCGCGCCTCGCAGCAGAATCAGAATCTTTATCCCGGAGAAATCCGATGAGCGATGAAGCTCTTTTTGACAGGCGTCCAGTTGGGGCGGGTCAGAAATTTACACCGTCTACAGCGTCGCACGTACAAAAAAAACGATAGGAGTGTAAAGTATAGGAAAGGTAAGTTAATCAATCTTGATTTGAAGATCAAGATTGATTAACTCTGTCTCTCTGTGTGTCTCTCTCTCTCTGTGTGTCTCTCTGTGTCTGTGTGTCTCCTGTTGTGCGCTCTATCCCCCTAGTGGCTGATAGACCGTCACTACACATTGACATGCTAATGTCTCCATACAATGGCCACCTCAGCACAATCTCCAGCCCCCATCCTCTTGCCCGATGCGGCACCCCCCCCCCCCTCCCGGCTCTATATATGAGGACTTGTTTCAGCAGCCTGTTTCTCTCTTCCACCTGAAGACGATTGCTTGTGTGGCGATCGAAACGTCGTGATCATTTATTATTTTTTCTACCTATACGTGACGTTACTCGAAAGAACCAAAGAGTAAGTTAATCATTTTTAAATAAATAAACTAAAAATAAACTATATTATTTTAACAAATAAAGCCCACTGAGCTGTTAGTTATTTTTCAGAAGTGACCCAGCCACAAATGATCACTAAACGAAGTGGCTTATCACGTGAACATTGTATAGCAGCCAAATCCTCTAAACGCACGTTTCAAAGCGAGGAGCGCACCAGGGTTCCCGGCTGCCTCTCCCCATCCGTGTGCCCTCTCCCTCCCATCCCCCTAAACGTTCATCCATCGATGTCCTCCATGTTCTCCGGTTCCCCTCCCAGAGCTAAACTCACTCGGGCAGTGTAACCGGTTTTGGGCCAAAACATCCCCATTGATGGCCGTCTTCCGGCGGACAACTCGATTGGCAGCACGCGACGTGCGTGCACGATTCGTTGTAACTGCGAGAACTTGGCAGGACCTTCCCAAGAGTCTTGAGACTCTGTAAGGCTTTCCTGGCTAAACAAGCGCAACAACAGCATTAATAATATGAAATAATAATCTGCCTCTCCGTTCGGCACTAACCGAGGGCTACGGCTTGTGTGACGAGCGCTAACCCCCCCCCCCCCCCCCCAGGGCGGGCTCCATGGCACGCAACGACGCGGTGATTATTTGTAACGGCGCGGGGGGGTCGGTGATCCAGGTCACAAACCGATTCCGGCATCGTCGCAAATTCACCGCCTCGCTGCATTTCGTGTTCATCATTTGACTTTACGGAGCGTTGCACCACGGCGTTCGTTTGCATGCAGCATGAGCGATCTGATTCGCTTAGACGTTTGCAGAGTTGGTAAACTATCGATCGCCGCCTTATTGGCAGGGACCCATAGACTTACTCAGACACCCATTGACCTACACAGGACCCATAGACTTACACAGAACCCATAGACTTACACAGGACCCATAGACTTACACAGGACCCATAGACTTACATAGAACACATAGACTTATTCAGAACCCATAAACTTACACAGACCCCATGAACTTACACAGAACCCATAGACTTACACAGGACCCATAGACTTACACAGGACCCATAAACTTACACAGAACCGATAGACTTACACAGGACCCATAGACTTACACAGGAGCCATAGACTTGCGTATGATCCATAGTCTTGCATGAAATGCCTTTACCAGGGGGGTCCCATGGCAGCCAAGCTGTGCCACTGCACCAAGTGTGTGCGTGTCACGGTGATGCCGTGCGTGCGTGTGTGTCACGGTGATGCCGTGCGTACGTGCGTGTGCGTTTAGCTGGCGGAGACGCCGGGAGCAGCGGGCGCTGCAGCAGGAGGAGCGCCGGCTGCGCTGTTCCCGCTCACGCCGCTGCACTGCGGCATCAAGAGCCTCGCTCAGACCCAGGCGCTCATGCTCGGTACGCCAGGGGCCGTCGGCAGTTTCGTTGCACGCATTTGCCGAGCACGGGCACAAAACGTCACGCGGCCAGCAACAAACGGCACCGTGAAAACCATAACGGATAGCGGTGTACTAACGTGGTTGTTGAAGCGAACGAGGTTATTGTGGTGTAAAGAGCTTGGCGATGATGAGAGAATTCCACAGTGGAGCAGTGTGAGGAAAGAAGAGAGAGAAGTGAGGTGACCTGCAGTGTGGTGAGTGTGTGGGTGATTGAGTACCTCGTGCGGTGTGTAAACTTCGTCACGAGGGAGACAAAGACGGCCGGGCGTGGTGCTGGCCACCCCCTCGTGTACCATTCCGGCCTTCGTAGGTGCTCGCTAACAGCACTTGCCCCAACAGTCCGTTAAAGGCTATACGGGAGATCTTTGGATGGGTGTGGTGGTGTTGTTTTGACGTGCAGTCTGGTGGTTGAACAGTGTGGTGGATGAGACGACGCTGCTGTCCGGCTGACCAAGTCCTCAACATTGGTGTGGGGTGTTCTGCCTGATTTATCTGCGGGTCACGAGTAGTCTGCAGTGCCGGATTATCCCAGCAGCACAAGTAGCTACATATGTAGATATGCAGTAGCTACGGGCCCCGCACTTTCAAGTGCCCCGCGCTAAATTCTTTCAAGCTATCAATTCCAGTTCAGTGATTCTGAACTTGCTCTTACTAAAGTACGATACCGCCTTCAACTTTTATGAACAACTGGGTGTTTAAGGTTAGCGATTTGTCATCTGGCTATAAAGCAAATGAAAAAATACAATTACATTACTTTGCAAGTAAAAAATTTATGGTTTAATATTTGTGTTCTTATTTAGGGCCCCTTTATAACAAATCCTACAGGCCCCGCACAAGCTTAATCCGGCACTGGTCGTGGCCACAGCCAATGGCGAGGGGTAGACTGCATGGGGTGTGCTGGGTGCAGCAGACCGTGGTGGGTCCCACATGACGTGTCGTGGCCACAGTGTGGGCAATATAACGAGTTGACCGACGAGGGCAATCGCCTCCTTCCTAGTGGTTTATAATTGCATTTGAAGTTGGGCCACTTGCGGATCTGGTTAGGTTTGTGTCGCTGAGACCCTCCACCACTCGACAGAGCTAAGCAAATTAAATTTCCACTTGGCGTACAAGCGGTTACAGTCGGTAGTTGTGTTCTCTTTCATCTGACTCGATGACTGAATGTGTGTGCATGATTCATTGGGACTTATAACGAATGTGCCAGCCTGTGGCAAGGTGGCATCATCGAAATGCTTGGATCGTGAATGCACCAGCCTGGAGCAGGTGGTATCATCAGAGAGTTGTTTCTGCGTCCCGTTGGCGACTGCCACCCGTGTGCCGTGCGTGTGCAGAGAGCGGCGGTGGCAGCGTGCCGTCCCTGTCGCCGCTGGAGACGCTGCACAACGCACTGTCGCTGCGCCAGGTCGACGCGTTCCTCACCGCCGTCTCCTCCGTGCCCGGTAGCCCACGTGCCCCCCACCCCACCCCCCCATCCTCCCCGCCCTCCCTTCTCTATGCGAGCAAAGCTTTGACCCCCCTCTGAAGGGACATTTGCACCGGTTTTAAACATTCAGGCTGGCCTGTCTCCGATCCATCCTGGGTTTAACCAGACTGGAATGTGCGAGGAGCTCACAGATTATTGAAAGATCCCGACACATCCGCATCAATGAGCTCCTCCGGCAGGCAAGGCTGCGTTGGCTGGGTCATGTAGCTCGCATGCCCAGCCACCGTATGCGCAAGCAGCTTCTGTTTGGCCGCATAGAGGGGACTAAATGGGCACAGCACAGGCTGGAGAAGAGATGGACTGATGCAGTACAGGAGGATGTGGAGCTGAGTGGCCTTGCCGATAACTGGTACCAGTGGTGTCAAGATCGACTTCCGTGAAGGAGGCTCATGCAGGATGCCACTGGGCAGTTAGAGGCAGCTACCCTCCAACAACAGCGGAAAGCAGAGGAGCGATGCTCACAACAACGAGCAGAGTGTAAAGCGGCTAAAACGCAGAAAGCTGCTACAGTGGGGAGCACAAGTGGTGCATCTGCCAGTCACCTCAGTCAGTCAACCCATGGCACCTGGGTCTGTCCCGTGACCTCAGGCAAGTAAGCCTTCGACACTTCAGGTTACATCAAGGTGCACCGAGCCTGGCACAAGCACCTTGATGATGTCACCGCTACTCGGTGTTGTTACCACTAGTTGGTGATGTCACCGCTACTTGGCGTGATGTCACCACTACTTGGTGGCGAACAACGGTTGTTCTTGTTGTGTGCGTGCGATTGTGCGCGTGAACACGTATCCCGGTGTGTGCATTCAAACGTATGCGTGCGTAGTGCGTGTGTGCGTGATTGTCTACGCGTGCGTACACGTCTTACACGCCATCGTTCTTTGTTTCAGTCGCCGCCCCTGGCTCCCCGGCCTCCGTCGCTTCTTGCCAGCCAAACGAACTGCCCGTCAACGGGCCGGACGGCGCACCTGCGAGCCACTCGAACGGCTTGCCTCTCGGCCAATGAGCCGGTCGCTCTGCCGCGGCGCCGCCAGCGAGACACCTCGCGACTCGTCGCCACGCGCGTCGAGACTCGTGGAAGGCGGAGAGACTTGGGTCGCTCTCGGGCCGCGTTCCCGTTCGCGGCTCGTCCCTGGCCTGGCCTCGACGGCTCCGAGTGTGGCAGGGGGCCGCGCTCGGAGCCCGCTTCAGAGCCACGCTCGACCTGGACCTGCTCTGAGCAGGAGCCAAGCCCGAGCCACGCCTAAGACCACGGGCCTCGTTTCCGTACCGCTCACTGTGATCTCGGGGGACAACGCGGACCGGCACCGACTCGTCCGTGCCCCGGTACGCAAGGACCAAGCTACGTCCCATGGACACCCCCCCTGCCCCCAGCAACCACCACGCGGTGGACGGCGGGGGAATTCAACATCCATGTATTTTGTTTGTTTACGATCAAAGCCAAAGTTTACTTTGTGTGTTTTCTCTGTGACTTGCCCGAAACTTGAACAAACGCCTACATTGCCAAGGTCCGTAAGACTTTCCTTACTATTTCTTTAGCTATCACGTCCGCAAAGTTCCCAGGTACGCGCCGTCGTTACCCGACAGAATATACCGCGCGGCGTTTGTCGTAGCACTTAGGTCAATTGTGGCTCGCGGTCGGAAGGTCGCGAGTTCAAATCCCGGTTGAGCTGGTTGAGGGTTTGACTCAGCCCATCATCCCTAAATCCGGGGTTGACCAAAAACGAGAACCACTTTGTGGAGGTCAGCGGTCGGTATCCCGATTCATAATTGAGTTTTGGGTGAGGCCGCGCTTTAATGGTGTGGCCAAATTTGTGTAGTCAAGAACCCTCCACCACCCGACATAGCCGAGCAATGTAAATGGTCACGTGGTGTACAAGCGTTTTATTATGCCCGTTATTGCACCAGCTGGCTCGCCCGACGAGTAGAATAGCAATCCTCACTGCCATATTTAGCGGCGATCGGATGCGCAACGTTTCACTTGAAACTGCGCCAAACATCCTCAGGACAAGTTCCAGGAAGTCGTAATAAAAACCCTAACCCAAAGATACATTCACAATGACTCATTGGCAACCACCGGCACACAAGTTGGTGGTTGTCCTTTGGAGAGACTTGCCTCCGTCCGTCACAGGAATGTGGAATGTCCAACTATGGCTCTGCAGGGCTGTAAACAATAGGTAAGCACCAACGTCTCGAGGCTCATGGGAGCAGCAGGAATGCCCTTTGACTGCGTTTGTCACCGCAGTGGGCACATCGAGACTTGTCCTCCAGGGGATCAGTGCCTTCGTTGTTACTGCACTATACGGGCGGCAGGGTGGCGGCGGTGCAGCGGTGACCCCCCCTCGTGCCTTACAGCAACAAGCGCCTGGGTTCGATTCCCGACTCGGACGCCCTTTCTGTGTCGAGTTTTTACGTTCTCCCCGTTCTGCATGGGGTCCCTCTGGGTTCTATGGTTTCCCGCCCATAGCTAAACCAACACATTGGGACTGACTGGTATCGGCCAAAACATCCCAATGCTGAAAAATCGCTCGCAAATAATTTAATGGAGATCACGCAACGGCAGCAGCAACACCTCCCTCAACTGTGAAAATTTGGCAGGACCCTCCTGAAAGAGAATATTGAGACTCAGTGAGGCTTTCCTGGGCAACCAAGCATAATTATAATATGAATATCCAATGGCCAAACTGTACTGTATTTTCAATGCCTTTCGCTGGCCATACATTAAGACAAAGATTCCGTGTATAGCCTTAACAGGCACCTATGAAAGCTGGCGTGGCAAAAGCAGAGGATAGGTGACCAGCACCACACCCGGCCCGCCTTCATCTCCCCAGTGGGGATGTTTACACCCCGCACCAAGTATGAATTTGAGACCCAGTCGACCTAGGGAAGGCCCAGTCCAGACAATCGTCACTGGTGTTGTCCGTGAGCTGGAATCGAACTCGGGTCACCGGTTTCGTAGTGCCGACCGCTAACCGCTGCACTAACCGCTCCCCACACACGCAGCACCCCTCCCCTATTGGCAGCTATCTGTGCGGCACCAGGCGACTCGGCACCGGTGTGTGAGCAGCCATTAGTCCGCCGGCAGGAGACGATAGTTGCTACTCGGTGTGTCATCCCGACTGAGTAACCTTTAGCGGCGCGATTCTTCTAATTTGGCAAATTGGGACGGCGATGCCCGAGTGACTCGTTTAGAATAACGCCGCGGGACGTCCACCAGCCACTGCGAGTGACGCAGACGGCACGGAGGAGCGTTGTACGGCTAATACGCACGCCGCAGCATTCACCAGGGTGGCCGCTGTGAGCTGTGACACCGTCTGTGGTGAACCGACGGTGGTGTGAATTATTGATGACGCCCGCAGTAATAACCGGGGCGGCCTGCCGGATTGAAATTGCGAAGCTCTGCAACGAGTGGGGAATGCCCTACCGCTCGGCCGCGATGTCACACCGCCCCATGAAGTCGTGATCCGGCTCGCCCGTGTTCCCAGTCACGACTCGGCTCAGGCCTGGCTTAGGCCTGGCTCTGGTTCAAGCGAGCCACGCTTAACTTGAGCCACCTCCGAGCACGGTCACGCTCAGGATTTCCCAGAGCCGAGCCTGAGCCACGGCTGAGCCGTTTCACTGGTGCGGTCTTTTGGAAGGAACCGAGCGGCTGAACGGACTGATCCGTGAGCGTTAAGACGACCGGGCCAGGGCCGAGCGGCGACCAGGAAGGCGGCGAGGGTGCACCCGACGACCAAAGGCCACGGCTCGGCGTTCCCGCATTGTGCGCCGAGCTCCGGTGGCGGAGCGCGGTGTCAGGGCGAGTTCACCGCGGCGGTGACCGCCGTCCAGGTCTCGCGAGTCCGCCGTGGTTACGCCCCCCCCCCGAGTCCGCCGGTTCTCCTCCGCTCGCAGATCCGAATGGTTACGAGTCGCACGCGCCGGACGATTGTGAAATGATGTTCCGCGTCGCCGTCCTTGAACGCCCGCGACTCGGGAAGAGGGGGGGAGGGGGCGGATTTGTACCCACGCCTCGCGGGAGCCCCCGAATCTCAATAAATATTTTTGTATTTGCCAGCTGAACGGCGCCGTGGAGCGGATTCTTCTGCGTGCATGCGAGCGAGTGGTGCGTGTGTGCGAGCGTGTGTGCGAGTGTGCGTGCGAGCATTTCGACGCTTCACGCAGCTTACAAAAACGGTGACACAGAATGCAACGACTTGGATGTCAGCGGGAGTGCAAGGATGGAGGTAGGAGTGACAGTGATAAGAGGGTACTTTGGAGGGAAAGAGCATTGGCACAGCTGTCAACACGTATGGTTTACCCCGCATTCTTGTGCAGGGAAATTTTAGTTTTGAGGTCCATACGGCATACAGCTGTTTCAATCCGGGCAAAAAATGTTTGTTTTTCCATTGTGATGGTATTTTGTAGGATGAACGTTGAGATTTATAAGGGCATTGGGTGACCAATAAGGTCTGAATTGGTCTGTAAGAAGGTAGGCACTGATAAGGGGTTGACAGCTGTGAATTGACGAGAGAGGTGGGCTTTCGCGACTGTTACGATTCGAAATGGAGGGTCGGATCGCCGCGCGAGTACAATGCCAATGTTGTGTCGTACACCCTCCTCCGCCCGACACAGCCAAATAAAAGAGGCCATCACGTGAGCGCGCGTGGCGAATAATGGGTCCTCAGTGCACCGGTGTGTGGGTACAGCGATCCACACGCGTCCAACACAGCCGTAGCAAGCGGCGCGTCTGTTCGCGTCACGGCTTCATTTCTGGAGGAGGCTGTAAGGTAGAGGCCGACCGAAATTCGGTTTCGGCGCTGAAAGTTGGCAAATGGCCTCTTTCGGCATCGTTTCTGTTTCGGGCGAAGCCAAAAAGTTAACTTTCGGTTTACTTTCGATTTCAGCCGAAAGTAATTATTTTAACTTTCGGTTTACTTCGGTTTCGGTTGAAACCATAAATTCAGTTTCTGTCGGCCTCTAGTGTAAGGCACACATTGGCAGGCATTGGATTCACGCAATCTAACCCAGGAGGCATTTATGAATCGTAATATTGCTCTTGTTCTAACTGCTGCTGAGACGCAGAAGATCAAAACCGGTACAGAGTTCGCTTGGACAGCTACTTGGGGTTTAAGATCAGTCGAGTGGGCCAATCGGCCGGCAGGACAGCGTTGTGTTGGTGCGTCGTGAAACGCAACGTTTATTTACATCTGTCATTACCCAGCACGCTCCTGCACAGCTCATCACAAGTTTATGTCCACGATTAATTGCCACAGAACACAGAACACGACTCAAGGTTCGCACGCTGCACTCTCCCCGCCGCTAGCGCCGCACGTTCCGCAGCGGTCGTCCCCGGTCCCCGCGGCGTCTTCCCGGACCAGCGCCGCCAGCTCGCGGGCCAGCGCTCGGAACGGCTGCTCGGCGAGCGAGTGTCCGCCTATGACGCCGGCCGCCTGCGCCTCGGTGATCGTCTCGAAGAGGCGGCGGCTCGCCAGCGGCACGTGCCCCGCCAGCTCGCACAGCGCCACGTTGAACCGCGCGCCGCCGCCGCCGCCGCCGCCGTCTTCCTCCGCCCGGGGCGCCAGCTCCTTGGCGCCGAGGCACGGCTCGCGCGGCCACACCAACGCGCGCACCCCCCCGCTCGTCGGCGCGGCGACGCCTCCGCAGGGCGGCGCCCCCCGGCACACGAACACGTTGTGCGCGTAGCCGCGAAGCGCCAGGCGGGAGGCGACGGCGTGCAGGCGGCGCGCCAGCCGCGCCGCCGCGTCGGCGCTCGCCTCGTCCTCGTACAGCAGGAAGCCCCGCGCCGGATGGGAGGGCGGCCCCAGCGCGTGCAGCGGGCCGCCCTCCTCCACCGCCGCCGCCGGCGCCCACTCCGCCAGCAGCGCGCGCTCCAGGTAGTAGGCGTGCAGGTGCAGGTGGTTGACGGAGGCGAGGGCGCACAGCGAATTGAAACCCACGCGCAGGCCGCGGCGCGAGCTCAGCAGCAGCGCGTCGAGGCCGAGCCGGGCGGCGCGTTCGGTCAGCGCTTGCGGGAGGCGCAGGCCGGGCGCCGGCACGAGCAGCACGTGGCCGCGCTCGAGCGGGCTCGCGTTGATGAGCACGAGGTCGCCGGGCGACTCGGGCGGCTCGCTGCGCCGCATCTCCAGGAGGATCTCGGTGGGCGGGACGCGCGTGAAGTTGAACAGCTCCGGCTGGAAGGGTTGGTCCAGGCGCTGGGCGTGCTGCGCGGGCCGGCGCAGGGCGGCCCGCTCGGGGTTCAGCTGCACGAGGAGGCCCAAGGGCCCCGGGAGGCGGCGCGTGGGCAGCGGCGAACGCAGCGCGTAGCGGAAGGCCCCCGCCTCCATGCGCGCGTCCCACAGCCGCAGCAGCGCCTCGTCGAAGCGACGCCCCGGGGCGCCGCCGCTCCGCAGCTCCGCGTCCGAGTAGCGGAAAACCTCGGGCGGCGGGGACGGGCGGCCAGCATCGGCAGCACCACTCGCCGACATGGCCCTGCGTGGGCGGTGACGACGACGCGCGAGTGACCCAGCAACCCTCACGGCCGCCTCCTCCGCAGTGCGAGATCACAGGCAGCCACGTGCTCCACCCCGACTGCAGTGAACAGGACAGTGGGGTTAGCGTTGCGCTGTGAACCTGGCGACCGAGGTTCGACTCCCGGCCACGGCTAACGTCAGTGGCGAGTGATATCTAAACCGGTAGGTGGGGAGGGGGGGGGCCCTTTTAACGAACCCGCACTGACCATCCGTGGTCGTGTCCCGTCAAAGAGTCCGCACGACCTTAATCCAGCAGTGGATTGAACAAAGAGCTGAACGTCATTTTATAATCGCACACCGCCTGTGGCGATGACGGGGACGAGGCTCACGATGGAATGGCAGGCACAGGAGGAGAGACCCGTCCGAGAGGCCGACACCGAGGAGATGGAACGACGGAATCAAATCGGCCGCAGGCTGTGGCGTCGGAGAACCGCGCGCGCGTGCCCCTGCCAGCGTGGGTTCGGCCTTCATCCGGCAGCGCCGGACAACCCCTGGCAGACGATTAACGTCACAAACATCTAACACCGTGAACGAGCCATTCATTCACGGCGTTTGATGACGCGTCTACCCACCGCTAGATGACGACCTCACGCTGTCGTTATGCGGGGGAGCGGCGGCGCAAGTGGTGAGCGCGCACCGCGAGTTCGACTCCCGGCCGACGGCCGGCATCAGCTGGCGGGACGTGACGACCCGAACCCCCCCCGCCCCGGCCCCCGCTCACGGGGCCGTCCCTTCACGAGCCGCGGGGCTGTCGCGGCGTAGCGCGCGGAGGAAGGCGTTCGTCCAGCAGCGGATCGAGCAAAGTAAAAGGAGAGAGTGCCGTGGCAACGCGCGCGTGCGCGCGACCTCCCCCGCCTCTCTCTCGCCCTCCACGTGGCTCCCCGGCGACCCGGAAGCCGCCGCACGCGCGCGAACCACGTGGGCGTCACAGCTGTTCGGCACAGTCGCACTGTACCCCGTGGGATCCCTTCATTCACAGCCCCCCCTTCTCAATCCACTGCTGGACCTCCGAGTCGATCACCCGGCGCGGCACTTGGAGCGGTGGGGCACGAGCGGTGGGTCACGAGTGTCCCCAAGCCCGCGAGGGGGGCAGGTCGCGTGTGGGGGGCGGGGGGGTCAAGGCGTGGGTCACGCCCCGCGTGTCCCAAGGCGTCTGGTGAGTGTGGAAGAGGAGGCCAAATAACCCCCTCCCCGCGAGAGAGAGAGAGCTCCCTGTAGCCGAGTCCCTTCTGCCAGCAGCGGCTTGAGTGAGCACTTTCAGGGCTGCGCCCTTACCTCTTTCAGATGTGCTTCTGCGGCCGTGTGGAACGCTCTTGCGTCCGATGTGAGGAAGCGGAGCTGTGCACTTTGAAATCATCTAGATCGACAAACTCATTTCTTTAGAACTGCTTTTTGTGTTTAGTTTGTTGTCCTTCCCCCGCGCCTCCGATTAGCACGGTTGGCAATGTACGGTGCGAAAGAAGGTGCAACGTACACACAGTTCGTTAACACTTGCAGGGCTGCGCCTTTACCCACCCCCTCCCATCTCCCATCCCAGGGTCCTGGTGTCCTGGTGTCCTGCAGCCGAGCGTGCGCGGTGCCTCTGTCCGTCACATCTCCCCCGCCAAGTCGCCCCAACCCGCCTCTCTCTGCCGCTGAATTCGTTCACGACGAGCGGCGATGTTTGTTGAAACCGCCCGAGAGCTCGAGAGAGACCGGGCCAAGAGCAGCGGTGTTCGTTCGCACGCGTGACCCGGGTCAACAACAACAACAACATCGTCAACACAAAGTACAGCAGCGAAGCGAGGCACGAAGCGGGGCGAAAGCCGACCAGAGGTCAACGTAAAGTAAAAAGAGGGCGAGTAGAAACCGGAGTTGAAAACAACCAAGTCGAGACCTGCTCGCTCGGCGAGCCAGCTGGGTCACTCTGGCGACGAGGCTCCTGCAGCGCTGCAGTCCTCTCCCGCCGGAGCAAACGAAGCGCGGCCGGAACGCGCGGCCGGAACGTGCGGCCGGAACGTGCGGGCATCGCCTCCGTCCCACGCTGCGTAGGCCGCTCACGCCGACCGTGGAGCCGCGCGGGGCCCGGGGACGTCATGGACCTCGACGCCGTCACGCTGGCCGCCCGGCACAGGCTGCGGCACGTCCGCGCGTTCCGCGCGCTCCGCCCGTACCTCGTCCCCGGAGCTCGGAGCCGTGAGCGGCGCGGCGGTGACCCACGACCACGCGGGGGAGGGGGACGCGGGGCGAGCGGGGACACGCGGGGCGACTTACACCAACGGGGTTCCCGTGGCGGGAGCGGCAGCCGGCACTTCCTCGAGCGACCGGAGGCCGAACCTGGCCGTCCGGTCGCCGATCGTCGCCGCCGTCGTCGTCGCCGCCATCACCGCCACCGTCATCCCCCTGCTCGGCCTGCGGGGCTGAGCGTGACGGACGTGACGAGCAAGGTGAACGAGATGAACGTGAACGAGGCGACTGCGCTCGATTGGCAATGCCGCCGTCCTGCTCGGCCTTCGGAGACGAGCGCGGTGACGGAGACGACCCCGACGAACGCGGCGATTACGCACCGCGGCGTTGACCGGGGCGGACCGCCGGGGTCGAACCGCGAATCTCCGCAACGAGCGGCGATCGCCCTCCCGCCGGGCCGCCGCCCCGACTCCCCGGTGGCGCAACGGTCGTTCGTCCAAGACGGGCGGATCACGCGATAAGATCTTCAAGCGGGACGCGCTACAAACGGGACGCGCTACAAACGGGACGCGCGAGCGGGCCGGCTCTGCACGGCGCGAGCGAGCGCCGCCACGCCACCGACGCTCCGCGGTCGGTGGCGCCCCGGACTCGCGAGGCAGGGGCCGCGCGGGTCGCTGCCATCTGGCCGCCGCGTCGTTCACCGGCCCGGCGGCGGTAATCGGGTTCACCGCCGCGGTTGCTCCGCGGAGACTCGGTGAGAGCGCGGCGAGTGGCACCCTGGGGGGGAGGCAGTGCAGTGGTAACACTCGGCCTGGGTTCCATTGCCGACTCGGGCGCGTTTTCCCGCGGAGTTTGTGTGTTCTCTCTCTCTCCCATAGCCAATATATTTTTACGTATAAGAGTCACAATGTAACCGGTATTGGCTGAAACCCCATCGCGGTGCTTGCAAATTAACCACGGTGGCGAGATGTGAACTCCCTCGCCTGGTATGCAGGAGATAACGGGTTCTATGTCAACCCTGACGCCTGCTGTATATTTGGAGTTGCGTGTCTTGTCTCTCTCCCCGGGGTCGCGTGGATTCTTCTCCGGGTCGTCCGGTTTTTCCCTCCACATTTAGATTCAACGTGTGTTTTGCTGATAAAAATTTCCACGTGATAAACCACTTCGTTTAGCTATCATTTGTGGCCAGGTCGCTTCTGAAAAGAGCCACATAGCTCAGTAGGGCCTTGGTAAAATAAAAAAATATTTCGTTTTATTTTAGTTTCAACCAGCAAATTACTCAATTGGGATCACACAGAGGAGCATCCCCCTCGACTGAGAACACTTGGCAGGACCCTGGTGAAAAAGAGACTCGGTGAGGCATTCCTGCAGGGCCCTTCCCCCGCACCTCCGACGAGCACGATTGGCTATTGTACGGTGCGAAAGAAGTTGAACATACGTGAACAAGTGCAGTAACATTGTCATCACTGCGACTGCTTTGCGTCGAATTCTATGAAGTGCAGTGAGGAAAGACATGGGGGGCACTCCGCCCCAGGTATTAGAGCGCCCCCGTGCCAAGATCTGGGTCACAATCTCTCGCTATCGCGTCTGTGCGTGCGTGGTTCTGGTGTTGTTTAGTCAACAACGTGTGGAGCGCCGGGCGGCTACAAAGAGGAGATACGCATCGTTATGGCAGGCGCGGCCAAGTCTCTATTGCGCTTCCACGAGTGGCGCGGTATTGATTTTATTGCCCCCGGAGGGAGGAATGATGGGCCGAGTCCACCTGCCCACCACAACCTAGGGTTTGAACTCACGACCTTCCGCTCGCCGCTCGCTCCACCGCCGATCCGCCCGGGTCACGCGTAGGTTCACCGCGGTCGGTCCGTACGTGCGTGGGTTCACCGCGGGCGGTCCGTACGTGCGTGGGTCCATCGCGCTCGGTCCGCACGGGGTGAACACCAGCTGACCCCCGCTGTCCCCAGGTGACTTCGCGTCGAGAGCCCGGCCGCCCTCCGTGATCGCCACACCCCGACTCAAGTCCAGCGTTTCGGACTTTGTCCCCGCAAGCCGCCTCATGTTGTTACTGCTGCTGCTATCTGTGCTGTTATCTGCTGGCCCGGTGCACGGGCCAGCTAAACACCGTCCGTGTTAATAACCGGGCAGAGCGCTCCGTCTCGCTCCTTCCCACGTCCGCCCTCCACGTAAGTAAAGAAAAAAAAAACAAAGCATTTTTTATTTACAAGTCCAATTGGACACGTGGTCTTCCTTCCCGCGAGTTCGTCATAGCGCCAGCTTTAGTTGAATTCGAGAAAAATTCTGGACCCGTTTTGACTTTCGGTGTCTCATCGGCAGGGTTGGGATTGCTTCAACCGATGCTGGAGAGCTGCCAGATGTTTATCGGCAAAGATGTGTGGCCGATGGGACGTGTGAAACAAACTCTGTCATTCTTTTATTTGGAGCGGAAAGGTGAAAGATTTAAATTGTCCGCCCAATTATTGCGCAACTGATCATTTCCGCAACTGCCACTAAACATCCGGTCGTTCACCAGCATCAGTTCGAGCAAGTCTGACTGCCGATGAGACACTGCAAGTTGTGTTGAACCAACAGTTTAAGCAAAGCCTGACTCTTCTGATGAGACACTGCATGTCTGCATGTCGTAACTGGGGAGGCCCGGGTGGCGGATGGAATGTGTGAAAGTATAAATACATGATTTTTGCGTAGAGGCACACGCAACGGAAGGTTCGTCATCTCAAAGCGTTCTTTGCTCTGTTCGTCGCACAGTTTGCGGGCGGCGAGCGCCCTTTGCGTGCCGCGCCGTCGGCGACGGGGGCTGGCCAGCGGCTCTGGAGTTGTGTACGGCCCTCGTGGAGTCACCGTAACGGCGCGGCGCCGATAAGGTGCCGTGCGTGCGGGTCGCGCACGCACGGCACCTGATAACGTTTGTGGCGTCTTGAAGGTGAACCCGCGCGCGTGCGCACGTGAGTTGACGTGCAAAGTCCGTGTGAGTTTTAAGTTCACCTCGCTGGCGCCGGCCGGGCACGGGGCGCCGCCTGCACTCTGCGGAGGAGCGGCGCAGGAGGAGGACGGGACGCGTTGACCGCGGGAGACGCGCGCCGACAGGCACGGCACGCACGCGGCACGGACCGTGAGAGGTGATTATGTAATAGAGAGGAAGTCATGGGTTTGTACGCGAGTCTATGGGTCTCGCTGTGAGTCTGTGGGTCTCTGTGTGAGTCTATTCACATGCTGCTGCTGACACTCCCAGCGTGCCTCTGCCTCTACACCATTACAGAGCGACTGCATCTTAATGACACGCTCTGATTTATATTTGTCGGTATTCATCCAGCAGCATGGATTTGCGACCCGAGTTTCGTTCCCAAACACGGCTAACGTCAGTGGCGAGTTATATCTGAAACCGCTTCTGGGCTTCCCCTAGATCGACTCAGCTGTACATGAGTACCCGGTGTCGTGTGCAGTAAACAAACATTGGGGAGACAAAGACGGCCGTGCACAGTTCCGGCTACACCGCCCGCTCGTACGCCGCGCCGGTCTTCAAATAGTCACTCGCCAACGGCACCAACAGCCTCCGTGGAGCACGCGGGGGGTCTCGGTCTGTGCGCGTGCCCAGCAGGCGCACAGACTCCGGTTTGCCGGCTCTTCCCCATGGCTCTCGGGGGAGTCCCGAACCCGGCCTACGAGCAGGAGGAGGATGGGCGCCCTGCCGCGGAGGAGCCTGCGCCTGCCGAGGGCGGAGGTGGCCACCCCGGCCCGGAAGGCGAAGAAGCCGGGAGGAGGGGGAAGGAGGAGGAGGCTGGCGAGGGTCCGTGTGGGTGGTGGCGTGTGAGACCCTCTTGCCTGCAGGTCTGCAACAACCCCAAGGGCTACCTGCTGTTCTTCGGACTCATGTGCACCTTGCAGGGTAGGGGCCGCGAAAGGGTGGGGGCGGACCCCCCCCCCTGTGTCTGTGTGTGGTGGTGTGTGTCTGTGTGTGTGTATCTGTTTGTGTGTGTATCTGTTTGTGTATGTGTGTATGTATCTGTGTGTGTATCTGTGTCCGTGTGTGGTGGTGTGTGTCTCTGTGTGAGTAACTGTATGTCTATCTGTGTGTGTCTATCTGTGTGAGTGGGGAGGGGTAGTGTAGCGGTTAGCGCGCTGCGCTATGAACCTGGCGACCCGGGTTCGATTCCCGCTCACGGCCAACACCAGTGACGATTATCTGAACCGGTCCTGGGCCTCCCCTAGGTCGACTCAGCCTCAAATGAGTACCTGGTGCGGTGGATAAAAACATTGCCACTGGGGAGACTAAGGCGGTCGGGCGTGGTGCTGGCCACCCACCCACTCGTGTACCGTTCCGGCCTTCATAGGTGCTCGCTAACAGCACTTGTCCCTACAGTCTGTTAAGGCTATACGAGGGATCTTTGTCTATCTGTGTGTGTTTCTGTGTATATGTGCGTTTGTGTCTGTGTATCTGTGTGTGTATCTGTTTGTGTATCTGTTTTGAACGAAAGAATGAAGGGGGCGTGGGAGCGTGGCGGCGAGGTGTGGGAAGCTGTAAGCCACAGGCTACTTTGGGCTCGCCTTCCCATCAACAGGAGGCGAGGAATGGTGGTCGTGGTTACTTATGCCCCCACCGAAGATGAACATCCGTGGAGGGATGCAGGCAAAGCCGATGAGTCAGATGCCTTCTATGACCTTCTGTCACAGGTGCTGGCTAAAGTGGCCCCTCGGGATAGAGTCATCATGTTGGGTGACTTCAATGCCCGAGTTGGTCATGATACTGGCACCTGGTCTGGAGTGATTGGAGGGCATGGGCCAGATCAGCTCAATAACAACGGTAGGAGGCTGCTAGATTTTTGTGCAGCCCATGGGCTTGTAATTACCAACACGCTGTTCTGGCACCGGCGCATCCACACAACATCATGGATGCATGCCGGGTCCAAGCAAGAACATCTGCTGGACTACATAGTGACGGACCACCGGATGCGAGCCCATGTCCTTGACACCAGGACCTACCGTGGAGCTGATCTGTCCTCTGACCATCGACTAGTCATCTGTAAGATGCGCCTGCCATTCTTCCACTCCGGTGGTGGGTGTACACCCAGGACCCCATTCCGACCTAAATGAAAGTTGCAAGCGAGAATTTCATCATCGCTTGCGGCTGGGATGGCATCGTCCCCGACTCCTCCTGATGTCGAGGGTAAATGGGTGAGGTTTAGGACTGTGACTCATGCAGCTGCAATGGCTGCTTTGGGTACGCGGTCCAGACCTCCCCAGAGACCCTGGCTGACAGAGGAGGTGTTCAGGATGGTTGAGAAAAAGCGACAGGCCCACTGTCATCGGCTACAGAATCCCACGTCAGAGAATGAGGAGGCTTACCGCAGCCTTCGCTCGGAGGTTTGGAGAGCCCTGAGGCGCTGCAAGGATGGGTGGTGGTCGCGGGTTGCTGAGGAGATGGAGTCTACCTCAGCGGCCCGTGATCACAAATCTCTATTTAACTCCATCAAAAAAGTAACCTGCAGCGCCACACCTATTACCATCAGGGGAAAAAACGGTGATCCAATCTCCGACCCCCAGGAACAGGTTTGCAGATTTGCTGAGCATTTCTGTGAGGTCCTGGGGGAGGGAAAATCCCTCAGCCAGGAAAACATCGTGGCACAAAGTGAGGATGACCCTGCTGAGGCTGCGGTGCCTCAAATATTGGATGAAGTCACCCCCTGTGAGTGGCTGGCTGAGGTGCCATCTGTTGAGGAAGTACTGAAGGCGATCCGGAGTCTGAGACCAGGAAAGGCAGCGGGCAGAGATGATCTCCCAAGCGAAATGCTGAGGGAGGGTGGCGTTTGTGCACAGACTGCCCTATATGATATCATAACAACGGTCTGGACCACTAGACGGGTTCCGCAGGATTGGAAGGATGACCTGGTGGTCCCCCTCTTTAAGAAGGGGGACCGCACAGACTGTAACAACTACAGGGGCATCTCACTCCTCAGTGTGCCGGGAAAGGTCCTGGCAAGGATTATTCAGCATCGCCTTGCCAGGCACGCTGAGGAGAGGCTTGCGGAGCCCCAATGCGGTTTCAGGAAAGGGCGGTCCTGCACAGATGCCATATTTTCTATCCGTCTGCTACAGCAGAGGTGTAGGGAATTCCAACAAGACCTACATATCTGCTTTATTGACCTGGTCAAGGCCTATGATACCATCAGTAGGCCTGGGCTCTGGGTCGTTCTTCGTGCTTTTGGAGTACCTGATCCTCTGCTCACGATCATTAAGGACCTTCATGATGGTGAGCGGGCCCGGGTAAAACTACGTGGCCGGGAGTCAGAGCCATTCCCTGTACACCTTGGGGTGCGACAGGGATGTCCTCTGGCTCCCACATTATTTAACATCTATTTTGACCACGTAGTTCGTGAAGCCTTCAATAGCTGTACCGGGGGAATCTCCATATGGTACAGATATAATGGGAGGCTGATCGATGCCCGGGTGCGGTCAAGGGATGGCTCCCTATTGCTCAACCACGTTATGTATGCTGATGATTTGGTAATAGCTACTCAGTCAGAGGAGGAGTTGGAGACGCTGCTACTGAGACTGGAGCATGCCACTAAGAGGTGGGGCCTTAGCATCAGCCCCACCAAAACTAAGCACCTGCCTGGGTATTTTGTACCATCGGACACTCCACCCCCACAACTCCCAATCGGTGATGGGGCAGTTGTGGAGAGAGTAGAGAGTTTCCCATACCTGGGCAGTGTGCTTATGACAGGCTCCAGTTTAACAGCAGAGGTCTCACTCCGAATCAGTCGAGCGGCAATATCTTTTCATCGGTTGCGTAACGCTGTGTGGAAGCTACCCGGTCTGTCGCTCCGCACTAAGCTTCAGGTCTTCTCGGCCACGGTCATTCCCTCCCTTCTCTACACTTGCGAAACGTGGACCCCCCTAATGGAACATCTTCGCCGGTTAGAAACATTTAGGCTGGCCTGCCTACGATCCATCCTGGGTTTAACCAGGCTGGATTGTATGAGGAGCTTGAAAGATCTGGACAAGGTCTCATCGGTGAGCTCCTCCGGCAGGCAAGGCTGCGTTGGCTGGGTCATGTAGCCCGCATGCCCAGCCACCGCATGCCGAAACAGCTTTTGTTCGGCCGGATCGAGGGGGCTAAACGGGTGCGGCACGGGCTGGAGAAAAGATGGAGTGATGTGGTACAGGAAGACGTAGAGCTGAGTGGACTTTCCGATGACTGGTACCAGCGGTGTCAAGATCGGCCTCTGTGGAGGAGGCTCGTGGAGGAGGCTCGTGAAGGACGCTACTGGACAGTTGGAGGCAGTCGCCCTTCAACAACAACGGAGGGTGGAGGAGCGACGCTCACAACAACGAGTGGAGCGCCGGGTGGCTAAAGCACAGCAGGTTGGCACAGTAGGGGGCACAGGTGGTGCATCAGCCAGTCATCTCAGTCAGTCGATCCGTGGCACTTGGGTCTGCCCCGTGACCTCCTGCCAGCGGGCGTTCGACACTTCACGTGGCCTCAAGGTGCACATGGCTTAGCACAAGCATCGTGGTGATGTCACCGCCACTTAGTGGCGAATGGCGGTTGTTGTTGTTGTTTCTGTGTATATGTGCGTGTGTGTCTGTGTATCTCTGTGTGTATCTGTTTGTGTGTGTGTATCTGTTTGTGTGTGGGTCTGTTTATCTATTTGTGTATCTGTGTGTATCTGTGTGTGTGTCTGTTTATCTGTTTGTGTGTCTGTTTATCTGTTTGTGTATCTGTGTGTGTGTGTATGTGTGTGTCTGTGTATCTGTGTGTGTGTCTATATATTGTGGCGAGCAGTAGTGTTGCGATTAGCACACTGCGCTACGAACTCGGCGACCAGGGTTCAATTCTCGCTCACGGCCAACACCAGTGGCGATTATTTGAACCGGTCCTGGTGGTGTTGGCCTTCATAGGTTCTCGCTAACAGCACTTGCCCCAATAGTCTGTTAAGACTATACGGGGGATCTTTGTCTTTGTGTGTCTGTGTGTAACAGTGTGTGTCTATGTGCTTCGGTGTGTGTGTGTATATATGGAGAGTGGTAGTGTAATGCTTAGTAAACTGCACTTTGAACCATGCAACCTGAGTTCAATTCCCGCTCATGACCAACACCAGTGGTGTATATTTAAACCGGTACTGGACGTCAACTCAGCTTCAACGGAGTACCCGGTGTGATGGGCAAACATTGCCACTCGGGAGACAAAGGCGGTACAGGCGTGGTGTTGGCCACCCACCCCCTCATTTGCCCTTCTGGCCTTCATAGGCGCTTGCCCCAAAGGTCTGTGCAAGCGACACGGGGGATCTTTGTCTTTGTTTGAATATGGGTGATGGAGAGAGGTTGTGTATTGGTTAGCGAACCCGAGTTCGATTCCCGCTCATGATCGATAACAGTGGCGTGCCGGCCTTCATCGGTGCTCCTGAACAGCACCTGCCCCAACAGTCTGTTGGGGCTATATGGAGGAACTTTGTCTCTGCGTGCGAGTGGACGGCATGGGTAGTATCCCCCATGCTATTCTTGCGCGTGACGGTAGCAGCTATGTGGCCCAGGATCTCGATGCCAATGTCGAGGTCTCCTGCTGTGGCTGCTACGACGAGAAAGGGAGGGATGGCTTCAGCAGAGTGAGAGGGAGGGATGGCTTCAGCAGAGCGAGAGGGAGGGATGGCTTCAGCAGAGTGAGAGGGAGGGAGGGGGGATGGCTTCAGCAGAGCGAGAGGGAGGGATGGCTTCAGCAGAGTGAGAGAGAGGGATGGCTTCAGCAGAGTGAGTGGGAGGGATGGCTTCAGCAGAGTGAGAGGGAGGGATGGCTTCAGCAGAGCGAGAGGGAGGGATGGCTTCAGCAGAGTGAGAGTTCGTGTCCTCGTCCTCCTCCATCTCCTCCTGCGTTGGGAAGCGCTTGCTCCAGTGGGTTTAGCGTGCGGTCCACTGGACTCTCCTGGAAAGCGGCGAGACTTTTCCCGGGTGAGCCGGCGAGATAAAGGGGGGCCATGGGAACGGCACAGCGACGTGGAATCTCCGCCGTGCCGGTGCCGCGCGCAGGCGCGGCGGTGAACGGGCTGGTGAACGTGAGCATCACGACCATCGAGCAGCGCTTCGACCTGCGCAGCTCGCTCACGGGGCTCGTGTCCGCGGGCTACGACATCGCCTTCTGCGTCTGCACGCTGCCCGTCACCTTCCTGGGCGGCCGCGGGCACAAGCCGCGCTGGCTGGCGCTGGGCGCCGTCGTCATGGGTGCCGGGTCGCTCGTGTTCGCGCTGCCGCACTTCACGGCCGGGCCCTACCGCCTCGGCGACCAACGGCTCGGTGGGTTGCTCGGGGGCGGCGGGGGGGGGGGGGCCTGCCGCTGGGGGGTCTCCCCAGGAACGGCGCTTCTCGGATTCGTGTCTCTGCGGGGTCGGCCGGATGATGATGGCAGATGATGATGATAATGACAATGATTGTGACGATGACGACGATGATGATAATGACGACGATGATGATGACGACAATGACGACGATGATGACGATGATGATGATAATGTCGACGATAATGATGACGATAGCGATGACAATGGCGACGACGATGCAGGGGTGCATTTCCTGCCGAGTAAAGCCAATTGAGCTAAGACGTTTGTTCTTTTTAAGGGCGGCTCGGCCGCTAGACAGCGTCGAAGCATTCCACAAATACAGATTACAAGAACAAACACCAATAACGATAGCAAACATGTTGTAAAAATTACATTCGTACTTACACTTTAGTGATTTTAATAATAGAGTGAGTTTAAATGAGGAGAGAGATGGCAGAATTGAAATGCCAAGAGACGAAGCGAGGTGGTGCCAACACTTCAGGGCAGCTACACGACGATGATTACAACGATGACGATGATCATGACGACGATCACGACGACGACGACGATGATACTGGTGACGACTATGACGAAGCCGACGACTCACGGCGGCTCCGCCCCACGTCCCCAGAGACGTGCTCAGCGACGCGCAACTCCTCGTGGTGCCCCGCGCCCGGGGGGGAGGGCGGCGGCGATTCGGCCGCCGCCCCCCTCTCGGCGTACCTCTCCGTGTTCGTGCTGGGACAGCTGCTGCACGGCGCCGGCTGCACGCCGCTCTACACGCTCGGCACCGCCTTCATGGACGAGAGCGTCACGCAAGCCCAGTCCTCGCTCTACATCGGTGAATATCGCCGCACCTGCTGCCCCTGCTGCTGCCCCTGCTGCTGCTGCCCCTGCTGCTGCTGCCCCTGCTGCTGCTGATGCTGCTGCTGCCTCTGCTGCTGCTGCTGCCTCTGCTGCTGCCCCTGCTGCTGCTGCAAGTGTTGCTGCTGCTGCCCCTGCTGCTGCACGTGCTGCTGCTGGTGCTACAGCTGCTCGCACATACAGTGAGGGAAAAAAGTATTTGATCCCCTGCTGATTTTGCCCACTGACAAAGAAATGATCAGTCTATAATTTTAATGGTAGGTTTATTTGAACAGTGAGAGACAGAATAACAACAAAAAAATCCAGAAAAACGCATGTCAAAAATGTTATAAATTGATTTGCATTTTAATGAGGGAAATAAGTATTTGACCCCTTCTCAATCAGAAAGATTTCTGGCTCCCAGGTGTCTTTTATACAAGTAACGAGCTGAGATTAGGAGCACACTCTTAAAGGGAGTGCTCCTAATCTCAGCTTGTTACCTGTATAAAAGACACCTGTCCACAGATTCCAAACTCTCCACCATGGCCAAGACCAAAGAGCTCTCCAAGGATGTCAGGGACAAGATTGTAGACCTATACAAGGCTGGAATGGGCTACAAGACCATTGCCAAGCAGCTTGGTGAGAAGGTGACAACAGTTGGTGTGATTATTCGCAAATGGAAGAAACACAAAATAACTGTCAATCTCCCTCGGCCTGGGGCTCCATGCAAGATCTCACCTCGTGGAGTTGCAATGATCATGAGAACGGTGAGGAATCAGCCCAGAACTACACGGGAGGATCTTGTCAATGATCTCAAAGCAGCTGGGACCATAGTCACCAAGAAAACAATTGGTAACACACTACACCGCGAAGGACTGAAATCCTGCAGCGCCCGCAAGGTCTCCCTGCTCAAGAAAGCACATATACATGCCCGTCTGAAGTTTTCCAATGAACATCTGAATGATTCATAGGACAACTGGATGAAAGTGTTGTGGTCAGATGAGACCAAAATGGAGCTCTTTGGCATCAACTCAACTCGCCGTGTTTGGAGGAGGAGGAATGCTGCCTATGACCCCAAGAACACCATCCCCACCGTCAAACATGGAGGTGGAAACATTATGCTTTGGGGGTGTTTTTCTGCTAAGGGGACAGGACAACTTCACCGCATCAAAGGGACGATGGACGGGGCCATGTACCGTCAAATTTTGGGTGAGAACCTCCTTCCCTCAGCCAGGGCATTGAAAATGGGTCGTGGATGGGTATTCCAGCATGACAATGACCCAAAACACACGGCCAAGGCAACAAAGGAGTGGCTCAAGAAGAAGCACATTAAGGTCCTGGAGTGGCCTAGCCAGTCTCCAGACCTTAATCCCATAGAAAATATGTGGAGGGAGCTGAAGGTTCGAGTTGCCAAACGTCAGTCTCGAAACCTAAATGACTTGGAGAAGATCTGCAAAGAGGAGTGGGACAAAATCCCTCCTGAGATGTGTGCAAACCTGGTGACCAACTACAAGAAACGTCTGACCTCTGTGATTGCCAACAAGGGTTTTGCCACCAAGTACTAAGTCATGTTTTGCAGAGGGGTCAAATACTTATTTCCCTCATTAAAATGCAAATCAATTTATAACATTTTTGACATGCGTTTTTCTGGATTCTTTTGTTGTTATTCTGTCTCTCACTGTTCAAATAAACCTACCATTAAAATTACAGACTGATCATTTCTTTGTCAGTGGGCAAACGTACAAAATCAGCAGGGGATCAAATACTTTTTTCCCTCACTGTAGCTCCTGTTGCAACTCAACAGCATCGCAAGCAGCACTTGCCCCACGGGTCTGGCGACAGCTACGGGGGGCGCCGTCTCTCGCTCTGTCTTTGTGCTGCAGGCATCGCCTACGGGATGTCTGCGCTGGGTCCGGCCATCGGTTACGTCGCCGGAGGGCAGCTGCTCAACATCTACATTGACGTGGACAGGAGCGGCAAGTGCGTCCCGTGGCCTCGCAGCACCGAGCACCCGCGTTCGAATCTGGACCCGGGTGCCTCTCTGTGTGGAGTTGGTGTGCTCTTGAAGGCTGTTCTGTAGGGAGTGAGTGTGAGTGAGTGAGTGGGAGTGAGTGAGTGTGAGTGAGTGTGAGTGAGTGTGAGTGAGTGAGTGTGAGTGAGTGAGCGAGAGTGAGTGTGAGTGAGTGAGCGAGAGTGGGAGTGAGTGAGTGTGAGTGAGTGAGAGTGAGTGTGAGTGAGTGTGAGTGGGAGTGAGTGGGAGTGAGTGTGAGTGTGAGTGAGCGAGAGTGGGAGTGAGTGAGTGTGAGTGAGTGTGAGTGAGTGAGAGTAAGTGTGAGTGAGTGAGCGAGAGTGAGTGAGTGAGCGAGAGTGGGAGTGAGTGAGCGTGAGTGAGTGAGTGAGCGAGAGTGGGAGTGAGTGAGTGTGAGTGAGTGAGTGTGAGTGGGGGTGAGTGAGTGAGTGTGAGTGGGGGTGAGTGAGTGAGCGAGAGTGAGTGTGTGGAGTTCTCTCTCCCTCTGTTCTGCATGGGTTTCCTCCGGGTTCTACAATTTCCCCCTACCATAGCTAAGACAAAGATCCCGCGTAAAGCCTTAACAGTCTGTAGGGGCAAGTGCTGTTAGCGAGCACCTATAAAGGCCGGCACGGCACACGAGGGGTTGGTTGGCCAACACCACGCCCGGCCGCCTTTGTCTCCCTAGTGGCGATATTTACACACCGCACCAGTTACTCATTTGAGGCTAAATCGACCTAGGGGAGGCCCAGGACCGGTTCAGATTATCGTCACCGGTGTTGACCGTGAGCGGGAATCGAACTCAACTCGCCAGGTTCGGAGCGCAGCGTACAGACACACACACTCTGTGTAACCGGTAATGAAAAGTGTGTGTGTCTCTGTGTGTCTCTGTGTGTCTCTGTGTCTGTGTGTCTCTGTGTGTCTCTGTATCTCCCCCGTGTCTGTGTGTCTCTGTGTGTCTCTGTGTGTCTCTGTATCTCCCCGTGTCTGTGTGTCTCTGTGTGTCTCTGTGTGTTTCTGTATCTCCCCGTATCTGTGTGTCTCTGTGTGTCTCTGTGTGTCTCTGTGTGTGTGTGTGTCTCTGTGTGTCTCTGTGTCTGTGTGTGTCTCTGTGTGTCTCTGTATCTCCCCGTGTCTGCGTGTCTCTGTGTCTCTGTGTCTGTGTGTGTCTCTGTGTGTCTCTGTATCTCCCCGTGTCTGTGTGTCTCTGTGTGTCTCTGTGTGTTTCTGTGTCTCTGTGTGTCTCTGTGTGTCTCTGTATCTCCCCGTGTCTGTGTGTCTCTGTGTGTCTCTGTGTGTCTCTGTATCTCCCCGTATCTGTGTGTCTCTGTGTGTCTCTGTGTGTCTCTGTGTGTCTCTGTGTGTGTCTGTGTGTCTCTATCTCCCTGTGTCTGTGTGTCTCTGTGTGTCTCTGTATCTCCCCGTGTCTGTCTGTCTCTGTGTGTCTCTGTGTCTGTGTGTCTCTGTGTGTCTCTGTGTGTCTCTTGTGTGTTTCTGTGTCTCTGTGTGTCTCTGTGTGTCTCCGTGTCTGTGTTTCGCTGTGTCTTCGTGTCCCTGTATCTCCCCATGTGTGTCTTCGTATCTGTCTGTGTGTGTCTCTGTGTCTGTGCGTGTCTCCGTGTGTCTTCGTATCCGTCTGTGCGTGTCTCCGTGTGTCTCTGTATCTCCCCATGTGTGTATCCCTTTGTGTCTCTGTGTCTGTGTGTGTCTCCGTGTGTCTCTGTGTCTGTGCGTGTCTCCGTGTGTCTCTGTATCTCCCCATGTGTGTATCCCTTTGTGTCTCTGTGTCTGTGTGTGTCTCCGTGTGTCTCTGTGTCTGTGTGTGTCTCCGTGTGTCTCTGTATCTCCCCATGTGTGTATCCCTTTGTGTCTCTGTGTCTGTGTGTGTCTCCGTGTGTCTCTGTGTCTGTGCATGTCTCCGTGTGTCTCTGTGTCTGTGTGTGTCTCCATGCGTTTCTGTGTCTGTGTGTATCCCTTTGTGTCTCTGTGTCTGTGCGTGTCTCCGTGTGTCTCTGTGTCTGTGTGTGTCTCCGTGCGTTTCTGTGTCTGTGTGTGTCTCCGTGCGTTTCTGTGTCTGTGTGTATCCCTTTGTGTCTCTGTGTCTGTGCGTGTCTCCGTGTGTCTCTGTGTCTGTGTGTGTCTCCGTGCGTTTCTGTGTCTGTGTGTGTCTCCGTGCGTTTCTGTGTCTGTGTGTATCCCTTTGTGTCTCTGTGTCTGTGCGTGTCTCCGTGTGTCTCTGTGTCTGTGTGTGTCTCCGTGCGTTTCTGTGTCTGTGTGTATCCCTTTGTGTCTCTGTGTCTGTATGTGTCTCTGTGTGTCTCTGTGTCTGTGTGTGTCTCCGTGCGTTTCTGTGTCTGTGTGTATCCCTTTGTGTCTCTGTGTCTGTATGTGTCTCTGTGTGTCTCTGTGTCTGTATGTGTCTCCGTGCGTCTCTGTGTCTGTGTGTGTCTCCGTGCGTCTTGGTGTCTGTGTGTGTCTCTGTGCATCTCTGTGTCTGTGCGTGTCTTCGTGTGTCTCTGTATGTCCCCATGTGTGTATCCCTTTGTGTCTCTGTGTCTGTGCGTGTCTCCGTGCGTCTCTGTGTCTGTGTGTGTCTCTGTGCATCTCTGTGTCTGTGTGTATCCCTTTGTGTCTCTGTGTCTGTGCGTGTCTCTGTGCATCTCTGTCTGTGCGTGTCTTCGTGTGTCTCTGTCTGTGCGTGTCTCCGTGCGTCTCTGTGTCTGTGCGTGTCTCCGTGCGTCTCTGTGTCTGTGCGTGTCTCCGTGCGTCTCTGTGTCTGTGCGTGTCTCCGTGCGTCTCTGTGTCTGTGCGTGTCTCCGTGCGTCTCCGCGTGCGTGCCTGCGTCGGCAGGGCCCCGCTGAGCCCCAACGACTCGCGCTGGCTCGGCGCCTGGTGGATCGGCTTCATCGTCGCGTGGCTCCTCTCCTGGGCCATCGCCGTGCCGCTCTTCGCGTTCCCGCGCTCCCTGCCAGGTCTCCGTCACGAGCGCGCACAGCTCCCCCGTGCGGCCGGCTCCCACCGGCGGGGCGAGCGCCGTTAGCGAGCGCCGCGCCGGCGCCTACGACGGCGGGCGCGGTGCACGAGCGGGGGGCGGGTGGTCGGCGACAGGCCGGGCCGCCTTTGTCTCCCCGGTGCCGATGTTTACACGCCGCAGCCGGCACGCGTAGGAGGCTCGGTCCGCCTTGGGGGATGTCCCGAGGCCGGTTCAGATGGTCGTCACCGTCGTCGGCTGAGCAGGGATCGAACTCGGATCGCCACCGCTCCCCGCGCGGCCACGTGACCAACGCTTGCGTGGAAACGCACGTCCGCGGGTCTGTAGGGGAGCGAGTGCATGAGTGAGGTTGTAACTTAGTGAGTGAATGGATGAGGGAGCGAATGAGTGAGCAAGTTGTTGAGAGAGTAGGAGGGTGAGTGGTGTTGTTGATGAGACCCGTAGTGTGGTGGTTGAACAAAGTGCAGTGGTGGTGGTGGTGCTGGTTGTGGTGGACGAGACGACAGTCAGTGTCTGGTAGAGTCGCGGGGGAATAAATGAACGAGTGGATTTCACAGGAGCAGTGACCACGGGAGTAGCCGTAAAGGAGTGAGCGAGTGGATGACAGGGTTGGTGGATGAATGAGCGAGTGGGTGAGCGTGGGTGAGTGTGCGCGCCGTGCCGGCCTTCGTGGGTGCTTGCTAACGGCACTCACTCCAACCTTCTATCTGGACTTTGTTTTTGTGTGCATGCGCGTGTGTGTGTCTGTGCGTGTGTCTGTGCGTGCGTGTGTCTGTGCGTGTGTGTGTCTGTGCGTGTGTCTGTGCGTGTGTGTGTCTGTGCGTGTGTCTGTGCGTGTGTCTGTGCGTGCGTGTGTCTGTGCGTGTGTGTGTCTGTGCGTGTGTCTGTGCGTGTGTGTGTCTGTGCGTGTGCCTGTGCGTGTGTGTGTCTGTGCGTGTGTCTGTGCGTGTGTGTGTCTGTGCGTGCGTGTGTCTGTGCGTGCGTGTGTCTGTGCGTGCGTGTGTCTGTGCGTGTGTGTGTGTCTGTGCGTGCGTGTGTCTGTGCGTGCGTGTGTCTGTGCGTGCGTGTGTCTGTGCGTGTGTGTGTGTGTGTCTGTGTGTGTGTGTGTCTGTGTGTGTGTGTCTGTGTGTGTGTGTCTGTGTGTGTGTGTTGGTGCCCCCAGGCTCGGCGAGGCTGCGTGCCCGCTATGTCTCCCAGGCACACCAGGACGGCAGCGAGGAGGTGACGGCACGCGCCGGCTTCGGCTCCGGCTGGCGCGACTTCCCCATCGCCTTCAAGGTGCCTCCCTCCCTCTCCTCTCTCCCTCCCTCTCCTCCCTTCCTCCCTCTCCTCCCTCCTCTCTCCTCTCTCCCTCCCTCCCTCCCTCCCCTCTCCTCCCTCCCTCTCCTCCCTCTACTCCCTCTCTCTCCTCCCTTTCCTCCCTCCCTCTCCTCCCTCCCTCTCCTCCCTGCCCTCTCCTTCCTCCCTCTCCTCTAATCCCTCCCTCTCCTCCCTCCCTCTCCTCCCTTCCTCCCTCCCTCCCTCCTCTCTCCTCTCTCCCTCTCCTCCCTTCCTCCCTCTCCTCCCTCCTCTCTCCTCTCTCCCTCCCTCCCTCCCCTCTCCTCCCTCCCTCTCCTCCCTCTACTCCCTCCCTCTCCTCCCCTCTCCTCCCTCCCTCTCCTCCCTCCCTCCCTCCCCTCTCCTCCCTCCCTCTGTCCCTCCCCTCTCCTCCCTTCCTCTCTCATCTTTCCCTCCCTCTCCTTCCCCGATCATCCCTCCCCTTCCTCACCTCTCTCTCGCGGTGTTCATGTGTGTGTGTTTGTGTGTTCATGAGTTTGTGCTCATGTGTGTGCTCATGTGTGTGCGTGCCAGCTGCTGGTGAGGAACGCGGTGTTCATGTGTATGTTCATGTGTGTGTTCAGGAAAGGGCGGTCCTGCACAGATGCCATATTTTCTGTCCGTCTGCTACAGCAGAGATGTAGGGAATTCCAACAAGACCTACATCTCTGCTTTATTGACCTGGTCAAGGCCTATGATACCATCAGTAGGCCTGGGCTCTGGGTTGTTCTTCGTGCTTTTGGAGTACCTGACCCTCTGCTCACGATTATTAAGGACCTTCATGATGGTGAGCGGGCCCGGGTAAAACTACGTGGCCGGGAGTCAGAGCCATTCCCTGTTAACCTTGGGGTGCGACAGGGATGTCCTCTGGCTCCCACATTATTTAACATCTATTTTGACCACGTAGTTCTTGAAGCCTTCAATAGCTGTACCGGGGGAATCTCCATATGGTACAGATATAATGGGAGGCTGATCGACGCCCGGGTGCGGTCAAGGGATGGCTCCCTATTGCTCCAACCACGTTATGTATGCTGATGATTTGGTAATAGCTGCGCATTCGGAGGAGGAGTTGGAGACGCTGCTGCTGAGACTGGAGCGTGCCACTAAGAGGTGGGGCCTTATCATCAGCCCCACCAAAACTAAGCACCTGCCTGGGTATTTTGTACCATCGAACACTCCACCCCCACAACTCCCAATCGGTGATGGGGCAGTTGTGGAGAGAGTGGAGAGTTTCCCATACCTGGGCAGTGTGCTTATGACTGGCTCCAGTTTAACAGCAGAGGTCTCACTCCGAATCAGTCGAGCGGCAATATCTTTTCATCGGTTGCGTAACGCTGTGTGGAAGCTACCTGGTCTGTCGCTCCGCACTAAGCTTCAGGTCTTCTCGGCCACGGTCATTCCCTCCCTTCTCTACGCTTGCGAAACGTGGACCCCCCTAATGGAACATCTTCGCCGGTTAGAATCATTTAGGCTGGCCTGCCTACGATCCATCCTGGGTTTAACCAGACTGGATTGTGTGAGGAACTCAAAAATCCTTGAAAGATCTGGGCAAGGTCCCATCGGTGAGCTCCTCCGGCGGGGAAGGCTGCGATGGCTGGGTCATGTAGCCCGCATGCCGAAACAGCTTTTGTTCGGCCAGATTGAGGGGGCTAAGCGGGCGCGGCATGGGCTAGAGAAGAGATGGAGTGATGTGGTACAGGAGGACGTGGAGCTGAGTGGACTTGCCGATGACTGGTACCAGCGGTGTCAAGATCGGCCTCTGTGGAGGAGGCTCGTGAAGGATGCTACTGGGCAGTTGGAGGTAGTCGCCCTCCAACAACAACGGAGGGCGGAGGAGCGATGCTCACAACAACGAGCGGAGCGCCGGGTGGCTAAAGCACAGCAGATTGGCACAGTAGGGGGCACAGGTGGTGCATCAGCCGGTCATCTCAGTCAGTCGACCCGTGGCACCTGGGTCTGCCCCGTGACCTCCTGCCAGCGGGCGTTCGACACTTCACGTGGCCTCAGGGTGCACATAGCCTGGCACAAGCGTCGTGGTGACGTCACCGCCACTTAGTGGCGAATGGCGGTTGTTGTTGTTGTTGTTCATGTGTGTGTATTCATGTGTGTGTGCTCATGTGTGTGCGTGCCAGCTGCTGGTGAGGAACGCGGTGTTCATGTGTGTGTTCATGTGTGTGTTCATGTGTGTGTGTTCATGTGTGTGTGCTCATGTGTGTGCGTGCCAGCTGCTGGTGAGGAACGCAGTGTTCATGTGTGTGTTCATGTGTGTGTTCATGTGTGTTCGTGTGCGTGTTCATGTGTGTGTTCATGTGTGTGTGTTCATGTGTGTGCGTGCCAGCTGCTGGTGAGGAATGCGGTGTTCATGTGTGTGTTCATGTGTGTGTGTTCATGTGTGTGTTTATGAGTGTGTGTTCATGTGTGTGTTTATGTGTGTGTGTTCATGCGTGTTTTCATGTGTGTGTGTTCATGTGTGTGTTCATGTGTGTGTTCATGTGTGTGTTCATGTGTGTGCGTGGCAGCTGCTGGTGAGGAACGCGGTGTTCATGTGCGTGACGGTGGCCGGCTCCACCGAGGGCCTCGTGGTCGCTGGGTTCATCACCTTCATGCCCAAGTTCATCGAGAACCAATTCGGCCAAACGTCCTCCTTCGCAGCGCTGCTTGGAGGTAGCGCTCGGCCATTCTTATAGCATCGTCATCATCGTCATCATTATTGTCGTCGTCGTCGTCATCACCGTCATTGTCTTCATCATCGTCATTATCACCGTCATCAGGCAGTGTTCATCCGCCCCTGGGTGCCGGCATCCACACTCTGCGTCAGTCACGGGGGGTGGAGTTGTTTGACCATACTTCACCACACCAGTCAGTCGGGTGAACAGTGTCACAGTGCCATGGTGGCTGCACAGCGGTCAGACTCGTGTGGCCTGACAGGAAGAAGTGCCTGGGTTCGATTCTGTGTCGAGTTTGTTCCGTGTAGAGTTTGTTCCGTGTAGAGTTTGTTCCGTTTAGAGTTTGTTCAGTGTAGAGTTTGTTCCGTGTAGAGTTTGTTCCGTGCAGAGTTTGTTCCGTTTAGAGTTTGTTCCGTGTAGAGTTTGTTCCGTGTAGAGTTTGTTCCGTGAGGAGTTTGTTCCGTGTAGAGTTTGTTCCGTGAGGAGTTTGTTCCGTTTAGAGTTTGTTCAGTGTAGAGTTTGTTCCGTGCAGAGTTTGTTCCGTTTAGAGTTTGTTCCGTTTAGAGTTTGTTCAGTGTAGAGTTTGTTCCGTGTAGAGTTTGTTCCGTGAGGAATTTGTTCCGTGTAGAGTTTGTTCCGTTTAGAGTTTGTTCCGTTTAGAGTTTGTTCCGTGAGGAGTTTGTTCAGTGTAGAGTTTGTTCCGTGTAGAGTTTGTTCCGTGTAGAGTTTGTTCCGTGTAGAGTTTGTTCCGTTTAGAGTTTGTTCAGTTTAGAGTTTGTTCCGTGCAGAGTTTGTTCCGTGCAGAGTTTGTTCCGTTTAGAGTTTGTTCCGTGTAGAGTTTGTTCTGTTTAGAGTTTGTTCCGTGTAGAGTTTGTTCCGTGTAGAGTTTGTTCCGTGAGGAATTTGTTCCGTGTAGAGTTTGTTCCGTTTAGAGTTTGTTCCGTTTAGAGTTTGTTCCGTGCAGAGTTTGTTCCGTGAGGAGTTTGTTCCGTGTAGAGTTTGTTCCGTGAGGAGTTTGTTCCGTGTAGAGTTTGTTCCGTGAGGAGTTTGTTCAGTGTAGAGTTTGTTCCGTGTAGAGTTTGTTCCGTGTAGAGTTTGTTCAGTGTAGAGTTTGTTCAGTGAGGAGTTTGTTCCGTGTAGAGTTTGTTCCATGAGGAGTTTGTTCCATGTAGAGTTTGTTCCGTGTAGAGTTTGTTCCGTGAGAAATTTGTTCCGTGTAGAGTTTGTTCCGTTTAGAGTTTGTTCCGTTTAGAGTTTGTTCCGTGCATAGTTTGTTCCGTGAGGAGTTTGTTCCGTGTAGAGTTTGTTCCGTGAGGAGTTTGTTCAGTGTAGAGTTTGTTCCGTGTAGAGTTTGTTCCGTGTAGAGTTTGTTCAGTGTAGAGTTTGTTCAGTGTAGAGTTTGTTCCGTGAGGAGTTTGTTCCGTGTAGAGTTTGTTCCTTGAGGAGTTTGTTCCGTGTAGAGTTTGTTCCGTGTAGAGTTTGTTCTGTGTAGAGTTTGTTCCATGAGGAGTTTGTTCCGTGTAGAGTTTGTTCCGTGTAGAGTTTGTTCCGTGCAGAGTTTGTTCCGTGTAGAGTTTGTTCCGTGTAGAGTTTGTTCCGTTTAGAGTTTGTTCCGTGAGGAGTTTGTTCAGTGTAGAGTTTGTTCCGTGTAGAGTTTGTTCCGTGTAGAGTTTATTCCGTGTAGAGTTTGTTCCGTGTAGAGTTTGTTCCGTTTAGAGTTTGTTCCGTTTAGAGTTTGTTCCGTGTAGAGTTTGTTCCGTGTAGAGTTTGTTCAGTGTAGAGTTTGTTCCGTGCAGAGTTTGTTCCGTGCAGAGTTTGTTCCGTTTAGAGTTTGTTCCGTGTAGAGTTTGTTCCGTTTAGAGTTTGTTCCGTGTAGAGTTTGTTCCGTGTAGAGTTTGTTCCGTGAGGAATTTGTTCCGTGTAGAGTTTGTTCCGTTTAGAGTTTGTTCCGTTTAGAGTTTGTTCCGTGCAGAGTTTGTTCCGTGAGGAGTTTGTTCCGTGTAGAGTTTGTTCCGTGTAGAGTTTGTTCCGTGAGGAGTTTGTTCCGTGTAGAGTTTGTTCCGTGAGGAGTTTGTTCCGTGTAGAGTTTGTTCCGTGTAGAGTTTGTTCCGTGTAGAGTTTGTTCCGTGAGGAGTTTGTTCCGTGTAGAGTTTGTTCCGTGAGGAGTTTGTTCCGTGTAGAGTTTGTTCCGTGTAGAGTTTGTTCCGTTTAGAGTTTGTTCCGTGTAGAGTTTGTTCCGTGCAGAGTTTGTTCCATGTAGAGTTTGTTCCGTGTAGAGTTTGTTCCGTGTAGAGTTTGTTCCGTGTAGAGTTTGTTCCGTGTAGAGTTTGTTCCGTGTAGAGTTTGTTCCGTGAGGAGTTTGTTCCGTGTAGAGTTTGTTCCGTGAGGAGTTTGTTCCGTGTAGAGTTTGTTCCGTGTAGAGTTTGTTCCGTGTAGAGTTTGTTCCGTGAGGAGTTTGTTCCGTGTAGAGTTTGTTCCGTGTAGAGTTTGTTCCGTGTAGAGTTTGTTCCGTGTAGAGTTTGTTCCGTGTAGAGTTTGTTCCGTGTAGAGTTTGTTCCGTGCAGAGTTTGTTCCATGTAGAGTTTGTTCCGTGTAGAGTTTGTTCCGTGTAGAGTTTGTTCCGTGTAGAGTTTGTTCCGTGAGGAATTTGTTCCGTGTAGAGTTTGTTCCGTTTAGAGTTTGTTCCGTTTAGAGTTTGTTCCGTGCAGAGTTTGTTCCGTGAGGAGTTTGTTCCGTGTAGAGTTTGTTCCGTGAGGAGTTTGTTCCGTGTAGAGTTTGTTCCGTGAGGAGTTTGTTCAGTGTAGAGTTTGTTCCGTGTAGAGTTTGTTCCGTGTAGAGTTTGTTCAGTGTAGAGTTTGTTCAGTGAGGAGTTTGTTCCGTGTAGAGTTTGTTCCGTGAGGAGTTTGTTCCGTGTAGAGTTTGTTCCGTGTAGAGTTTGTTCCGTGAGGAATTTGTTCCGTGTAGAGTTTGTTCCGTTTAGAGTTTGTTCCGTTTAGAGTTTGTTCCGTGCATAGTTTGTTCCGTGAGGAGTTTGTTCCGTGTAGAGTTTGTTCCGTGAGGAGTTTGTTCAGTGTAGAGTTTGTTCCGTGTAGAGTTTGTTCCGTGTAGAGTTTGTTCAGTGTAGAGTTTGTTCAGTGTAGAGTTTGTTCCGTGAGGAGTTTGTTCCGTGTAGAGTTTGTTCCGTGAGGAGTTTGTTCCGTGTAGAGTTTGTTCTGTGTAGAGTTTGTTCCGTGTAGAGTTTGTTCCATGAGGAGTTTGTTCCGTGTAGAGTTTGTTCCGTGTAGAGTTTGTTCCGTGCAGAGTTTGTTCCATGTAGAGTTTGTTCCGTGTAGAGTTTGTTCCGTTTAGAGTTTGTTCCGTGAGGAGTTTGTTCAGTGTAGAGTTTGTTCCGTGTAGAGTTTGTTCCGTGTAGAGTTTGTTCCGTGTAGAGTTTGTTCCGTTTAGAGTTTGTTCCGTTTAGAGTTTGTTCCGTGTAGAGTTTGTTCCGTGTAGAGTTTGTTCAGTGTAGAGTTTGTTCCGTGCAGAGTTTGTTCCGTGCAGAGTTTGTTCCGTTTAGAGTTTGTTCCGTGTAGAGTTTGTTCCGTTTAGAGTTTGTTCCGTGTAGAGTTTGTTCCGTGTAGAGTTTGTTCCGTGAGGAATTTGTTCCGTGTAGAGTTTGTTCCGTTTAGAGTTTGTTCCGTTTAGAGTTTGTTCCGTGCAGAGTTTGTTCCGTGCGGAGTTTGTTCCGTGTAGAGTTTGTTCCGTGAGGAGTTTGTTCCGTGTAGAGTTTGTTCCGTGAGGAGTTTGTTCAGTGTAGAGTTTGTTCCGTGTAGAGTTTGTTCCGTGTAGAGTTTGTTCAGTGTAGAGTTTGTTCCGTGAGGAGTTTGTTCCGTGAGGAGTTTGTTCCGTGTAGAGTTTGTTCCGTGTAGAGTTTGTTCCGTGTAGAGTTTGTTCCGTGCAGAGTTTGTTCCGTGTAGAGTTTGTTCCGTGTAGAGTTTGTTCCGTGTAGAGTTTGTTCCGTGTAGAGTTTGTTCCGTGTAGAGTTTGTTCCGTGTAGAGTTTGTTCCGTGCAGAGTTTGTTCCATGTAGAGTTTGTTCCGTGTAGAGTTTGTTCCGTGTAGAGTTTGTTCCGTGTAGAGTTTGTTCCGTGTAGAGTTTGTTCCGTGCTCTCCCCTGGTTCTGCATGAGTTTCCTCCGGGTTCTCCGGTTTCTTCCCATAGCTAAACTCACACCCGCAATGTCACCGCCCACACATCACAATGCTATAAAATGACCTGCAAATTACTCAGTCGCGACTCCGTGAAGCTCTCCTGGGTGGCACATTGGACATAGCGGTGCGCCGTGCCCCGCCGTGCCCCGCCGTGCTCCCGCCGTGCCCCCGCATTGCCCCCGCCGTGCCCCCCCGTGCCCGCCCCCCACTAGGCTTGGTGAGCATACCGGGAGCGGTGGTGGGTCAGGTCCTGGGGGGCCTCCTGGTCAGCAAGCTGCGCCTGTCGTGCCGGCGGACGCTGCTGCTGGCGTCTGGCTCCTCGTTGGCTTCGCTGGCGCTCTGCGCCGTCTTCTACTTCGCGAGCTGCGAGAACGCGGCCTTCGCCGGGGTCACGCAGCCCTACAACGGGTACGCACGCGCGGGTATACACGCACACACGGGTCCTGTCGCCCCAATGACCTGAGCGAGCGACTGAGCGGGCGACTGAGCGAGCGACTGAGCGAGCGAGCGGTTGAGCGAGGAACCGAGCGAGTGGCGGTGGCGTGCCCCAGGTCTGGCGAGGCGCTGCTGATATTGGAGGCCGAGTGCAACGCGCCCTGCGGCTGCGAGCGTTCGCTCTTCGCGCCGGTCTGCACCGACGACGGCGTGCAGTTCTTCTCCGCCTGCTACGCGGGCTGCACCACCAGCATCCCCCAGGTGCCGCGCTCGACGCGCCCGGCGCATTCTGCCGGCACGCCACAGCGCCCGGCGTGCCGGATCTCACTCGCCGGTCGCCGTGTCGCCTGCCGCGGCCTACGACGAGAGGGAAGACTGGATGCGGTGTGCCGGGCCCTGAAATGACTTCGGGGTCGCGGACTCGGTTTAGGTTAATCCCCCATCTCGGTGCCTGTTTGTAGCCAGAGGAATTTAAAAATTAAAGCGCAACCTGCACAGGGCCCAACGGAAGCGCGTCCGCCGCTTTCTGCAGGTGTCCGCGGTTCGAATCCGACGGGAAAGCCCCGGTTATTAACTGCGGCGGTGCGTTCGCCGTGAAGCAGGAAGCTACGCGCCGTCCGCTTCGCTCGCCGTGGACCTCAAAGTTCCCCGCGACGTCGATCCGAGACTGCATCGGCCGTTGAGCGCCGGGCTTCACGGGAGAAAATTTCGCCAAATTTCTGAAAGGTTACCGCGCCGGTCACTCAAGTGGGAAATTTGTCTCCCTATTGGCAATGTTTACACACCGCACCAGGTACTCATTTGCCGCTGAGTCGACCTAGGGGAGGCTCATGACCGGTTCAGATCATTGTCACTGGTGTTTGCCGTCAGCGGGAATTAAACTCGGTCGCTGGGTTCGTAGTGCAGCGTAGCGCTAACCACTACACTACCGCTCCCCACACTCACACACACTCTCTCCTCCACACGCTCTCTCACTCACGCACACTCTGACACACACACTCTGACACACACACTCTCACTCACACACACACTCTCACTCACACACACTCTCTCTCACTCACACACTCCAATATCAACACCAATACCTGCCATTGAGCACTAAGTGATGGTGACATCACCACTGCAACGTCGCTGGCCGTGCTGCTGATAACGATGGTGATGTTGATGGTGATGTTGATGGTGATGTTGATGGTGATGTTGATGGTGACTGACTGGCTGCAGGGTTTTTCGAACTGCTCTTGTGTCGGGCTGGGAGGAGAAGGCCCCAGCGTGGGCCCCAGCGTGGAGCAGGGGAAGTGCAGCTCGACGTGCACCAACATGCCTCTCTTCCTAGGCATCTTCCTCCTCATCATCATCTTCACCTTCGTCTCCAACACGCCCGCCATCAACGTCACCCTGCGGTGAGCTCAGCACCACCACTACCACCACCACCACCACTACCACCACCACCACCACTACCACCACTACCACCACCATAACCACCACCACTGCCACCACCACCACAACCACCACTACCACCACCACCACCACCACCATAACTACCACCACTGCCACCACCACCACTACCACCACCACTACCACCACCCCTGCCACCACCACCGCTACCACCACCATAACCACCACCGCTACCACCACCATAACCACCACCACCACAACCACCACTACCACCACTACCACCACCATAACCACCACCACTGCCACCACCACCACAACCACCACCACCACTACCACCACTACCACCACCACCATAACTACCACCACTGCCACCACCACCACTACCACCACCACTACCACCACCACTGCCACCACCACCGCTACCACCACCATAACCACCACCACCGCTACCACCACCATAACCACCACCACCACAACCACTACCACCACTACCACCACTACCACCACCACTACCAGCACCACCACCACCACCACTTCCACCACTACCACCACCGCCACCGCCATGGAGAGACGGATATTCTCCACCGAGTGCTGTGTGGTGTCTGCTGCGTAGGAGGAGCAGTGGGGTAGCGGTTAGCGCTACGCTGCGCTACGAACCCGGTGACCCGAGTTAAATTCTCCCTCACGGCCACCAACACCAGTGACGATTATATTATCTGAACCGGTTCTGGGCCTCCCCTAGGTCGGCTCAGCCTCAAATGAGTACGTGGTGCGGTGCGTAAACATCGCAAGTAGGGAGATAAAGTCGGCCGGGCGTGGTGCTGGCCACCCACCCCCTCGTGTGCCGTGCTGGCCTTCAGAGGTGCTCGCTAACAGCACTTGCCCCAACAGTCTGTTAAGGCTATACGGGGGATCTTTGTCTTTGTGTGGTGCAGGTGTGTCCCGGCGAGCCAGCGCTCGTTTGCTCTGGGCGTGCAGTGGCTGTTCATCCGCGCGCTGGGTAATATTCCTTTCTGCCCCTCCCCTCCTCACGGGGTCTCATGGGGTCGCGACCCACACCACCGCCCCCACCGCCCCACCACCACCGCCCCCACCCCGCCTCCACTACCGCCACCACCGGCACCGCCGCCACCGCCGCGGTTTCTTGTTTCAGCGCGGTCACTGAGCCAGAGTCGCCCAAAGGCCCAAAATCCCAAGCGGTCAGCAACAAACAGCACCGTCAGAGTTGTAACCAGTACGGTGGCGGTAGAACCAGCGGCTCGCAATAGGAAGGTTGTGAGTTCTCATCCTGGTTGGCGGGGGGGGGGGGGGTTGACTCAGCCCGTTACCTTCACGTGATTCGGTTTAATACTGACAGTCGATTGCTGGTTGTCTGGCTGTGTGATTGGCAGGCTAGGTTCGCGCTCCGCCGAAACGTCGGACTAAACAGTTTAAATATTGCTTTGGTTAGCAATATCCCTCCTCGACTTTTGCTGATAAATCAATTTGCATATTTGCCCATCACGTGACGACTTTATTTGATTGGCACTGGCAAGTGGCGGAGGGTTATAGTTACACGACCTGAACGCGACGATCCGACCCAAGAGAAATGAATTACGGATCACCATCACAATGACGATTATCATCGCGAATGTGCCTTCTCTTCGTTTGTTGCGCCCGTCGAAGGCACCATCCCCGGGCCGATCCTTTTTGGAGTGATCATCGACAAGACGTGCATCCTGTGGAGCGAGAAGCCGTGCGGGGAGCGTGGCGCGTGCTGGACGTACGACAACCCCACCATGTCACTGCTGCTGCTCGCCATCGGTATGTCGTCGCGTGGCCCGGGGCAAACCGAACCACGTGGGCTCTCCCCCCCCCCCCCCCCCGACGCCTTCAAACTAAACCGGAAGTATTACATCTGACGCCGTGACGTCGAAGCGAGGGGCCCCCCAAAGCACGGGGCCCGGGGCGGTCGCCCCGATTCGCCGTAACTACTAGGGGCGGCTCTGCTGGCCATCGAACAAAGACGGTCAAAGCATCGTGCACTTTCAGATGCGCTTCTGCGGCCGTCTGGAACGCTCTTCCTTCCGATGTTAGGAAGCCACTGGAGCTATGCACTTTTAAGTTTGGATTGAAAACTCATTTCTTTACAACAGCTTTTTGTGCTTAGTTTGTTGTCCTTCCCCCGCACCTCCGTTTAGCGCGGTTGGCTACGTACGGTGCGAAAGAAGTTTAAACATGCCGTACATGAATTCCGGGGATACGCCGCAGACACACGGCTAGCGCTGGCGGAGCGCTGGGCTGGTCCGCTTTGCCACACGGGTGGCGGTTCCGCGTCGCCAGCTTCCGGAGAGAGCTGGCAACCCACCCACACGGTGTGACCGGGATTTGGGCCAAAATAATGCTGAAACATTCCCCGCACATCACACAGTTGGGATGAGATAATGATTCCCCAACAGACTGTGTTCGATGCATCATTAGCGTTGGGCTGGCGATTCAGTGTCAGGGGCGAGCGTTGGGCGTGAGTGCCGCGGTGTGGGAAGAGGAATGCTCATGGGGGTTTTGTGTAGAGGTGGAATTGAAAGATAAAGATTTGTACGCACACACAAGAAATGGAGAGGGATTCTGGCATTTTTATTTACTTTATAAATTAAAATATGTAATATGAATAGTTCCTTTAGATGGAACGTCTCGTGTGCAAGGCTGTCCTGGTGTCAAGTGACACGGAGAAAACAAGTAATTATGCACGCAGACAAAAGACAAAGATCCTCCCAGTAGTATAGCCTGTAACAGACTGTTGGGGCAAGCGCTGTTCGCGAGCAGCACCTATGAAGGCCGGCACTGTGGCACGCGAGGGGGTGGGTGGCCAGCATTACGCACGCGCTCCATGGCAGCAACTTCGGCCCTTCTGCAAGAACCTGAAAGTGAGTTTTGAGACTCGGCAAGAATGAATGAATGTGAACGTTGGATTGCGACGTGGTGGCAGTCCTCACTCCTTGCTCGCGTCAAGGGACGGCGACGTCCCGGAGGTGCCAGCGGCATCCGCAGCCACGAGCGGGAAGGCAGCAGTAGCAGGCGCCAAATTTCCCCCCCCAAAGGTCTGCGGTCCTCTATATATGAAGGGCCAATTAATGAGTGTTTACACGTGGGGCGAAATACACACGTGTAAGGGGGCAACAATCTATCCCATAGACCAAACATATTGCTGTACCAATTAACACGGTTGGCTACGTACGGTGCGAAAGAAGTTCAACATACGTACGCACGGCTCCTCGACGCCCACGGTAATGGAGTTTAACAACATCTCTGCGTGATCCACCAACCTTCGAGGCTTTCACTGCGGAGCACCGACTCTTTGAGTCTTCGGAGCAAGGCGCGGCGCGACGTGCCACGCTCCGCGCGCAGTTCGCTCCCTGGAGAAGCTCCTCGCAGCGCGTGGGACGTGGGGAACGTCGTCGGGGACGTCACGTCGAGCGCGGCGTTACCCCTGACGTATTGACGCGCGACCTTTCCCTCCCCGGGTGTGGGCGTGTCCCGCAGGTGCGTGCTGCAAAGTGGTGACCATCGTCTTCTTCTTGGTGGCCTTCCTCGTGTACAAGGGGCCGGCGAAAACGCCCGCCCCGGTGGACGGCGCAGATCCCCTGGACTCGTCGCACCTCCCGGACCCTGCGGCCAGCTCGCTGGACAGCGGCTACAGCGACGTCCCGTCGTGCATCGAGAGCAAGCAGCTCTAGCGAGCGTCGTCGTCGTCATCGGCCGTGGTCTGTCCGCTGCCGGATGCGATGTATCGAGCAAGTTTACCGTAGCAGATTGTGACGGGGACAGCTGCCACTGGGGGGGGATCCTCTCGGCTACGCCGCAGCAGGGCAGTCGGAATGGTCGAGATGGGATGTTGAGGCACGCTGCTGTGAGATGACGAGGATTTTAAGCCGGCACCACTAACGACCAAAGATGTTGCGCCACCCCGCCCCACCCCGCCCCACCCCGCCCCACCCCACCTCACCCCGCCCCACCCCACCCCGCCCCACCCCACCTCACCCCGCCCCACCCCGCCCCGCCCCACCCCGCCCCACCCTACCCCGCCCCGCCCCACCCTACCCCGCCCCGCCCCACCCTGCCCCACCCTGCCCCACCCTGCCCCGCCCCACCCCGCCCCGCCTCACCCCACCCCGCCCCGCCCCACCCCGCCCCACCCCGCCCCGCCCCACCCCGCCCCACCCCGCCCCGCCCCGCCCTACCCCGCCCCGCCCCGCCCCGCCCCACCCCGCCCCACCCCGCCCCGCCCCACTCCGCCCCGCCCTACCCCACCCCACCCTACCCCGCCCCACCCCACCCTGCCCCACCCCGCCCCACCTTGCCCCGCCCCACCCCACCCCGCCCCACCCCGCCCCACCCCACCCTGCCCCACCCCGCCCCACCTTGCCCCGCCCCACCCCACCCCACCCCGCCCCACCCCACCCCGCCCCACCCCGCCCCGGCCCACCCCGCCCCGCCCTACCCTGCCCCACCCCGCCCCACCTTGCCCCACCCCGCCCCACCCCGCCCCGCCCCACCCCGCCCCGCCCCACCCCGCCCCACCCTGCCCCACCCCACCCCGCCCCACCCCGCCCCGCCCCGCCCCACCCCACCCGCCCCGCGGTGCTCGTTAGGGATGCCGCGACGCCATCAGGGGAGTTAGGCCGTGTCGGCGTTGCGGTGCGAATTTGAAAACGCGACACCGCAAATGTGCCCGCTTGCAATTACACGCGTGGCACATCGTCACGAACTGTGGCGGAAACTTGGCAGGACCCTCCTGCAAAACGGTTACGAGACTCGGTGAGGCTGTCCTGGGTAAACAAACGGAACATGAAGTAGTCTCCCTCTTTAACCTCCTTCCGTTCGTCTCTTAAAGCCTCACCTCTTCTCTATTGCCCATTCCCTTCCCTCTCCACGCCCCTCCGTCCCCCCCCTACAGCTCATCCATGACCCCCACCTACAGCCCATCCGTGACCCCCACCTACAGCCCATCCGTGACCCCCACGTGCCCTCTTGTTACGGTCACACCTTGGCCCTTGCACTGCCCTTGTTACCGCTTTTAGAACGACGTCATCGAGCACCTTGAGCTAAGGCGCTCTATAAATGCAAATTCTCATCCGAACCTCACATGCCCGTCGTTGGCCGTCATCCCTGGCCTATGCACACAGTCGACTATTACGTCGCCTGTTAATATTTGAATATTGACACTGCACTTTTTTACCAGCTCCATGTATTATGATTATTGCTACACTTGTATCACCCAGGAGATCCTCACCGAGTCTGAAGACTACTTTTCAGGAGGGTCCTGCCAGGTGTTCGCAGTAGGGTACGATGCTTCCGCTTGCTGCCGCCCCTGCTGCCGCGTGTGAACCCAATCAAGTAACTTGCAGGCGATTTGTCAGCATTGGGACGTGTTGGCCCAACACTGCTCACACATTGTGTTTGTGGGTTTTCTTTGAGCCACGAGAGGAAATCGGAGAACCCGGAGGGAACCCACGCAGACCAGGGGGCTGGGGAGCGAGAGACGCAGAGAGGCGCCCGGGTTGGGGATCTTACCCAGCCCCTTCCGGCTGTGAGGCACGAGCGGCACCCCTGCACTCGCCCCCACCACGGGTTGTAAAGCAAGCATTGGTTGATTGAAACGTAAATCTTTAACATTGAGACGTGCCTGCCTGCCTGCTGCTGCTGCTGCAGTGTGGCCAACAGTCAGACGACGATTCAGTGTCCGGATCTCAATGCCACCGTGGTCCCACCCATCTCTACCTCATCCGCTTCCCGGTTACAGCGACCACACCGTGCTGCCATGATCTGTTCCCAACCTACAAGTCGCTTACCCGATCCTTTCATGACCGCCCCCCTCCCAGCGGTCATCTCTGCGGTGCGCCAGGAACCAGAGAGCTCACGGCAACCTTTTTGCTTGGTGGCGTTGAATCTCTCGCTGGCCCTCTCTGGCCTGCGTGAATGTCATGGAAGCCACCGCAGCCGCCAATGCTCATTGGTTAGCGCCAACAAAGATGATAAATAGAGGCATCGTTCTTACACGTCCCATCAGCGACGCGGCCTTCCTTCTGGGGGGCGCCCAATTGCGGCGGCGTTGGCTTCCAGGTACGCGCAACTCGGGGTCCGGTTTCGACGTTCGCTCTACGCTAACGTTGACATGTGTGTGTGCGTGTGCGTGCACGTGTCCACTTGGGAAGCGGTTTCGTGTGTGATTTGAGAAACAAAAAAATTAGTGTGTGTGCGTGTGAGTGAATTAGTGTGTGTGCGGCTCGCGTGATACGCGGACGCGCGCTGCGGTCGGTGACTCGCGGCCATGACGGGCAGAGCGAGTCCGTGGCTCTGTGTCCACTGCGCGCGACGCTCGCGTAGAAAGTAAACCGCCGCTGAAGAGATGCTCGCTACGGTATGGGTAAAATAAAACCATAATTTTGTAAAGTTGTCGTGGCGTTTGGTGCATCGTCGTTCGTGTTCTCGCAGTGTCCGATGCATCATCATGAATATGATCGTCATTGCGTAATCGCATCGTTTTCAGAATTGGAATATTTATTTATAGTGGAGGAGGAATCCGATGAGCTTCGAAGCTCTTTTCCACAGACGTCCAGTAGTTTTATAAACTCAGACCATTGCCCTGGAGCTACCACAGTGCTGGTGCGGCGGTCTGCAGCGGCGGTCTGCAGCAGCACTTCCACCGCGCTTGCAATCCAGAGTTCGCCGATTCCACTTCGTCTGCCGGCGTAGCAGGGGCAGCAGCTGAGTCTATGGGGCAAGTTTCTCAAATCGCCCTCCACCGTCACCGCCCTCTGCCCTGCGTCCATGGGTTCGCCACATTCGATGGGCAGGTTGCGTGTGGTGGGGTAAAGTGTGCGTCATCCCACCTCTTCAACCGTGCCTGACCAACGTGAAAGAGGAGACCAAATTCCCTCTGTGGTTTTGCTGCGGTGGAGGTCCACCGGCCAGTCAATAAATAAATGACGTGAACGCGAGTGAGCATTTGGAGGGCTGCGCCTTTAGCCGGTTGTTGAACTGCGCCGTGATCCCGGCGACAAGAGTTGGATCTCCCAGCCAGGGAGATGATCATGATGATGAGAGGGAGATGATGAGGAAGATGATCATGATGATGAGAGGGAGATGATGAGGGAAATGATCATGATGATGAGAGGGAGATGAGAGGGAGATGATCATGATGATCAGAGGGAGATGATCATGATGAGAGGGAGATGATCATGATGAGAGGGAGATGATCATGATGAAAGGGAGATGATCATAATGACAGGGAAATGATCATGATGAGGGAGATGATCATGATGAGAGGGAGATGATTATGAGAGGGAGATCATCATGTTGAGAGATGACGAGAGAAATGATCAGAGGGAAATGATGAGATGATTAGAGGGAGATGATTACGGAGATGATGGTGAGAGGGGAGGGAAGAGAGGGAGAAGGATCGAGTTGAGCAGCACAGAGCAGTGTCTGTTTCCACAGGGGGCGGAGCAAAGGGATTCAGTGGGGGTGGTCACACAGCAGTCACGTGACTTGCAGGAGGCTGCAGCTGGTGTCGAGAGTGGGCTGTTTTATCCACGGCGTTGTAGGCGGCTCAATGTTTCATTATTTTGGCTCTGGACCGGTTTCGACATTCAGTGTCTCGTCAGCAGTTGCGCGTAGAACCAGCAGTTAGCTGGCTTTGTTTGCGAGCAAAGCCTGACTCTGCTGATGAGACACTGCATGTCGAAACCAGTCCTGACTTTTGCTTGTGTTGAACCAATCGATGCTGCTGCTGCTATAGTGCACTCCCAGGAGGCCGATTGTGTCGCTGATGAGCTGTATAAACGATGTTTGTTAGTGGCGAGTGAAA